TAGTTTTGTACCATATATCAGGAGTGAGGTGAGACGAGGTGAAATGCGGTTTAACGTCGTACTTGAGAATATTCCGCTCAAGTGACGACGAGCATGCATGTGTATGTGTGGCTGCTTGTACTAGCCCAGACTTAAGCTGGTTCTATATAGTGCTTGCTCACTGAGATACCATGCCGCAGCTAAGCATGAATACCCCACTCAGACACATTATACTGACTCTGAGCCGACCAGTCCTTGTTGTACCCATTAAAGCCGAACACCAGGCAGGGACCAACAAGTACCATATTTTAACGCCTAGTGGTATGACAGGGCTGGGGATCAAACCCGTTACCTTCCGGTCTCCGGGTGGACACTCTAACCACTACAACACGGAGGCAGTTGTTGCTTTTTTTTTGGTCGTGGAGTGAGTGTGAGTGTCGGCAGCAGAGTGAGAGCAGTTGAGTGATTGAGAGAGAGCGAGATTGTGAGTGAGAAAGAGGAGTGAAAGTATGAGTGAGAGAAGAGGAGTGAAAGTAATGAGTGAGTGAGAAAGAGAAAGAGAAGAAAGTATGAGTGAGAGAGAGAAATTCATCAGAATTCATCAATCCGCGAAAACAAAATGCATGTGTTGTGTGAAGTATTACGGACAGCTACATATTAAACACTTGATACATGCCAGCCATACCAACTGTCATGTCATCTATATGCTGATCAGTCATATAACCTGTGAATCAGGTGTACATAACATGCTGGTCTTCATTAAACAAGCAATCATTGTCTGGCGGTGAGAAACCGTACACCAGCACCAATACTTCATTTCACAATAAATGTACAGTGTTCAAGCTACAGCCAACCGTGTCAGCATAATGTGGGAGATGTTTATAACTCTGGTGAAACTAGAAAGCACTGGTATGGAAGTGACAAACCTAGAAACATCAGTATGGACAATCAGGATTCAATTAATAATCATATGTTACTGTTATGTCTAACAGTACTCTACTTTATTGGGCTTTTCAAGGGGTTGATTTCCAATTTTGGACTCTTGTGCATTGGGAAATGTTTTTAAATATCTTATGATCTTATTGATATCCTAACAGTCAGATTGGATTCCTTAGAAACCCTCCTATACATAATGCAGTCAGGAATCCAGTAACACATTCCAGATGACTGGACCTCCTGTGCCCCTCCCCACCTGTACAGCAGCACACATGTAATACTGGAGGACCTCCTGTACCCCCTCATCATGGAACTTTGCCTGTCAGATACATCACTGGATCCTCTGTGCCCCCTCCCCTCCTATATGTAATACTGACATCCTCCTTGCTTCAGATGACTGGATCTCCTGTGCCCCACCCCCTCCTATATGTAATACTGACATCCTCCTTGCTTCAGATGACTGGATCTCCTGTGCCCACCCCTCCTATGTGTTCCCCCTCCTATATGTAATACTGACATCCTCCTTGCTTTAGATGACTGGATCTCCTGTGCCCCACCCCCTCCTATATGTAATACTGACATCCTCCTTGCTTTAGATGACTGGATCTCTGCCCCTGTGCCCCACCCCTCCTATATGTAATACTGACATCCTCCTTGCTTTAGATGACTGGATCTCCTGTGCCCCACCCTCCTATATGTATATGTAATACTGACATCCTCCTTGCTTCAGATGACTGGATCTCCTGTGCCCCACCCTCCTATATGTAATACTGACATCCTCCTTGCCAGATACCTGTAATACTGACATCCTCCTTGCTTCAGATGACTGGATCTCCTGTGCCCCCCTCCTATATGTAATACTGACATCCTCCTTGCTTTAGATGACTGGATGCCCCCTCCCTTGTGCTTCCTATAGATGACTGGATCTCCTGTGCCCCACCCCCCCTCCTATATGTAATACTGACATCCTCCTTGCTTCAGATGACTGGATCTCCTGTGCCCCACCCATCCTCCCTATATGTAATACTAAATGTAATACTGACATCCTCCTTCAGATGACTGGATCTCCTGTGCCCCTTCCTATATGATGACTGACATCCTCCTTGCTTCAGATGACTGGATCTCCTGTGCCCCACCCTCCTATATGTAATACTGACATCCTCCTTGCTTTAGATGACTGGACCTCCTGTGCCCCACCCCCTCCTATATGTAATACTGACATCCTCCTTGCTTCAGATGACTGGATCTCCTGTGCCCCACCCCCTCCTATATGTAATACTGACATCCTCCTTGCTTCAGATGAGATGACTCCTATATGTAATACTGATCCTCCTTGCTTTTAGATGACTGGACCTCCTGTGCCCCACCCCCTCCTATATGTAATTAGTTCCATGGAGTAAAGTGAGGGTAACTGTAGACACAGTATTTCAGCTCCCCTCACCTGTCATTACTAAATACTCTTCTACTTTTTTCAAACATCTGACACTCTGCTAGGCCGGAGTGTGAGGGAATACTGAAGTGATGCAACTCTTCGACATAACGATCAGGTACTGACAAACTGAACATTTAGATGCATCAGAATTCGAACGCATTAGAACAGGTTTCTTAAACACCAAAGGGAAGCAACTTGCCTGGCCAATTGGTGTGTCTCAGATCAATCTCAGGTGGAATGTCTTATTTCCTGCCATTCAGTTTGTGTAGATTAGATCATGTGTCAAATGGGAGAAATAGATTTGTTGTTGGATGGTTAAAGGAGAATACTAGACAATTGCAATATTTGCTGGGTGAAAGATAAAGTCATTAGAAACATGTACCCCAAATTTTTTTTATTATGTTTTTATCGCAAAAACAGTTTCTGTTTTCTGAGCTTCGGCCGTTATGCATATTCTGCTGGAACTCACGTGACCTTTCGCTCGTGATGTCATATGTGACGTCATATATTGACAGAACAGGCGCTACAGCAATACAAATCGTGTTGTATCTGCCGTTTTTGTAAATGGTACGATGTTGTATTCCGGGGGTGCACGGAATCATCGAAAAATGGAAAGAACCATCATTTCTACCGTTTTCCAAGTAAAGAGACAGATTTAGGCAGGAGAAATGCTCCGATTGTTCTGAGTCGGACGCATATGAAATTCATTGAAAGAGATGCACACACGGGGTATGAAAATCCAAAAGCTAGACCGAAGAAGGAAGAAGTACCCACAAGATTCAATTATACTCCATCATACCCTGTTACAACTTACTGTCAGTGGTATTTTTAATATAAATTAAATTAAAGTCCGATTGCCAGTCGAATTGCCCCCACTACAAATTGCCCAAACAAATTTGGTCCAATTGCCCCGGAGTTTTGTTCAAATTGTCCCAGGGGGGTAGTCAAAATGCCCCAGTTTATTTAAAATGATTAAATATAGGCCATAAATGCATAGTTTTGTCAACTTTGATATTATGTTCTTCATAAAAAAGTATATACATAGTTATGAGTTTACTAATGGAACATTTATCAGAAATATTACTTCCTAATAACTTTTATATGAAGAACCTAATATCAAAGTTGACAACAACTATGCATTTATGGCATATATTTAATCATTTCAAATACATTTGACCAAATTAGAATGAATGACCAAATTTGCTGGGGCATTTTGTAGCTGGGGCAGTTCGACTGGTAACCATGAGATATATATTAGCAAAATCAGTGAGAGATTTCACATAAGCTTGATCATGTTTTGCTAGAAGGTTCTTTTCGGTTTGGGCCCCTAAATGCTGCAGTTTACCCGAAACATTGCTGAATGCAATGGCAAATCATGAAGTACTTGTTGCTTTCATTTTTTTTCCATTTTGCCCAATAACGCATGTTGGCATAAGTCTTGCTATTTGTCAGTAGTGTGTGCCGTGAAAGTTGTATATTCTCAGAAAGAAACTGCAATCACATTTAAAAAAAATCATTCTTAGGGACTGGTCATATATTTATAGGGGCGGGTTTGCTGGTGGGAACTTATCACATTTTGTTGACAAATAGTATTCTTGATAAATGATATGGTCTATTTTTAAATTTATTTTGACCTCAAGCGGTGCCTCCGTTTCGCTTGATTCTTCTTCTTCATCTTCACAGGAAGACTGTCTTGCAAGATGTAAAAATCGGATCGTATTGATACCGTCTAACATCCATTTCAGAAATGACATCAGGAAAACCTTTCACTGCTTCAGAATCCATGGTCACTGTTAAGTTGTGAGATAAAATCAAAGAGGAAGCCATCAGCAACAGGCACATATGACGTCATGTCACGTGACGCCCCCTCTGCTCATTAACTGTCGAATGTTTCAGTAATAGGCAGAAATACGAGTACGTTTTGGGGGTTTTATTGTTATTTTACAAACTTTTTTCTTCAATTACAATCGCGGAAGGTGACTTTTACAATATCCTTTACAATATATCCAAAGTTTTGTTTTTGTTCGTATTCTCCTTTAACGCCATACTCAGCAATATTATAGCTATATGGCAGTGGTCTGTAAATAATCATTCACCAGGCATTCCGGTGAGTGAGTGAGTTTAGTTTTACGCCGCACTCAGCAATATTCCAGCTATATGGCGGTAGTCGGTAAATAATCGTGTCTGGACCAGACAATCCAGTGATCAACAGCATCAGCATCGACCTGTGCAATTAGGAACCGATGACATGTGGCAACCAAGTCAGCGAGCCTGACCACCTGATCCCATTAGTTGCCCCTTATGACAAGCATGGGTTACTGAAGGTTCAGACCTTCACGGGTGGCAATCCAGTGATCAACAGCATGAGAAATGTATTTGTGCAAAGTACCACTACCCCATATCATATTAAGGTATTCAAAGTTGACATTCTTGGTGATTAGGTAAATAAATTCCCAAGGTAAGGCTACCCATCAGAATTTCAAGATGCATTTGAAGCAAAGGGTGGGCATTGGGGACACATTAATTTTATGTTTCATAGTAAGTTTTGAGCAGGCACATCAAATTAAAACAATGATGATTGTCACTGGGTACAATGATCCCACATGTGTGCCTGGCCTAGTGCATGTAGTACAGCATACTGACATTGACCTACCTGTAGATTAGCTAGCACAGACTTCATTTGGTCAACGATTGATGACTGCATGTTGCCAAGCAACTCAGACAGGTTGGTGCTGCCATCTTGTTTCCCCACCAGGCGGGGTGCCGCCAGACTCTGGCGGATATCTGTTAGACAATCTGGAAGAAGACGTCATAGGATGAAGAGGTGCTTCTGCTGAACCACACTCAGTCAGGGTATTATTTTAGTTGGGTTGTTGGGTTCCAAAATAGAATTTCAACAATAAAACTCTGAAGCCCAATCACTGGCATTCACAATTTTATTAAAATGATACTGGTGCCTCAATAATTGTATTCCTTACATCACCAAAAGGACACAGATGCCTGATCAATGGTATTCCCAATTTCAACAAAAGGACTACTATTTCAAGATTCAACATTTGGACAGTTTGCCCCAGTTTTTACTATGGTATATATATAACCTATCAATGGTCTTCCCAACTTCTACAATATGACCCTGTTATCCTATCATGAAGGACTGTACCTGAGAAGTGTTGTTTGAGAGCCTGCAGATAGTGTGCGACCCTGTCCTTGGCAGCCCGAGACACGATCTCCGTCCCTGCCCTGGAGATGACAACATGGAACAGAGTCATACGAATGCCCAAATGTAATGCAACAGAATACATCACACAATAATGGCATCATGGGAACATGTAGGTTTCTTATCAAGTGGATTATTCAGATCATACTGTCACATCAGGGAGGAACCAGTTGTTTTTTAGAGGATGGGGGATTTGGGCATTAGATCAGCAATTTGTTTAATGTCATGAGCTCCATTATGTTTTCTCCAACATGCACAGGTGCTGAGTCATATTTTACAGGAATAAATATAGAAGTATTCTTTGAACAGCTTAATATAACTTGCAAGACTCATTATGTTTATTCCTACAAAGCAAGGCATGTGTAATTGTTCTTCAATAAGATGGGCTTGATACTTTTTGTAGATAAAATGCAATGGTCAGCCCTTAAAGCTTTTTATGGTATAAATTAATGTTTGAATATTACAAGTGACTCTATTATCACAAAACATGCACAAAAGATTTGAAAATGATCATGAAATGACACTACCCAGCAACAACCAAGGACATGGGCAAAGGGAGGTAACTCTCACCTTGAGAAGTCAGTGTCTGGCAAGAGCTTGTTCATGGCCTGAAGTCGGCGGTGAAATCGGTCAAGGGCTCGGACAAGGATTGTGTTGTCACCAGTCTCTTTCTGTATTGATGAAATATGAACATCTGTATAACAGTGTATGCCATATCTCTTCTTGCAATGTAACGTGTATAACAAGAACGTATGAGCTTACAATGTAACAAGTGGGCTCAAAGTGCAGCATCTATGTAATGTTTGTTACTTAAAGCCACACTCTGCAATATTATAACTATGTGATTGCAAATTATAAACCATATATACTGGACCAGCCAAAACCAGCATAGGTATGATGACAAACAGTCTACTTACAACCTTTTCTATCTAGCCCACATAAAGTATTTGGTTTGGTTTGATGTTTTACGCCACACTCAGCAATGTTTCAGCTAAATTGGCGGTCTGTAAATAATCGAGTCTGCACCAGACAATCCAGTGATCAACAGCATGAGCATCAATCTCTGCAACTGGGATACGATGACATGTGTCAACCAAGTCAGTGAGCCTGACCACCCGATTTGGTTAGTCGCCTCTCATGACAAGCATGGGTTGCTGAAGATCAATTCTAACCCAGATCTTCACGGGTTTCCACATAAAGGCATATGTAACATATTTGTAATGGTTTATGCAACATCTATGTAATTGTTATAAAATGCTTGACTTAATGCTCCACATGTTGCTTGACTTAATGAGCTCTGAACTAATCACTCAACACATACCTCAAGCTGCACTCTGTTCTGAACGTAGGCAAAATATTGTTCCATCAGCTCATTGACAAAGTTCACCAGCTTCTTCAGGGCAATTGTGTCAAAGTTCTCACTGTGGTTGATGAAATGTGAATGTTATCAATTTCTTCACTGGGGAGATATCATCTTCAACTAACTTTCTACAAATATATTCTTTCATTCTTTTATACCAAACTGGGTCACACAGTCAATGTTAATAAATATTTGGCAACATTCTGCACATGGGACTATTGGTAGTAATGTCTTGACCCCAGGAGACTATTAGTGGGTACAGTTCTTGACTCCTGGGGACTATTGGTAGGGACAGGTCTTGACCTCAGGGGACTATTGGTAGGGACAGGTCTTGGCCCCAGGGGACTATGAGTAGGGAAAGGCCTGAGTGGAGGGTACAGGGCTTTACCCCAGGGGCTATTGGTGGAGACAGGTCTTGACACCAGGGCACTACTGGTGGGTACAGGGCTTTACCCCAGGGGACTACTGGTAGGGACAAGCCTTTACCCCAGGGGACTACTGGAGGGTACAGGGCTTTACCCCAGGGGACTACTGGTGGGTACAGGGCTTTACCCCAGGGGACAATTGGAAGGGACAAGCTTTGACATCAGGGGACTAGTGGTGGGTACAGGGCTTTACCCCAGGGGACTATTGGTAGGGACAAGCTTTGACATCAGGGGACTAGTGGTGGGTACAGGGCATTACCCCAGGGGACTATTGGAAGGGACAAGCCTTGACCACAGGGGACTACTGGAGGGTACAGGGCTTTACCCCAGGGGACTACTGGTGGGTACAGGGCATTACCCCAGGGGGCTATTGGTGGGTACAGGGCATTACCCCAGGGGACTATTGGAAGGGACAAGCCTTGACATCAGGGGACTACTGGTGGGTACAGGGCTGGTACATCAGGGGCCAAGCCTTTACATCAGGGGACTACTGGTGGGTACAGGGCATTACCCCAGGGGACTAGTGGTAGGACAAGCCTTGACATCAGGGCATTACTGGTGGGTACTGGGCTTTACGTATAGGAGAAAATAAGCCCTTGGGAGGAGGGAGCATTTCCCTCCTCCCAAGGTTTTACATTCCCTACCAAAACCTTGGGGAAGTGTTTTCCCTAACATATATACCGTCAATGATGGATAATTATAATGTAGATGATCATTTAATGAAGCTACTTAACAATAACTGAAGCGCAAGTAAAATCAATTTAATGACAGTAACTATATATAGATAATTCAACCCCTTCGTCAACGTTTTCGTTGGCTCAATGGCCGTGAGGTAGATCGTCCGCTTATTAACCTGTTAGATGCGGTTCTAATCCTGCTCGGGAAAACATTTGCACTTTGAAATTGATCTTGGACGATATTCTTCAATTGATTTCAAACACTCATGTATCATTTGAATGTTGATGTTCATATAGAGTTAGGAAAAAATAAAACCTGGGAAGAGGTCTTACTTACAAAAAGTAAAACCTGAGAAGAGGTCTTACTTACAAAAAGTAAAACCTGGGAAGAGGTCTTACTTACAAAAAGTAAACCTGGGAAGAGGTCGTACTTACAAAAAGTAAAACCTGGGAAGAGGTCGTACTTACAAAAACGTACTTACAAAAAGTAAAAGCTGAGAACAAACAAAAACCTCAAATGCGGTTATTCCGGGAAAAGAAGAGATGCTTAATATATAGTGAGAAGCACACTTCAGGTTTATATTGGTGGGTACAGGGCTTTACATGAGGGGGCACTTGGTAGGGTCAAGCCTTGACATCAGGGGACTACTGGTGGGTACAGGGCTTTACCAAAGGGGACTAGTGGAGGGTACAGGGCTTTACCCCAGGGGACTAGTGGAGGGTACAGAGTTTTACCCCAGGGGACTAGTGGAGGGTACAGGGTTTTACCCCAGGGGACTAGTGGAGGGTACAGGGCTTTACCCCAGGGGACTAGTGGAGGGTACAGAGCTTTACCCCAGGGGACTAGTGGAGGGTACAGGGTTTTACCCCAGGGGACTAGTGGAGGGTACAGGGCTTTACCCCAGGGGACTAGTGGAGGGTACAGAGTTTTACCCCAGGGGACTAGTGGAGGGTACAGGGTTTTACCCCAGGGGACTAGTGGAGGGTACAGGGCTTTACCCCAGGGGACTAGTGGAGGGTACAGGGCTTTACCCCAGGGGACTAGTGGAGGGTACAGGGCTTTACCCCAGGGGACTTTTAGTAGGGACAAGCCTTGACATCAGGGGACTACGGGAGGGTACAGGGCTTTACATCAGGGGACTGACTATTGGTAAGGACAAGCCTTGACATCAGGTGACTACTGGTGGGTACAGGGCTTTACCCCAGGGGGCTGTTTGGGGCTACAGGTCTTGATCCCAGGAAACTATTAGTAGGGACAGGTCTTGACCACAGGAGAGTGAGAGAGTGAGTTCAGTTTTACGCTGCTTTTAGCAATATTCCAGCAATATCATGGAAGGGGACACCAGAAATGGCCTTCACACATTGTACCCATGTGGGGAATCGAATCCGGGTCTTCAGCGTGACGAGCAAACGCTTTAACCAGTTTAGTTTTATGCTGCACTCAGCAATATTCCAGCTATATGGCAGCGGTCTGTGAATAATCGAGTCTGGACCAGACAATCCAGTGATCAACAGCATGAGCATCGATCTGCGCAATTGGGAACTGATGACATGTGTCAACCAATTCAGCGAGCCTGACCGCCCTATTCCGTTAGTCTCCTCTTATGACAAGCATGGGTTACTGAAGATCAGTATTCTAACCCGGACCTTCACAGGTAGGAGACAGGTCTTGACCCCAATGAACTATTCTTGGAAGCTACCAGTATAAGCCTTGACCTCAAAAAGTTATTGGAAGGTACAGGTCTTTAAGGCCAGTTAAAGGTACAACCACCTATTTCAACAAATGATCTTGTCTTTGCACAAAATTATGATCCACAACACTACAGCTGTGTACCTACTTTTCACCCTGTCTGTTGAGGAACATATCATTGTAGGATGCGATCACCAGACACATGTTGCTGAGGAAGCCATTACAGCCCGAGTCCACAAACTCCAGAACATCCTGGGTGAACAGCACAGAAAAACACAGTAAACAACAGATTCATCATGCATTAAACATTAAACATTTCATCAGCTGGGAAGTCAATAAGAACTACAACATATTACAGCCTCAGTTAAACTTGCTGCAGAGACCCATAATCACAAAAAAGGATGTAGATCAAGAATACTTGGGGGACATTTGTTGTAGTGAAGCATACAATTTCATAATATCTCCCAAAATATCTATGATCCCCAGTAATTTTTCATGACCTTATCATACTTATTGATGGCAGTTATGACAGTTAACAAAGCAATGAGACAGTGCTAACCATGGGAGTGTTGAGATAGGCCTGTGCTGGTCGCTGGTCATCACTTGGAGTTACCTCCCCTGCCTGAAGCTTGATCTGGCGATTCAGTTCATTCAAATCTTCATCTATTTTCTGCCTTGCACTGGAAGTTTTGTTAAAGAGGAACATAGATAAATACCTTCTCAAATGCAACTGTCTGCATTTCAATACACACACCTCAAACCTTTGGATAAGTGGGTGTGCAACACTGTAGGTGAGGTGAAATTGGGTTTAACGTCGTGCTTGAGAATATTTCGATCATATGACGACGTGCATGCGTGTGTGTCTGTGTGTGTGTATGTGCTGCTGCTTGTACTAGCCCAGACAGAAGCTGGTTTTATAGTGCTAGCCCACTGAGATACCATGCTGCAGTGAAGCATGAATACCCCACTCAGACACATTATACTGACTCCGAGCCGACCAGTCCTTGTTGTACCCATTAATGCCGAGCACCAGGCAGGGACCAACAAGTACCATATTTTAACGTCTTTTGGTATGATGCAGTCGGGGATCGAACCCGCGACCTTCCGCTCTAACCACTACACCACTGAGGTGGTCTTGTGTAACACTGTAAAATATGTTAATAAGCCTCTGTAGTTGGTACAAAACCTACCAGTACTTTAATCTCTGCATTCCTACAACAATTATTGGCTAATAATAATGTAATAAGTCCGTCATTATAATAACTAAACCACCAACAGGTGACTTGCCAAATGTTTGGATAAAAATGAATGGTAAAGTAAATGATTATGATATTATTTTGTGTGTCAAAACACTAGATAGTCTTCAGTATCACTTATGTTCAGTATTGACATTTTGGTTTGTCTTCTCTGTTTTGCCATTACACCATGATCAGTAGACTTTGAATGGCTCCGTAGATAGATGGTGACAGATATATGGCAAACTCACTGAGACAGGAACTCCTCACACAGCTGTTCAGCTGGCTCCTCCAGCTGCAGAAGGAGGTCCACACACTCTGCCAGCTGCTTTGGCGTGGACTGCAACAACAGCAACAACAACCATGCAGAGATACAGCCGTTGTCCAAGGTGATGGACATATCAATTTGGCTACCCTCCAGGTGTCCAAGTCGACACTCACTTACAACTCTCATGGTAATTTTTTTAAAAGGGAAATTCCAGAACCTGTATCAAAGTGGTAAATGTTCAAGAAGGTCCCCTGTATATAGCACAATGCAATAAAGATTTGGTCTCATATAAAAACATGTGGTTGTAAATGAATTATTTCAAGCTTCAAACAAACCCTACCCATGCCTTTTGGGGTCAGCTTCTGCTACTAACACAAACTAACAACTCGTAAAATATCAACATTTCTCTCTACATCAGTACTCACATCCTTGTCTTTGAACTGCTCACGGAGCTTATTGCTGAGTTCCTCAATGATGGTGTTGCAGTCCCTGTTGATGCCCTGGAAGCTGGGCATGTGCTGGTACTGGTGCAGCACACGCTTGGCCTTCGTGTAGTACCTGCAACATGGGGATGGCTGTCAGATGCTTGCCACTACTCAACAGGGCCTCTCTGGTCCCTGTCTCTACTAAACTAACAAAAGGGGTGTGAGGTGCTCTCTACCCACTCCTGTCAGGTGCTTGTCTCTACTCAACAGGGGATGTCAGGTGCATATCTCTACTCACCAGGGATGTCAGGGACATGTCTCTACTCAACAGGGAATTTCAGGGACATGTCTCTACTCAACAGGGATGTCAGACATGTCTCTACTCAACAGGGAATTTCAGGGACATGTCTCTACTCAACAGGGAATTTCAGGGACATGTCTCTTCTCAACAGGGAATTTCAGGGACATGACAGGGCATATCTCTACTCAACAGGTGACATGTCTCTACTCAACAGGGAATTTCAGGGACATGTCTCTACTCAACAGGGAACAGGGACATGTCTCTACTCAACAGGGTCAGGCACGCCTCTCACTCAGGGACAACAGGAATTTCAGGGACAGGGAATTTCAGGGACATGTCTCTACTCAACTCAGGTGACTCATAGAATTTCAGGGACATGTCTCAACAGGGAATTTCAGGGAATCTTCAGGGAATTTCAGGGACATGTCTCTTCTCAACAGGAACAGGATGATCAACAGGGAATCTTCAGGGACATGTCTCTACTCAACAGGAATTTCAGGGACATGTCTCACTCAACAGGGAATTTCAGGGACATGTCTCTACTCAACAGGGAATTTCAGGGACATGTCTCTTCTCAACAGGAACAGGGACATCTCTACTCAACAGGGACATGCATGTCTCTACTCAACAGGGAATTTCAGGGACATGGGACTTTCAGGGACATGTCTCTACTCAACAGGGAATTTCAGGGACATGTCTCTACTCAACAGGGGATTTCAGGGACATGTCTCTACTCAACAGGGAATTTCAGGGACATGTCTCTACTCAACAGGGAATTTCAGGGACATGTCTCTACTCAACAGGGAATTTCAGGGACATGTCTCTACTCAACATGGAATTTCAGGGACATGTCTCTACTCAACAGGGAATTTCAGGGACATGTCTCTTCTCAACAGGGAATTTCAGGGACATGTCTCTAGTCAACAGGGATTTTCAAGGACATGTCTCTACTCAAAAGGTGATGTCGTCAGGTGAATACCTGTACTCAGAAGAGGATTTCAGGTGCGTGCCTGTACTCAACAGGTGAGGTCAGGTGCACACCTGTACTCAACAGGGGATTTCAGGTGCGCGCCTGTACTCAACAGGTGATGTCAGGTGCACACCTGTACTCAACAAGGGATTTCAGGTGCACACCTGTACTCAACAGGGGATTTCAGGTGCGCGCCTGTACTAAACAGGGGATTTCAGGGACATGACTCTGTTCAATTGGTAATCACAGGTGCTCTCTTCTCAACAGGGGTTGCAGTTCTTACCTGACAGCCTGACTGTATGCCTTCAGCTCAATGCACTTCTTCAGACGTGCTGGCAGTTCGAACAAGAACTGGAGCTGAAACCACAGAGATAATTGGAGGTAAAAGCATGTTTAACATAGAAACCTTATTATCCAAATCTGTCCTCAGTCAAGTGAGGAATTAAGTGGGAACTACTTAATATTCATACACAGTCTTACTAAATTATGCATAAGTGAATGAGTGAGTTTAGTTTTACGCCACACTCAGCAATATTCCAGCTATGTGGTAGCGGTCTGTAAATAATCAAGTCTGGAAAAGACATTCCAGTGATAAACAGCATGAGCATCGATCTACACAACTGGGATACTATGACATATGTCACCCAAGTACACCCACCCACTCACCCCCAACACCAGATACAACATTTCCTTTCTGTCTGCAATGTGCTAGGATGACACTGCTTTACAATCTCAGTCTGTAAATAATCTTGTCTAGGCCATATAATCTAGTGATTGACATTATGAGCACTGATCTACACTGATGGGGTATGATGATTTGTATCAACCAAGTGAGTGAGTGACCATCACTTTAGTTGCTTCTGACAAGGATGGATTGACGAAGGCCAGTTTGAACCTAGATCTTCACAGAGCACTTCTGAGTAGGAAACATCACTACACTCAGGGGGCGATGGGCTAGTCTAGTGGTTAAAGCGTTGGCTCATCACGCCGAAGACCCGGGTTCGAATCCCCACATGGCTACAATGAGTGAAGCCCATTTCTGGTGTCCCCCGCCGTGATATTGCTGGAATATTGCTAAAAGCGGCGTAAAACCAAACTCAGTCAGTCAGTCAGTCACTACACTCAGTTAAAGGTACAGCCTAGTCATTTACTGAATATTATTGAAAATTATGGGTAAGCAACCAAGTGATAAGCTCTAAACTTATGAAGCAGTACAACAGCTTACCTTCTTGAGCAGAGAGTGAACGCCAGCCAGCTTGGTAATCTGTTGGCGTCGGTCTTGGAGAGTGTTGCTGATGTTGGCACTGAACTCTGTGATGGCAGACATGTTGGTTGCCAGGTGATCCATCTCATCCTCCATCTTCTTGAAGTCATTTTTCATCTAGAACACCACAATTCACATGAAACACTGAGTTGCACTGACTAGGTGTGCTGCCAACAACTCAGTAAGTGGTGTTTACAATGCTGGTATGGTGATCTGTTTGATTGGCATTTTAGAAGTTGGTGAGTAATAAGAAAGTAAGATACTTCATAGTTTACAACTTCTTTATTATATACGAGGTTTTTGAACAGATTCTTATACCGTTGTCAAGCAAGAGTGAAGTACTACAGCACTGAACAGACTTATATACATCAATATATACATGGGTGATGGGTCTTTACATATAGCCAATAAAACACAAAATGTACCCTTAACGTTAGGCCTTGTATCACCTTGTATCATGTAACTTACATCTTGTATCACCAGCTGATTTGATTTACCTCTCCCATAACTGGAATAAACCCTATACCCAAGATATGATATTTCCAGATTAAAGGTCAAAATGCAATTCGGAGATGAAACAGCTGTAGTATTAGCAAAGGCATATATATGTTATTCCAACATTGCGAGTTAAATCAATCCATTTTTACCAATTAAAACACAGAACTATATTCATCTATAGTTAACTACATACAGTCAACTGTTTCATCTCTCACTACTGATGTCCTTAAACCACACTACTCTCCACATCATTATACATATGATACACCTTTTCCTACACTGTACTGAGGAATTCAATTCCTCGTTCACATATTTCAGATCATCACAACATTAGGTCACTTCTTACTTTGCGAATGGTGTCTGTAGCACTGATGAACTTGTTGTAGTTCTCATACACCAGAGTCTGCATGTCGCTGTCCAGAGCACGGATCTGACGCACCATCTCATTCTCCCTGTCCATCAACTCTGTTAGAGAGCTCTTCTTGATCAGCGTTGACAAGTATGTGTCAGGCTTGAAGTGGGCTCCATCGATGTCGCATGGATCCACAGTTGTTGTTCCTGGCTTCTCCTCGTCAATCCCATAATACATTTTGAGCACTTCGTGTCTCCGTCGCTTGTTTTCAGCCGTTTCACCTTCATCATCTGGAAAACAACCATCATTTATCTAGTAATGTCTCGCATAAAGACAAATATGATGGATGTCAACTTCTTCTTTATTGTATACATACTGTTTTTATACACATTTCTGGGCTTTTCCTTGCCCCTTCACCAGGTGAATGATGAAGAGGCAAGGAAAAGCCCAGAAACGTGTATACAATAAAGAACAAGTTGACATCCATATAGTTTGTCTTATAAATACTTAAATACCAACTTCTATATGCCTCTCAAGAATCTAGTAATGTCTTCGTCTCATCACTTGAGCATCAATATCATTTACCCCGAGATCATTAATACCACTTCAGATGCAAAATCAATTGGCTATATAACAAAAAATATCAAGCCAAATTTCAGTAAGATCTGTCGTCTGCTAGTAACAGGCAATATATAAATAGGAAGCCATGTGATCACAACACTCCCTTGCAGTGTGGAGCGAAAAGTGTGGCTCATCGTCGAAAACCCATACAAAATAACCGGATGTGGAGAGCGGCAACAGTTTCGCCGATACAATATCATCAATGCTATTTTCGTAGGGAACACTTGATATTTTTTGTGTGAAATAGATGAATATATCCTTTATCACTCAAGGTTAGTAAAATATAAACTTTAAATGATATTAAGATAAAAAATATGTTTTTGTCTTACACAGGGATACTGTATTGTTTTTCAAACCATTTTCTTATTCCACAATTTGCTGCAAATGTAGCAGCAGTGTTACTGTTAATTACTGTGCCTCTTGCACCATGCCGGATTACGCAGTGTTATCCGCGGAAGGAAGGAGTTCGATATTAAATTGGTTATGGTAGAAAGGAGATAAACGTACTGTGTTGGCAAATTAGATGAATGTTAAGCAGAATTGATAGTCTCTAAATTAATCATTTGAAACCTAACGGTACGCGTACGGTTCCAAATGAAATTTAGAGACTATCAATTCTACCTAACATTCATCTAATTTGCCAACACAGTACGTTTATCTCCTAAGCAGTAAGTAATCACACATTCGATAGGATTGCACATTATTCAATCATAATGTGGATGTTTCATATGTGACATGGCCTTACACACAAACATGTCTTCTGTAATCTAGTTGACTGTACTGAATGGATAAAATATTTTTAATGATAAGTGTGTGAAGTTACACCCTACGATGTTTATGACTGACGATAACAACAGTGACACTTAAACTGTATCAAAAAACTGTTTAGAGACAATTTGGCTTAGCTGCCAGAATGGTATTCACTTGGTTGGACGTAATGAGGCATTTGTTTCCATCACGAAAACGGCAAAAGCAGACGAAAATTTGCCACGAACCTTGTTGAGTAGCCATCTTGGATACAATTATGTCACCTACACCATACTCAAATGTCATAAAACGTACAGTGGCAAGGATCTATGACAAATGCAATGAATGCGTTCCATTGGCTTGTATGGATTTCAACGTATGACATAATTAATTGCAAATATTTTGCTTAAATGACTCTTGTTTTATAGATGCACTAAGGGGCAATGATGTCAGAGTAACTTCCGGTTGACGAAGTCTATGCATAAAAATGCAGCGACAGGTTTAGATGATCTCGATTGTCTTGAGGTACATCATATCGTGTTTCATTTTGTCAGTACACAGCGACTGTGTAACTAAGTGTTCATATATAATTCATAGTTTTTGCTTTCGTTGTTTTGTTGATAGATATGTTCTTCAGTTCTTTTGACTGACAGTGACACTTGCAGACATGTAGTGACATCAGTTTAATTCAACAAATGTCCACTGACATGTATTTATTCACAGTTTCACACAACCTATTAATACTGGAACTCGATGCATATTTGCTTACTGCTGTTGGCACACATTAGAAAGTCATACATGAGTTTAATAACTTTTGACAATCACTTAACATATTTAGATACACGGGTAATCAATAACCAAAAACCAGTCATCGTTTAGATATTATTGGATGAGAGTGGCATTATTCCTGATTTAAACATGTTGTGGAACCCAGTGATCATAGTAATAAGCTGCATTTGAAGAATCATAATAACCAGTGGCAACTGATTACAGGTCTCACACATTACTGATTATATGGTGATCATGGTGATATTTTTTCTGCAAAGATTATGCAGGCTCTGCAAACTGAAATAAAACATGTTGTTTGCTTATCTAATATGGTAATCTGCCAATGTTATATATTCAACGTTTATTTGATGATTTGGGCCACACCTCATTTTAAAGTGTTTTGCTTAGATGCATAGCTCTTGGAATGGTCAACAGATTACAGTAATTAATCTGACTGAGGCTGTCAGAATGTAAGACATGTCCCTGTTAAACATGTTATAAGCTCTTGTTCAAGACCATGTAGTCTTGGATGTCAGAATTTGGAGTCAGGTGCCATCTACAATGGTCAGGGTCTGGGTCGTGCAAGAAATGAAGTCTCTGTGTTATTAGCATGATGAGGATTATCATGGCCATTTTCTAGTTTTGCAGTATGTTCATGACTGATAACAGCAAACCTTTGATCATGTTAATGGTAGTTTTGCTAAAAAGTCTACTTTGATACAGAACGTAATAAAACAGAACATGATAGAATAGCATTGTTTTAAATCTCAAGGAGGAGCAGTGTCTAAATTGTGAGCTATCATTGGATATCATGGTTATTTATGTCATTGTTTTGACCAGTGCTTGCATTTGTTCCTTTATTAACTGTTTTGTTGCTTCCTTGCATCAAGAGCAGATCTGGATTGAATATTCTTTTGTGCAATTCTGTCATTCTTTTTCATAGAGTTTGTCCTTGGGGTACATACATGATATATGCATTTTCTGCGGTTGAAAATGTCATTTGACAGTTGTATCAATGTTTTAATAAAAATATTGTACAATAAATAAAATCTTTTTTATTTATTATACGGCCCCCACCACGTGGAGTTACCCCCCTGCTATGCATGCGCAGCCAACCAGGTAAGCACCTAGGCCCGTATCATCATTCCTTCTGCTGTCACTCTAGCGTTCACACGTTTCCAAAGAGTTACATGCTGATTTACTTCGTATCGACTTGAACAACTGTATGTATGGTCTTTATTCATTCTTGAGAAACGTTTTCTGGACTTTGCAGTCAGTTATTTCTCATTTATGTGACTTTGTATTAAACTTTTACGCTAGCTTTCCTGTGGTTTACGCACGTGTTGCTATGGAGGTAGGGGAGGTCGAGGAGTCGGAGGGTACTTTCCGTTTTTCGTCGGCTCTCCGGGAGGTTAGGCAACATATTGTTGAGTATATTCCCCAAGCCGTGGTGCCGTCTTGTCGCTCGGACTCGACTGTGTTCCGCCTGCCGGGGGAGGCGTTTGCCATAGCTCCGCATCTTGCCCTCCCTGGTGCAGGACGTGATGGATCCTCTACTGGTTGGTTCTCGCCTCAGGTTCGATCTTCCTGAACTCGTTAAGAGGTATCAGCTGGGGGATGATTCTCTGTTCTTTGTGCCGGTGGTGGATGAGTGTGTGTTTACTTCGGTCGTCCTCAGGGGAGGCTCGGCTTCCTCAGGTGCAGCCATGGCTGCCAAGCAAGCGCAGATGGTCCCTCTGTTTGCCCTGGCGGGCGCGCCCCTGCAGCAAGCATCCCAGACTTATGAGGAAGTCTACCGGAATGCCATGCAGCAGGTGCGGTTCGTGGTCCACGAGGTGTACCTTTCCTCGATACAAAGGTCGGCTCTGGAGGCAGAAGGGAGCACTGGTGACGTTTCCCCGAATGTTGTTCTGCTCCGCCAACTATCCGAAGACTATGCGAGATTCTTTATGGTCTGCCGCGTCCACGGTGACGTGCGCAGTCATTGGGATGCGCAAGCTGTGGCTGTCTACATCCCGTTATTTGGCAGCAACACAGCAGACCTTGCTGGCCCTTCCGTTTCGGCTGGGAGCGACGTTGTTTCCAGGTCATTCGTGAGGCTGCTGCAGCAGCGACCTCCTTCAAGGACTCTAAGGCCTTGTTGTAGCAACCACAGGCTTCTGGCTCCCGCGCTTCCGTAGCAGGTTCTTCCTCTGGGGCGCAGCCTACGCCCGAGTCTGCCGGCTGGCTTCGGCCGCTGGGTAGAGGTAGGAGGAGGAGCCGTCCCGCCAAAGGTAAGGGCAAAGAGCAGGCCTCTTCATCTGGCTCCCAGCAGCCTTTTTGCAGTTGCTGGGGGTCTGCCCTGACCTCCCGTTAAACCTGCAGGCTGTCGCTGTGGGTCCGTCCCAGCTAGTTCATCTGCAGGGGACCACTCAGTGGGAGGCCGCCTCTCTCTATTCCTACCGGAGTGCCACTACCAGCAACACTTGGGTGCTATCCACCGTCAGTGTCGGCCATCTACCACTGTGGAAGTGAGGCCCGCCAGAGTTCGGTGGGACGAATCAGATACCCGTGTTCTGCTCTCGAATACCGGACCAGAGGACGCTGGCTTCAGACGCCTTCCTGCTGAATTGGACGGGCAAAGTGCTGTGGCGTTTCCGCCTCTACCACTCATTCCCCGGGTCCTCTCCCAGCTGTCCACCCAGCCAGCTCGGCTACTTGTGCTACTGGCACCGGTATAGCCGTTACAGAGCTGGTTTCCGGTTATTCTTAGCTTTCTGGCTCAGCCTCCTGTTCTATTACCTTTGCATCCGGACGTTCTCACTCAGAACGGCGCACCACACCCCAATCCAAGGATTCAGTGGGTGGCTTGGCCTCTGTCAGGTCTAGCCTCCAAGCACGCGGAATTCCTGCAGCAGTTTCAGACACAATTCTGGCTTTGAGGCGGGATTCGACAAACGTTCAATATGAGGATAGGTGGTCCTGCTATGCGCGCTGGTGTTCAGATAGGGGGATTGCAGATCCCTTTTCTGCAGATTTAGTCCGAATATTGGAGTTTCTGCAAGCTCGTTTGGAAGGAGGCTTGGTGGCTTCGCCCAGGGGGGAGCACCCTCTTATGCATGCAGCGCTTTTTAGCTGGCGTAGATCGGGTTCGACCTGCTGTCAGGCGTACCAGCCCACCTTGGGATTTGTCAATCATGCTAGATTGGCTGTCCAGTCCTACGTTCTCACGTCTATCGGCTTTTTCCATTCAGTTGTTAACATGGAAGGCCGTATTTCTGGTGGCGGTAACATCTGGGCGAAGGGTTGGCGACGTACATGCTATGTCGGCAGACCCGGCAATGACTGTGTTCCATCCAGATCGTGTCAGTATTCGCCTCCCGGATACTTACCGTCCGAAGATTGATCACGCTTTCCATGTGACAGCTCTTATCGAACTTCCTACTCTTACCCAGCCTTCCACATCGGGGACCTCTGCAACAAGCACTCACCTATTGGATGTCCGTAAGACCCTCAAGGTCTATATCAAATGAACACAAAGGGATCCGTACGGGTACCCATCTGTTCTCCTGTTATGGTGGCGGGAAGGCAGGGATGCCGGCTAGCCAACAGACCCTGTTACGCTGGCTTGTATCGGTCATTTGTAGTGCTTATCAGGCTAAGGGCAAGCCTCCCCCTGATGGGTTGAAGGCTCACTCGGTCAGGGCAGTGGCCACTTCAAAGGCTTTTGCATCGGCACTGCCCATTGAAGAGATATGCTCTGCCGCTATTTGGAGCTGGCCTAACACTTTTATAAGGCACTATCAGCTGGATACACATTCTCGTGATCGAGCGCGTTTTGTCTGTTCTGTTCTCTCCAGTGGACAGTGTCTTGCCACCCTGACCGAGTGAGTCTTGGTTTTCTGGACAGTTGCTGCTGTTTTCAATTGTGTATAATTGATATATCCGCTGTGGTCATATCTAACTACTTTCGATTTCTCTCATGGGATTATAGTCGGTTGTGAGTTGGTTTTTCCCCTTACGGTGCTCTTTTATAGATTTCACGATGTGGGTGGGGTTTTTACTTTCGCACAGTGTGCGACATGTTTTGCTTAACTTGTGAGGTCGGGTCTCAGTACTTTCCTCCCTGTCGGTTACCCTCCCATCATGCCTCTCGCGGAAGCTTCGGGACACGTGACAGGTGAGTGTTGTGGCGTCAGTTACTTCCTTCCTAACGATTGCTATTTATGTGTACTTTGACAGAATTCCTTCCTCCCTAGCCTCTGGTCTTTGGAAGTCTGAGTTAATGCATATATTCATTTATTCAGCAGAAGGAATGGTGATACAGGCCTAGGTGCTTACCTGGTTGGCTGCGCATGCTTAGCAGGGGGGTAACTCCACGTGGTGGGGGCCGTATAATAAATAAAAAAGATTTTATTTATTGTACAATATTTTTATTAAAACATTGATACAACTGTCACATGACATTTTCATCTGCAGAAAATGCATATGTGTGCCCCAAGGACGATTCTCTTCAAAGAATTGGAAACCTCTACAGGTTTAGCTAAGTTTGTGTACATGTTGTCCTGTATTGTCCTGTGCTGTGTGAAACACGTATTTACTTGGAATGCATCTTTCACTGTCAGGTTGGACGGAATAATTAAAGATGTCTGAAAAGCCAATAAAGATTGGGACCAAGGTTGAAGTTGTGGGCAAAGGTGTTGTCGGAACAGTTGCATATATTGGAACAACACTGTTCTCAAGCGGTGAGTGCTGCTTCGGAAGGTCAATTTTCACAGGCCATTAACATGCTTGAAAACCCTTTAAAAAAATATTTGTGGCTCATCATCTGTTAGCTTGATTCCATCTCTGTCTCACAGATAGTATCTATGGTAACATGTTGTAGAAGTGTTGTCATGGTTATCATTGTGATGATAAGAGTCCGTGGATTAATGCACTGAAAAGTTCTTGGAAAGTCATTTTATGAAGGTGTAAACCTCTGTTTCAATCTTACAGTGCATCACCTGTATTAATGCATGCATATTTATATGGGTACATGGGGTGTGTAGTTGTATCCATATGTATGTATGTATACCGTATATTACCGTCTAATAAGTTGAATTTTGAGGACCAAAAAAAGCAGTCTGTAGAAGGGGGTCGTCTTATCCATGGGTTACGCTTTCGTCAAACTTTTTTCCAGGGGTAAGAAAACAAAATCGTATCACTTCGCGTGAACAAACAACAGAAGACGACTTTGTCAGTAGAGACGTCAAATTTGCAATTAAACATCACTAGACATATAGGGAAGGGAATAATTTTGTGATGAACTTTGACTTTTCAGGGAAATGGATTGGTGTTGTGCTTCATGAAGCTAAGGGCAAGAACAATGGGACTGTGCAGGGCAAGACTTACTTCCAGTCTCCGGAGGGACATGGTATCTTTGTCCGGCAGTCCCAGGTACACATACATCAGTCCTTGTGCTTGTCATCGAATGTCTTTGTTTTTGACATGTTGAGACTTCAGTTCATCAACATGATAACTATGTATGCAAATATTTTCTCATTATAGGACTAAAATGACACGCAATGTACATGTAGTACCCATGTAATCTGGATAGTCAGTGTTGGAAAGGGATGAGTGATTATTGACCTGTGTATTTGTATCAGATTGTGGCTGTTGATGACCCTGCCTCTGCTCCTGCCCCTGCCACGCCCGCAGTAAAGACACGCCCATCCCCTGGTGATGGGAAGACACCAGCCAGGAGGTCCGGGCTGCGGCCACCTAGCTATGTTGGGAAGAGTATGTGGATACTTGCTTCTTAGTCCACAAAAATAGTTTCTCCTGTGTTGGTATTTATATACAAAATCTCCTGTGACCTTGGAATAGCTAAACATGTATGATGACTGACTGACCGAGTTTAGTTTTACGCCGCTTTTAGCAATATTCCAGCAATATCATGGCGGGGGACACCAGAAACATGTATGATGAAGGTGAATCTTAGTCAATGTTGTATTTTCATGGATTGTTAAGTCTGTTAAGACAGAAGGAAAACAATTGTCTTTTGAAACTCAAGAAATAGATAACTGGTAAAATTGCCTTTGTTGTAAGTATTTGTGGCGGTGTTCTGAAAATGGGAATACCTATTCTGAAGTATTTCATGTGATTCTATGTTTGTTTCCATAACCATAAAGAAATAAGGTCATGTTCTGAGACAGACTACTGTTTCCATATTGGCTTATAATAGAGTCCTGGGTTTGTGTTGCAACAATGCATGGGTTCATGTCATAGATTTTGTATTGTTGCAAACAATATTTTCTTGTAACTTTTGAATAAACAGTCTGTGAGGTTATTGTTATCATTTTAAAGGAATTAAATGTAAAAATTGTGTGCACCAAACATGTTGCAGTCAGTGAGTGGTTGGCTGTGTATTGCAGGTAGTGAGAGTATACCAGACTCCACAGCAGCAACTGCATCCCCAAAGAAGGAGGGGAGTGTACCAAAGGACAGTGCCACCCCTGCACCAGGTCGGCGAGAGAGTGGCATCCCTACCTCACGGCTACCCCGGTCCAGCAAGGAGACAACACCAGTTGATGACAAGCCGCCTACTGCTGTCCCCACCCCTGCCAGACAGTCGCCACCTGGGGGGCCCACCCCTGCCCAACAATCCCCACCTGAGGAGGAGAAGAAGCCAGCTGTGGTTGAGAAGGCAGCTGTGGTTGAGAAGCCAGCTGTAGTTGAGAAGGCAGCTGTAGTGGAAGCTCCTAGAAAGGTAATTAGTATTTCATCTCAATTTGCTGTGCAGAGTTGAATCCCTTGGGCACACCTGGAGCCTGATTGTGAGTTTGATTAACCTCTATCTATCATTTTTCTTGGTTCATTGTGCTTCTTGGTTCACCTAACAAATGCTTGTTGGTTTCACTATTGTGATAAATATCTAAGATGTAACTGGTAGGTGTTGATGGGTGTAGTTGGTTTATTGCTTCACAAAGACACTGATTTTCACATCCAGTTTGAATATGTTTGGAAGAAATATGGATATTGCAGATTAATTATGCAGTTATGTGAGTTAGAGAAGCATTTTTGTTGGTAAGGTGTCTGACAGCGCAAAACAAAATCTGAAGGTGTGATGTTTGTCCATAAATGTCTGTGGTGTGTTTATTATCCACTGCCACGAAGTGGGAACAGGATATAGGTTTGAGCTCTGTCGTTCGCCCATTTGAGATGATGGGGACAGATTTTCTCAAAAACCGTTATAGATGGGGACAGATTTTCTCAAAAACCGTTATAGATAGGGAGACCAAATTTGGTATGTGTTTTCAGGACATGAATGCCTTGATGGAGTTCGAAAACGGAAACTGTCACAATTTATTACAGAATTATGGCCCTTGTCATGCATTGCTTGACTTAGTGCATGGTATCCCCAGTGGGGACAGATTTTCTCAGAAACCGTTATACGATAGATAGTGAAACCAAATTTGGTATGTGTTTTCAGGACATGAATGCCTTGATGGAGTTCAAAACGGAAACCGTGTCACAATTTGTTACAGAATTATGGCCCTTGTCATGCATTGCTTGACTTAGTGCATGGTATCCCCAATGGGGACAGATTTTCTCAGAAACCATTACAGATAGGGAAACCAAATTTGGTATGTGTTTCAGGAAATGAATGTCGTGGTGGAGTTAAAAACCAGGAACCAAATAAGAACAGAACACTGTGGTGGGGGATGTTGATAACCATGTCTTCTTGTTTACAAATTACATTGTAATCCTACATGATGGACAGATTTTGAAGACATATGCTGTAGATATTCATTTGCACCTAGGAACTATTGTACAGTGTCGTTTAGTGACCACATACGTTTCTACTGCAGTCCCCCTCCAAGCCTGATCTAAGTGCGATGACGACATCAATAGATGACAAGATCTCCAATCTGCAGCAGCAACAGGAGATTGAGGGTCTACAAGCAGAGGTGAAGGATCTCAATGAGAAGCTGGAAACACTGCGGTTCAAGAGGACCGAGGACAAGGGCAAGTTGAAGGAGTATGAAAAGGCCAAGATACAACTGCAGCAGGTGAGTGGAGGTCCATACTCCACAACTGTGTCAGATGTGGTAATAGATCGGTTATTTACACACCACCATCCTATAGCTAAAATATGCTGAGTGTGGCTTTATAATAACTACCAAACTATGTTAACGAGCACTTCACCGATGTGCAACCACATCCATAAATCTGCAGTATACGCAGCAGTGATAAGTAGGTTTTGTGTGAATGTATTTGGAGTTATGCCAGTGCAGTGGGTCTGACTGTAGTGAGGGATGATCAACATGTCTCCTGATCAATCAGTTACAGCCATGTTTATGTCCTTGTCAGCTTCAAGAGTACAAGATCAAGATGCAGGAAACGTCAGCCGACCTTCAGCGGCAACTTCAGGCGTCTAAGAAGGTAAGAGATGTATTTTTGTCAGGTAGATCATGTTTCCACAGTACTTTGTGTGTGTTTGTTCAGATATTGTTGTTATTGTATTGTCTGTACAGCAAGGGAAAACGTGTAAGAATCTCCCCTTTCATTTAAGTCTTTTGGGGTGGTGAGGTAGCCTAGTGGTTAAAGCGTTCGCTCGTCACGCCGAAGACCCTGGTTCGATTCCCCACATGGGTACTATGTGTGAAGACCATTTCTGGTGTCTCCCACCATGATATTGCTGGAATATTGCTAAAAGCGGCGTAAAACTAAACTCACTCACTCGCTCGCTCATTCAAGTCTTGTCCAGGGGACCGCCTCCGTGGTGTAGAGGTTAGAGCGTCCGCCCGGAGAGCAGAAGGTCGCAGGTTCGATCCCCGACCGCGTCATACCAAAAGACGTTAAAATATGGTACTTGTTGGTCCCTGCCTGGTGCTCGGCATTAATGGGTACAACAAGGATTGGTCGGTTTTATGTGTCTGGGTGGGATATTCATGCTTCACTGCGGCGTGGTATCTCAGTGGGCTAGCACTACAAAACCAGCTTCAGTCTGGGCTAGTACAAGCAGCAGCACATACACATGCATGCACGTCGTCATATGAGCGAAATATTCTCAAGTACGACGTTAAATCCAATTTCACCTCACCTTGTCCAGGGTGTAAGAATCTCCCCTATTCATTCAAGTCCTGTCCAGGGTTTTACATTGTCCAGCGGAAATATGTGGGTCCTGTAATGTAATGAAATGGTTTCATCTGCTGTACTGGAAGACATGGTAGTCACTTAACACAAGATATTTATATTTGTTTACAAGGAATATTATTGTGCATCCATTTGAATGCAATACATTTTGCAATACATTCTACCTCTTGTGTCCTGGAAGCCCACTTCTACATTGAGTGAAAGCTGTTTGTTCTAACTTCTCCCATAATTCTTTGTACAGGAAGTGAGGGACATCCAGGAGGCCTTTGAGCGATACAAGGATGAGATGGCGGATGTTTCTGAGACAATCGAGATTGCAACGCTTGACAAAGAGATGGCTGAAGAGAAGGCAGAAACATTGCAGGTGGAGATTGACTCGATGAAGGAGAAGGTTGAGGAACTGACCCTTGACCTTGAACTTCTCCGAGGAGAGATCAGTGAGAAAGGTCAGCCAGGCTTGTTTTTCTTGTCTGTTAAAATAGAGATGTAGTAGGAATTTCATTGTTAAAGTTAGTAATAACAAAGTCTTAAAACTTATGTGACAATGCATGTCTACTTTTGATGTTTGATTTTGAGTGGAAATTCTCCCTGACCTATTTAATAGTCATGACAACTTATATTTGCCAGTGTCAACCTTCGCCTATGAATCTTGGTTTAAAATGCTGATGCTAGATGGACTTAAGTTATTGTGCGTAAAGACACAGCCGATCTATTTTGTAGGCACAGATGGCGTGGCAGCAAGCTATGAGCTGAAACAGCTGGAGCAGCAGAATGAGAGGCTGAAAGAGGCACTTGTCAAGTGAGTTCCAGCACATCACACTTTGTACTGATCCAGTAGAGTGTATATTTGTATGAATGTATATTTGTATACATGTCCGCAAGTTAGTGTGTGTGTGTGTGTGAAACATGTAGATGTGGAGAATATCTATGTATGTGAAACATATGTCGATTTGAAACCTCTGTGTGAATGAAGAACATGTTTGTGTGTACATGGAGAATTTCAGTATGTGAAGTGTATAGAAGTGCAGATCTCTGCAGACAAATCTTCTCTGTTTTCATGAAAGAGCTCACTTTACGCAGCCTGATGGTTTGTGCAGAATTATGGGTTTGTCAAATATATTGGTATGTGACATAAACATATTTGTATGTGAAACAGTTTTGAATGTGAAACATTTCTGGGTGTGAATCACCTCTTTTTGTTTCCCTGGCCATGAAACGTGTCCAAAACATTGCTGTATGTGAGCTACCTTTGTTTCCAGGATGCGAGACTTGTCCAATCAGGAGAAGCATGATTCCCAGAAGCTGGCTAAGCAGAATGAGAAACAGACGACAGATATCATCAACCTGAAGAAGGACAAGGAACGCTTCCAATCTGAGGCCTCAGAGATGCAGGAACAACTCATTGAACTCAAGGAACAGGTTGGTTGTAATTTTAAGCAGTAGTAGCTATACGGGCAATTAATGACTATATATCTTACATAACTGCACAATCAGACTGGATCTGAGGCAAATTTTCTTGAAGGAATATTTTTAAACTTAACCTATCTCACGGTATGCACCTCTCTTCTTCTTCTACGACCATGTGTGGCTTCTGCACCCCCACCCCCACCCCCGACTGTCAATCATCTCAGTAAGCGTGCAGATCGCTCAGATGATCACGTGATGCTCTGTGCCTATCTTTCTCTTTCTTGTCGCTACGTCGTGTGAAAGTGTGCTGATTTCTAGTGAAGATTTTGATTGTGAAGAAAGTTCAAGATGGGTAGATCTCGTCGCAGTACTCCTACAAAGCCCAAAAATTTTGACAAGTGCAATAGCAACTTTTCGTCGACAGATCCACATATGTTGTGTGTAGACTGTTTGGGATGTTGTGATTGGTCACACCGGTGCAATTACTGTGCTCCACTTGATGATGATGCATTTTTGGAGTATCTGCAGGTGGCTTCTTGACGTTTGTCGGATAGAGATTGTCGTAAACCTTCGGAGGGGCCTTCCTCTGCTAAACGATCGAAAACTGAACATCGCACCAAAACACCTGCTCGCCAGTTTAAGTCCCCGTCGCCAAATGAGGAATTTCTACGTGAGGCTTCCGACTCCTACTTGAGTGAGGATCTCCGGCGATTATTCTGTTCACAAGTATCCAGTCCTATTGTGATCCCAGATCGTTCGCCGACTAGAATCGCAGTTTTGACTACGTCATCTGGCCAATCCTATCCATCTAACCTAGTGACGATTTCACAGAATCTTGGTGATCCTACGCCGACTATGTCCAGTGCAGTGCTTAGTTTGAGGCCCAACATTCACTCTCTAGGGGTGGATACGTGCGGTTCGGCGCTTTCTACTTCCGTGATTGGCTCTACGTTTTCTACCCATGCACCGCTTGTTTCCAGTTCGGTGCTCTCTTACCCTCCTGTGGTATCTACTAGTATGATGTTGAGTTCCAGTTCAGCACTCTCTACATCTGCCTCATATGCCGTCCCGCCTGTTTATGGAGCACTGCCGACTTCCAGTACACCGTTTACCTCTGATGTGATGAGTACTTTCGCTGCACCGCTTGCTCACGGTTCAGCGTTTACGGTCAGAGCGCCGCTTGCTGTCAACTTGCCCTTTGCTCCCAGTTCGGCACTTGCTACCAGAGCGCCGCTTGCTCCCAATTCGACGATTACGTTCAGAGTGCTGCTTGCTGTCAATGTGCCCTTTGCTCCCTGTTCGGCGCTTGCTACCAGAGCGCCGCTTGCTCCTGATTCGGCACTTACTATCAGAGCATCGCTTGCTCCAGGTTCAATGCTTGCTGGCAGACAGCCACTTGCTCCCGGTTCGGCGCTTACTGTTGAAGCGCCACTTGGTATCAATGCGCCACTTAGTTCCGGTTTGACGCTTGCTGGCAGAGCACTGCTTGCTCCCGGTTCGGCGCTTACTGTTGAACCATCACTTCCTGTCAATGTGCGGCGCTTACTGTTGAAGCGCCACTTGGTATCAATGCGCCACTTAGTTCCGGTTTGACGCTTGCTGGCAGAGTGCTGCTTGCTCAGGTTCGGCGCTTACTGGTGATGCGTTACTTGCCTCCTATGTGCCACTTGCTCCTGGTTTGGCACTGAATGTCGGAGCGCCTCCTATTTCCAATATGCCGCTTGGTCCTGGTTCGGCGCTTCCTGTCAAAACTACGCTTGCTGCCGGTGTGATGCTTACTTCCAGTGTACCACAGTCTTCCAGTGTGCCACTTTCTACTGTTTCAACGTTGCCACCCTTACCAAGTCATCCACCCATGCCAGCCTCTGGTTCTACATTGCCTCCTACTGCGGGTACTACGTCTCACACATCGGCCAGACCTATTTTACCGGTTTCCTGGGATCCGTCTTATTAGAGTTCTGCGCGTCTCGACCTCTTGATTTTGATGCCATCGTTCACGCTGTGGCTGCGGTGTTACGTCTACCAGTCCCAGCTCCAGTATCGACAGTTCAGCCAGCTGGGCCTCCGGCCGTTCCACATCGTTCCAAGGATGAAACTCCTCTATCAGCTATGCCATCTCCCACTTCAGATGGCACTTCGGCTTCAGATGTCAGCATGGATGCTGTCGACACACCTCAGTTATTAGTTTGGATTGCTGATAACCTTCGACTACATCGTAGCAGTTCACCTTCGGACTTGTTGACTACCTATGATATGAAACCGGGGATAGATTTTGGACAGATCTGTTCCGTCAAACTTGGTCAGGCAGATCACTCTTTAACGGGGCTATAAGGGATATAGCTGCTAAGGTTGGACAGGATGCTCATTTGCAAGTCTCAGTGGAGCTGTTGAAGTTTCAACGATTGCAAGTAGAAGATTCGTTGCGTCAACTGCGGCCAGCTACCTATGTGCCGTCCAACCCAGATCTTCGTTTGGGATCTTCGACCTCTTTTCGAGGAAGAGGTTCGAACAGAGGATGCGCCGATCGTTCACTGCTTCTCGACCAGCTTCCGGTTCCGAGCAGTCCTCCAATCAGAGGACCCAGAAGCAGTGACTTGATGACTTCCGCCTCAATCGTACCTATCAAGACTTCCCCAGTGGGCGGAAGACTTGGGATTTATGCCCTCAATTGGAGCATCTTAGACGATCCTTACGTTCTCTCCACTCTGTCTCTCCACTCTGTTTCAACTTTCGGTCATCGGCAACCCTCCTCTCACATTGTTTCTGGAGCACAGGACGTATCCCGCTCGTCAACTGACTGTGCTACAATCCACCATAACTACGCTTCTTCAGAAACTTGCAATCGAATCCCTGGGCTCGGCTCTGACTAACCCGGGGCTCTACTCTCCAATATTTCTGGTCCCGAAGAAGGATTCAGACAAGTTGAGACTCATCTTCAACATGAATGTTTTCAACGAGATGTTCCTACAACCACCGCCTCATTTCCGTTTGGTGTCGGTGGCTCTACTCAAGACTATCATCAAACCGGGGGATTACATGGTCAGCCTGGACCTTCAGGATGCGTACCTTCACATCCCGATCTTCCTGGACCATTGTCTTCGAGGGCACCCACTACCAGTGGCGGGTGCTCTTGTTTGGAATTTCTTCGGCTCCGTGGTTATTTACACGGGTGACGAAGCCCATCACCAGCTTCCTTTATCACAAGAGGATACTGTCCGAGACGTACATCGACGATTGTATCCAGGCTCAGACCGACCGTGCACTCCTCTTACATCACATGGAGTTCATGATGCAGCTACTTCGGCAGTTAGGTTGGCTGGTCAACATGGAGAAGTCAGAGCCAGTCCCTTCATGCCGCCTGCAGTTCATCGGGGCGGTGTTCGACACAGAGCTTAGCAAACTGTTTGTGCCGAGGGACTGTTTCAACAAGATCCGGCGACTAGTTCCCCTTGCGTTATCTCAACCCAGGACGTCAGTGGCAGGAGCTCCTGGCTCTCTTGACATCGGCCCAGGCGTTGACCCTCAGGGGTCAGCTTCAACTTCAACCATTGCAGTCTTTCCTGGCTCCACACATCAGGGTGGGCAACACGCTTTCCCTGATCAAGTTACCTCCGGCGCTCTATCCCCATCTCCTCAGGTGGATGGAAGAGTTGAACGTCTGCGGAGGAGTTTGCTTGAGGCTGTTCGTCCCGACTCACCACCTGTACGTGGACGCATCTCTACACGGGTGGGGCTCACCTTCTCAATCAGCAAGTGGCAGGGCGGTGGTGTCTCGCAGATCTCGCGAGAGATTCTACGATAGACCTCTCTCATGGTCCGGTCGGACAATGCAGCGGCAATGTGGCACATCAACCGGATGGGATCGACAGGGTCTCCTCAACTCCTGCAGTGGACACAACAGTTCTTCCAGCTGGTGGACGATCTCAACATCTCTGTTCGAGCCAATCATATTCCAGGAGTGAAGAACGTGATTGCAGATTCTGTTTCCTGGCTGCTTCGTCCCTCCCCGACAGAGTGGAAACTACATCCTCAGGTGTTCCAGACCATCTGCTTTCCGTTGATGACTCCGACAGTGGATCTGTTCGTGACTCGCTTCAACCACCAGTTACCTCTGTTCGTGTCTCCGATTCTGGACCCTCTCGCCTGGGATCTCGACGCTCTAACGATTCCTTGGGACGACCTAAACGCGTGTACGCGTTTCCACCAGTGGCCCTACTTCCACGCATACTACTGAAACTACGCACGACCCAGCGGATGACAGTGCTTTTGGTCGCGCCCGAGGGTGGTTCATCGATCTACAAGAACTAGCCGATCCAGATCCTGTACCACTTCCCGAACATCTCGATCTTCTGGTGCACCTGCACTCCGATCAGCTGCATTGGTCTCCGCTCACACTTCATCTGCACGTTTGGCGCATCTTCATAAGTCGCTAACTGCGAAGGGATATTCTCAGCGTGTTGCTACTGCCATCACTACAGCACATCGCTCATCTACTAGGTCACTCTATGATGACAAGTGGAAGAACTTTGAAGCAAATTGCTTTTCCCACTACTGTTTCGCCGCAGTTGGTGGCAGAGTATCTCCAACATCTTCGTACCTCCAAAAAGCCTAAGGGTTCTACATTGTCTACTAAACCTGGCAGCTCTTAACACTGGTATTGCGCCAGTCACTGGTGTGAAGGTATCGTCTGTTCCTGAGCTCCAGTCTCTCCTCAGATCTTATAGACTTGCTGACCAATCCCGGAAGTTCCGACCACCATCTTGGGACCTTTCTGTTGTGCTTAATCATCTTACGTCAGCGACTTATGAACCCTAGGAGGGAAAAGACTTTGAGCAGATAACTTTCAAGACCTTCTTCCTCTTGGCTTTGGCCACTGCTGCCCGCATTTCCGAGTTACACGCCCTCAACGTCTCCCGGGTGCTGTTTGAGAGGTCAAGACATGCTAAAGTCTTTCTTGGTTTGCGGTGGGATTTCGTCGCCAAGAACCAACTACCTGGACAGCCGGACCGCATGTTCACAATTCCGCCACTGTCCACTGTCTTGGGTCCTGATGACACGGAAGATCTCTCCCTGTGCCCAGTTCGGGCACTGCGGATCTACTTAGCTGCCTCTAAAGACCGACTCAGGTTGCATAAGAGACTTCATCCCATTGTCTGCCGCCTCCACCTCAGAAGTATTGCGCACTACCTTGGCGTTCTGGTTGAGATCCACTATCCTGCGTGCCTATGCCTATGCCGACCTTCCTCCACCTTCTACAGCGAATCCTCATGAAACTCGGGCCCTAGCTTCCACCATGGCGCTTCATAGGAACTGTTCCCTCCAGGCAATCATGGAGGGATGTTATTGGAAGTCGGATACTGTTTTCGCCCCACACTATCTTCAGGATCTCTCGGTCACGGAAGTGGAGGGGCTACACCAGTTCGGCCCTCTGGTCCTAGCTCAGCAGTTGCCATCGCCCCGTGCTTGCAGATGAAACAGTCCTTCCGTGTGTCGGTTTTGCTTCTGTTGCTTCTTAGACCACCTCTCCTGGGGAACTAGGGCGTGGCTGCACTGTCATAGTTATGACTCTATAGACTGAGAGGCCAGACTTGTGCTACATGCAGAGGTGGTCGACACTCTCTGAGCAATTACCTGCGTGGTTTTCGAAGCGTTCCGCTCCTAAGTCCTTTCTCACCTTTGGTAAGTTAGGGGGATTGGTATTGAACGTTAAACGAGTTGAGTAACCGGGCTATTCCCTCTTTCACCTCCTTCCAGCTTGTGTCTGTGGGGTAGTTTCGAGGCAGGGACTGTCCAGATTAAGGTCTTCGACTTTAATTCACTGGGGTCACTTGATAAATCGCGGGAGACGGGGTCTACTTGCCAAACTGCGTCCTTTTGTTTGTCAAAAGTTGCGGCTGAAAACCATATTAATTCGGGACCCCCCACTCCCTAGAGTTTTTGTGCTGTGTAAGCTTAGGGGTTATCAGAAGCAACCCATCACAAGTTCGGAGTTAACATATCGGGAGTTGGTGCTTTCTCCTGGCCTCCTTGTGTTATCGCACCTCACGGGAGGGTGGGGAGGCCAGGAAGTTTTGATTCAACTTAGCCTACAGCACGTTTCCACATAAGGTCGTAGAAGAAGAGAGGTGCATACCGTGAGATAGATAAGTATATAAATAACAATTTATAGTATTATTTTCAAATTTAATCCATTCAAATTTTGCTTGACATGTCAGGATTTACACAGATTCACTTGCATAATTTTTACAGTTGTATCAGATTTGTTTGAAGCTCTTCTCATTCTGCCTTGTCCCTGATAACTCTGTATATATGTACCCGTGAAGGTCCAGGTTAGAATATTGATCTTCAGTAACCCATGCTTGTCGTAAGAGGCGACTAACGGGATCAGGTTGTCAGGCTCGCTGACTTGATTGACACATGTCATCGCTTCCCAATTGCGCAGATCGATGCTCATGCTGTTGATCACTGGATTGTCTGGTCCAGACTCAATTATTACAGACCGCCATCATATAGCTGGAATATTGCTGAGTGCGGCGGAAAACTAAACCCACCACTCACTCACTCACTCACTCACTGTATATATGTGTTAAAGATTTGGCCTTGTGGTCTCTTTGGAGTTGTATCAGTACAGTTGGTGTTTTGATGTTTACACTGTAATTCATGTAACACTGGTGGAATTCTCAGGGTCAGGGAATGTTCAACGATCAAGATCTAAAACATTATCTGAGAAACTGACCATTAACTCTGGTTTCCATGGTTACAGGTGGATGCTGCACTTGGTGCCGAGGAGATGGTAGAGAAATTGACAGATAGGAACCTAGAACAGGAGGAGAAGATCCAACAACTTGTTGAGGAGAATGCCGACCTGGTAAGTCATCTTTGGTAGATATTGACCTGTTGTATGTCATGTGATGAAATATGGTAGATATCAACCTGTAGGATGTCATGCCATGAAATATGGTAGATATCAACCTGTGGGATGTCATGTGATGATATATGGTAGATATCAACCTGTTGTATGTCATGTGATGAAATATGGTAGATGTCAACCTGTGGTATGTCATGTGATGAAATATGGTAGATTTCAACCTGTGGTATGTCGTGTGATGAAATATGGCAGATATCAACCTGTGGTATGTCATGTGATGAAATATGGTAGATATCGACCTGCGGTATGTCAAGTAATGAAACATGGTGGATATCAACCTGTGGTATGTCATGTGATGAAATATAGTAGATATCAACCTGTGGTATGTCATGTAATGATATGTGGCAGATATCAACCTGTTGTATGTCATGTGATGATATATGGCAGATATCAACCTGTGGTATGTCATGTGATGAAATATGGTAGATATCGACCTGCGGTATGTCAAGTAATGAAACATGGTGGATATCAACCTGTGGTATGTCATGTGATGAAATATGGTAGATATCAACCTGTGGTATGTCATGTAATGATATGTGGCAGATATCAACCTGTTGTATGTCATGTGATGATATATGGCAGATATCAACCTGTGGTATGTCATGTGATGAAATAAGGTAGATATCGACCTGCAGTATGTCATGTAATGAAACATGGTTGATATCAACCTGTGGTATGTCATGTGATGAAATATGGTAGATATCAACCTGTGGTATGTCATGTAATGATATGTGGTAGATATCAACCTGTTGTATGTCATGTGATGATATATGGCAGATATCAACCTGTGATTTGTCATGTGACGGTATATGGTAGATATCAACCTGCAGTTTGTCATGTGACGGTATATGGTAGATATCAACCTGTGGTATGTCATGTGATGATTTATGGTAGATATGAACCTGTGGTATGTCATGTGATGGTATATGGTAGATATCAACATGTGGTATGTCCTGGGATGATATATGGTAGATATCAACCTGTGGTATGTCATGTGATGAAATATGGTAGATGTCAACCTGTGGTATGTCATGTGATGAAAATATGGTAGATATCAACCTGTGGTATGTCATGTGATGATTTATGGCAGATATCAACCTGTGATATGTCATGTGATGGTATATGGTAGATATCAACCTGTGGTGTGTCATGTGATAATATATGGTTGATATCAACCTGTGGTATGTCATGTGAGGATTTATGGTAGATATCAACTTGTGGTATGTCATGTGATGATATATGGTAGATATCAACATTTGGTATGTCCTGGGATGATAAATGGTAGATATCAACCTGTGGTATGTCATGTGATGATATATGGTAGATATCAACCTGTGGTATGTCATGTGATGAAATTTTGGCAGATATCAGCCTGTGTTATCTGATTATGCAGTGACAGTGGATATCATGGTATGTCATAAGCCATGTTATGCTGTGTGATGCTGTTTCATGTCATAGGAGGTACTACTTGAGATGGAATATGTTGTGCAGTATTTCTTGTGGTATGATGTCATGCCTTCAAATGTCTGTCTGGCATTGCAGGAAGCGCTTCATGAAATGAATGAGGAACTGCAGGAGAACACCAGGGAGACAGAGCTGGAACTGAGGGAAGAGCTTGACCTTACACAAGCCAAGGTCACAGAGGTGAGGTCAAGGTCAACTTGTTTGAATAGAAAACATGAGAAATGTGAAAGAAGTAGCTCTTATGATGATGAAATTAACAAAACTGTTTGGACTGAGGTTTATGTCTGCATTTCTTCAGGATCATTAAAAGTAGGCTATCGGGTTCAGGTCAAAATAATGGGTAGTTTTAAGGTTTAAGGTAAGCGTTTCTTACCCATGGTCGTGAATGACTAACAGTGATCACATATGTGCTGTTTCAGACTCAAAGGAAATTGGACGCTACTCAGGAAACAATGGCTGACTATGAGGCCACCATAAGCAAGTTCCGTGACTTGGTGTCCCAGTTGCAGGTAGGTTGTAATGTTCTCTCTTTGATCAGATCATTAAGATTCCAGTTGAATGTGATCAAGTTTGAGTGTTCACTGTTGGAATGCATGGGTTGGTATTGATTCTCATTTGATCAATAAGGATGTCAGTGAGTTATTATGGTTTTAGGACACTTTTAGCAATATCTCATCAATGTAATGTTCTATGAAACCAGAATTGGGCTTCATGCATTGTTGGGAATCAAACCTAGGTCTTTGGCATGATGAGTGAATGCTTTCACCATTAGACTACCCCCAAAGATGTAAGAGATGGATCAGTTATGTTTCTTTGTTTCCATGGTAACAGGATGCGAACCGAGAGTTACGCAGCAAACAGCAGGAGTCTGAACACAAAGCGGAAACACCAGCCATCGAGATGTTTGACTTCAAGGCTAAGTTTGCTGAATCTAAGGCTTATGCTAAGGTAGGGTGACCTGTTAATACAAAGCACACTGCATGGATGTCATGTCGTATGTACTTCACTGTCAGTGTGGTTGTCCTTGTTGACTGTTGTAGTGTAGCCACACATCACTCTTTGCTCCATCTCCGCATATGTAGGACTACCACGAACAGGAACCTAATCATATCTTCCACTTCTTGTTCCTGTATGGCTTTAAGTTTAACTCACTCACACACTACCTCTTTCATTATGCTCCATCTTTACTGGATGCCTGGTAGTAACTTTACTTTGTGTGTCACACAGTTTAAATGTGTGTACCTGTACAAACACAGAAGCTACATAGAAATAACTCTATGGAACAAATATTTTGTGAATACATCTTCTTGTGCTTCTGTTGATGTGATAGACATGAAACAGTCACATATGTTTCTGATACTCCTGTTTTAGAGTGCTGTGGCTTATGTATAGGTTATATGTTCATATTTGATGATAGAATTAGAATTTAGTCCAAATCTGCAGCTTTGTTAGTTTGTTGACATGTGAGCATGTACCTTGTAGTCATGTATACTAACTGGCATGCGCACAATTAACAGGGGTGGAAAAATGTTTTTAATTAAAGACCTGTGAATTTTGTTTTGACAAGTTAGGCCAGACCAATTTTATTTCTTGTTTTACGGATCCACCTGTTGTAATTTTTTTCAAGAATAAGAAAAAAAAGGAAAAAATTCCTTGCTCAAAAAATGAAATCCTAATGTTAATGTGATATAAGTGAAATAGTCTTGAAATCAGTGTGAAACTAACTCACTCAACTTATTTTTAGTTGATAAACCAAAAGAGTTAACATGGAAACTCTTGTGGGTTTTTGCTTTCACTGGTGATTTTTTTATTTATTTTTTCCCCTCCTGCCTTAAGGTTTTCAGAGGACAAAAATCTGTAAAACAAGAAATAAAATTGGTCTGGCCTTACCTAACGATGTTCCTGGTAATGTTTATGTAAAGCATCCTCTGGTCCATGTAGGCACGGAGTGATAATGAAATAATGAAACATGTTGTTGTTCTGTCGGAAATGCGTATGTATGTGGTTCATACTTTCCAGAATCCTGTTTCTGTTCTTAACTTTAAGTCCCAAAAAGAAATTTCTTAAACAACTGATCCTATTTGCTATATATACTATGTATAGCGTCTACGCATTGATGAAAGATTTGGACGATATTTTAGTGGTGTATATATTGGTGAGCTAAAAGGTCTGGATAAACAACATGATTTTACAGATGAACTGTAGCAATCTGGAGGAATTGCTTGATCCATAACATTTTATGAGTAGGATATGCCTTCATAAGCCAGACCTTAGTTTTAGAGTCAATAATGTCATTTTTTCCACCCTTGGTTAAGCTTACACAAACTGCATGCATATATGGAAGTGTATTGACGTGTCCATCTCACTGTACCATGACAATGTGCACACTGATGTCTGTTTGTATATGTATGGCTGTAGGATGACATGGCCAGGACGTGCCCAAAACGGGACCCATTGTCCTACCAGAAGGTAACAGCTTGTCACGGCAATGGTTGTTCACCTGTCTGCAGCTCCTTCTCTTGTTTGAGTTCAGTTCTTGATGTTACATGTATCTATGTGAAAACTGAAATCCTACAGTCACACTTATCATCCGTAATGATAAGATTTAGACAGTAATACAGTGTTTCAGAGATCTGACATGACAGTATGTAACCTATGAAGGTATTCTAAAACCCAATCAGATCTTCTTCTACTGTTTGTTCTTATTAGAGTAATTGAAGGAAAAACATACTTTGAGTTTTTAATTTTGTAATGTAACATCATTTGTTTTTGTAACTTTGGCTCAGGGATCAGCTGTGTTTTGTTTATAAGCTTGGGGCTTTCAACTATTCTCTCTCTCTTGCAGATTGTTTCCCTTACAGATTGTCTCCCCTGGAGATTTCCCATTGCTCTTGTGTAATCTGTCAGTTGTTATACTATCGCCTGCTTTACATTAGTGAAATATTATGTCAAACAAACATACCTGATTATTGCTATATACAATAATATAGGTATCACATGACAACTCTCACTGCATAGCTGTGAGATGTAAGTATACGATAACTGCTTGTATGTGTAGATACAGTAATGCACAATCATAGGTATTTTACAAAACATGTAACTACTAGTATGTGTGATATGTAATGGCAGGTACAGTAATATAGTTTTCTAGTATGTCTATCGGAAAGAATGTTATCCATGTTGATTCCATTGCACAGATGTTGGACAGCATTCCAAGGTCTTGCTTCACTGTGTACTTTGAATATTTTACTGCTCTTACGGTATAAGTCATTCTGTCTTCAGGAAAGATCCATTAAAATAGGTGGTGGTTTATTTCCTGTGTATTATTCATGGTTATGTAACATTTGCATGTGGGATTGTGCCTGCTTATCAGGTGATATGTTGTAGTATGTAGACATGGATGAGACATGTAACACTGGTATTGTTGTTGATGTTGTAGACTATTGACATGGAGTTGAGGAAGCTGGAGGTGCACCAGGCCAACTCCCATGTCCAGATGCTGCTGTCTTTCATGCCAGACTCCTTTATCAACAGAGGAGGTAGGTACAATGAGGTCCTTTATCTGAACAGCAGTGGTTTGTGATCCTTATCTGATCTGGTATGTCAATCTCACCTGATACAGTATGTGAATCTCATCTGGTATGTGAATCTCATCTGATACAGTATGTGAATCTCATCTGGTATGTGAATCTCATCTGATACAGTATGTGAATCTCATCTGGTATGTGAATCTCATCTGATACAGTATGTGAATCTCATCTGGTATGTGAATCTCATCTGATTTGGTTTATGATCCTCATCTGGTCTGGTATGTGAATCTCCCATTCTGGTATGTGAACCTCGTCTGATCTTGTATGTGAATCTCACCGGTTTGGTATTTGAATCTGATTCTGATCTGTCATGTGAATCTCCCGTGATCAGTCATATGAATCTCCCATTCTGGTATGTGAATATCACCAGATTTTATATGTACACTGCATCTTGTTACAGGGGATCATGATGCTGTCAATGTCCTCCTCATGGTACCACGTATCATCAACAAGACAGAACTACTTGCCTCGCAGGTGAAAGACAAGGTATGTATAGGTTATGCTGGATTACATGATGGCAGATTTTCATTGTGTACAAGTAATAATAGTAATAATGCGTCCATTTATATAGCGCCAAACTCCACACTAGGTATGCTCATAGAGCTAACAATCAAGGCACAGCATATTATTACCCCAGATAATCCAAGCTGCCTGTTAGGCGCTAGAAGGTTATAGTCATATGACTTTTTCCACCGGGTACCCATTTTCCTGCTGGGTGAACAGAGACAATTTTGAACAAACTCACTTGCCTAAGGTGAGACCACATGTGTCACATGTGCTTCGTTGTGGGGCAGGACTCAAGTCCTAGAAACTCTCAGGAGTCAAGCTGCCAAACACGGTCACCCATCCAAGGACTCTCCGAGCTTGACGCTGCTTAACTTCACCGATTTGTGACCTGAGCTTTGAGCACAGGACCATGTTAGATGACCACAATACACATGTTACATGATCTATATATAATATATACATCATTTGATACATTTGATCTGTGATAAACACAACGCATAATGCACTGAAGTCACAGCAGTGTCAGATCCTATAGGACTTTAAAGCACTCTGCTGCATTATGATAGCTACACCTGAAACGTAAGAGGCAGCTAATGGGATCATAGGGTGAGGCTCACTGACATAGCTGAGTCGTGACTATGTGGCGTTAAACAAACACATGTAACTGTCAAGACTGACCAGTGATATGTTGCTTTCAGTTTGAAATTGTTGACGCCATCACTCGCGATGATGTGTTGAAGAGTCACAAGGCAGAGCAGAACAGCTTTGCCCATGAGCTTGTGTTGATGCTGAATACCTTGCAGGGCATCATGAGACAGTATGAGAGGTATGTAGAGAAGCCTAGTGTTTGTTTCCAGTGAAATACCACATGGCCATACACTGAACAAAGTTTTAGACTGTAGACACTTCTAAGAACATACGAAAGCCTGAGTGGAAGTGAGTTGATTTGCCTTTTGTTTGTGAAGGGTGCCACCATTGGGCAGAATGCACTTACCTCCATGCAAACAGCTGCTATCGTCATTGTTTTAGTGATTCATAAACGTTATTTGCCCATGATAGAATCAGAATTAAACAGTCGATTCTTTCTTTCTGCTCACTGCGAATAGCTGCAACATTGCTGATGCGGCATTAAGCAATATTCACTCACTCTTTCCTTCTGCAGGCTAAACTGTGTTTGTTATTCTGTCCATATTTTGAGTAGTATCTGCTAGAAGTGATCTGAAGTGACAGGTTAGAGCAAGTAGATTCTAAAGTTTTTGGTGCAGAATCTTCATCCTTCAATTGTCTAAAAGAAGTATCCCTTACTTCTTTCAAGTTTACCCCAGAGGGGTTCTATGTTATGATAGGCTTGACTAAGTGGATGATAGGGCATTCGGACACAGTGATTGGGTGGTTGCATGTCATGACACTCACACAATGTGGATTGATGCTTACATCATCAGTCACTGGATTATCTGGTCCAGACTCAGTTAATCATATAGCTGGAATGTGGAATCAAACCACAAAGCAACAACCCAAATCAAGTCTAAACATGTAATCCAACTGTCCTGGGCCTCCTTTCACAAAGCACTAGGGTGATCGTAAGTCACTAAGGTAACCTTAGTGCAATGTTAAAGAATGGGAGATAAGGTTAACCTTAGTAAAGATTGCTTCATGAAAGGAGTCCCTGTGTGATTGTGTGTTCACAGTGCTCTGAGCAGCTGTAGCACTGAGCTGTTCACCAAGATCGGGACGTTGCTGCCGGAGATGATGGCTCACGAGAAGGCGGTCGACTACTTCATAGACTTGCTGAGGAAGGACCAGGTGAGTCCCCTGCTCAGCTAGGTATTACTGTTAGTGGGCTTCAAGATCAGCCAGGTATTACCGTCAATGAGGTATTTTTTGGTCCGTGAGATATTCTGGATCCTCGAAGTATTCCTGGATATGTGCTGTGTTTGGGGATAAGTGGTGTGTTTATGGGATCAAACGTGAATTTCTTTGATCAGTTTTGTGTTTCCAGGATCAGTGGTGTATTTTTATTATGATCATTGGTGCATGTATAATTCGTGACTTTCTATTTCTTAGATCAGTGATGTAATTGTCTGAGCAGTGGTGTACTTCGTTGTGCTCATCGGAAATATCTTTTTTTACATGAATTAATTGTTGTTGAAGTTACGTTTTGCAATACAATAAGGTCTAGATTAAGGAGGAAAAGTGTTTTTATATACAAAACATTGTCTTCACCGTCGCACTCACCTGACTTTTCTGTTCCATCAGCTGGATGAGACAATTTCCCTGGAACTGCTGGAAAAGTCCATCAACTTCTTCCAGGTAAGTCTCCCTGACCTCTGTGAGTGCTGTGGGTGTCTGAGTGTATGAGAGTCCTTGAGTGTTGGCATTTATACCTATGAGAGTGTTTCCTGGGCCCTTTTACGTGTACTGATAAGGTGATTGTAACTGCCATGCTTTAACACAGACTAATGGCAGTCACTTTAGCAGGGCACAGGTGTGTGACTTGTTTATGAACAGCATGTCTGAGAGTAGGAGTCCTAGTATCCTAATGAATAGTTGACCAAGAGCCTGGTGTTGGTGACTCCGGTGTTGGTGAGTGTTTGGGAACATGGGTGTCTGAGCGTGGGGCTTTGGTGTTGATGAGTGTTCAGGAACATGGGTGTCTGAGCGTGGGGCTCTGGTGTTGGCAAGTGTTCAGGTACATAGGTGTCTGAGTCTGGGGCTCTGGTGTTGGTGAGTGACCAGGAACATGGGTGTCTTAGTGTGAGACTCAGGTGTTGGTGAGTGTTCAGGAACATGGGTGTCTGAGTGTGAGACTCTGGTGTTGGCGAGTGTTCAGGAACATGGGTGTCTGAGTGTGAGACTCTGGTGTTGGTGAGTGTTGAGGAACATGGGTGTCTGAGTGTGAGACTCTGGTGTTGGCGAGTGTTCAGGAACATGGGTGTCTGAGTGTGAGACTCTGGTGTTGGTGAGTGTTCAGGAACATGGGTGTCTGAGTGTGGTGTTGGTGAGTGTTCAGGAACATGGGTGTCTGAGTGTGAGACTCTGGTGTTGGCGAGTGTTCAGGAACATGGGTGTCTTAGTGTGAGACTCAGGTGTTGGTGAGTGTTCAGGAACATGGGTGTCTGAGTGTGAGAGACCAGGTGTTGGTGAGTGTTCAGGAACATGGGTGTCTGAGTGTGAGACTCTGGTGTTGGCTAGTGTTCAGGAACATGGGTGTCTGAGTGTGAGACTCCGGTGTTGTTGAGTGTTCAGGAACATGGGTGTCTGAGTGTGAGACTCTGGTGTTGGCGAGTGTTCAGGAACATGGGTGTCTGAGTGTGAGACTCTGGTGTTGGCTAGTGTTCAGGAACATGGGTGTCTGAGTGTGAGACTCCGGGGTTGTTGAGTGTTCAGGAACATGGGTGTCTGAGTGTGAGACTCTGGTGTTGGCGAGTGTTCAGGAACATGGGTGTCTGAGTGTGAGACTCTGGTGTTGGCTAGTGTTCAGGAACATGGGTGTCTGAGTGTGAGACTCTGGTGTTGATGAATGTTCAGGAACATGGGTGTCTGAGTGTGAGAGACCAGGTGTTGGTGAGTGTTCAGGAACATGGGTGTCTGAGCGTGAGAGACCAGGTGTTGGTGAGTGTTCAGGAACATGGGTGTTTGAGCGTGAGAGACCAGGTGTTGGTGAGTGTTTAGGAACATGGGTGTGTGAAATTGAGTGTCTAGGTATTCTGGAGTATGTGTCAGGACACGTGGATGTCTCATGGAGTTGGAAACTATGAACATGGAGAGTATGTATTGGCTGTGGGATGTTTCAGCAATTTTGTACAGTGTACACACTTGTTGTCTGCAGCAACTGTACTGCGTGCACCTGGTGAATGAGAAGATGGACTGTACGACGCTGCTGTCGGACCAGGTGAAGCAGGTGCTGAGTGCCTGTGACTGCATCACCACCGACATCACTCGCCTCAAGATCCTCCTCATGGTAATGCTCCTGTTGTTTTTCCACCTCTTGATGTATTGTCCCACATGTGGTGGCCTGTCACAGCTGCTTGTGTTGCACCTTTGTTGCATTTCTGTTGGACGGTGGGATAGCCTGGTGGTTCGCTCGTCACGCCAAAGACCCGGGTTCGATTCCCCACATGCGTACAATGTGTGAGGCCCATTTCTGTTGTCCCCTGCAGTGATATTGCCGGAACATTTCTAAAAGCGGTGTAAAACCATACTCACTGCATTTCTGTCAGGGTCATTTTTGCACAGAGATTTGGAGACAGTAATTTTTATTGAAAGAAGTATTAACTCTATTTACTGGGTATTTAAATTACAGAGACATACATAATGTAAGAAGATTGCAGCATGTCTTTGTGCTGATTGAGTTTGTGGTTTTTCAGCCAGGACAGGAGCAGAGTGAGTTTTCCATCCTAATGCGTGACTTAGAGACGTGCAACAACGATGCACGCATGTGCGCCAGGAAGGTATGTATAACCCTAGCTTCCTATCCCTGGGTCACATTTGGGATTTATAAATACCACTGTTAGGTTTCATAGTTGCAACGTATTTCACATCCTAAAATGTGAAACACTATTCATGAAAAATGTCTTTATTAACATAAATAAGGCAGTTTGAATATTCTCAGTTAAGTTTTCTTGAGCAGTATCCCTGCATTATCAGAGGAGGGTTGTGAGTATAATACGTTTAATCGTTGAATATCGAAATGTATGTGTTATGTATTTTAGATCAAGCGAAGACTCCCGCAGGAAGGTTCTGCCATCATCACACCACTCATGTTTGGAAAAGAGGTAATGTATGAATAGAAAAACTTGTTTTACTTTTCTCATTTAAATTATTTTACTGTCCAATCTATTTATGGATGAGTCTCATTGATGTAAGGTGTTGAATGTGATGTCCTTTGTTCATGGTAAAATTGCTTATATGATTAATTACCAGCACTGACTTGTGTACTGCAATTCACAAGGATACAAGTTTATGGAAATACAAGATTGTGAGGGTTTCTGTGCTCACATAAATCCTGATCTTCCACTGATTCTGTGATGCTCATTCACAGGTCATTGAGTTGCTGCAGTCATGCACGAAGAATGTGTCCCATGTGGCTAAGTCACTGATCCACATCGCCAGTGGGGGCATGCAGCAGGCTTCTGTCATGACAGGTAGGTGTCACCTGGAGACAGTGGGGGCATTAGTTGTGTGTCATGACAGGTATGTGTCACCTAGAGACAGTGGGGGCATTAGTTGTGTGTCATGACAGGTAGGTGTCACCTAGACACAGTGGGGGCATTAGTTGTGTGTCATGACAGGTAGGTGTCACCTAGACACAGTGGGGGCATTAGTTGTGTGTCATGACAGGTGACAGCATTAGTGTGTGTCATGACAGGTAGGTGTCACCACAGTGGGGGCATTAGTTGTGTGTCATGACAGGTAGGTGTCACCTAGAGACAGTGGGGGCATTAGTTGTGTGTCATGACAGGTAGGTGTCACCTAGAGACAGTGGGGGCATTAGTTGTGTGTCATGACAGGTGTGTCATGACAGTTGTGTGTCGTGACAGGTAGGTGTCACCTAGACACAGTGGGGGCATGGTTGTGTGTCATGACAGGTGTGTCATGACAGGTAGGTGTCACCTAGAGACAGTGGGGGCATTAGTTGTGTGCCATGACAGGTAGGTGACAGGTAGGTGTCACCTAGACACAGTGGGGGCATTAGTTGTGTGTCATGACAGGTAGGTGTCACCTAGAGACAGTGGGGGCATTAGTTGTGTGTCATGACAGGTAGGTGTCACCTAGACACAGTGGGGGCATTAGTTGTGTGTCATGACAGGTAGGTGTCACCTAGACACAGTGGGGGCATTAGTTGTGTGTCATGACAGGTATGTGTCACCTAGACACAGTGGGGGCATTAGTTGTGTGTCATGACAGGTAGGTGGCACTTCGACACTGCCAGGGCCATAGGTTGTGTATTGTGTATGTTTGATGCTGAATTTCCTTTGGTGTGATATGCCACTGTTGTTCTACGTTAGTTGTCATAAGTACTATTGATGTATCTTATTTTTTATGACATTCGCCAAATCAAATCATCCATCCTAAATTCCTCCTTGTGTAATGTCTGACACTCCATGTAAATCCGAGTACACTTTGGGTGACAGTCTAGTTTTGCAGTTCTCATCTGTTTGTGTGATTTTGCTTTTTTATGTTCGTTTTTGCTTTGGTTGATTCTCACCCTTTATTTCAGGTTCATTATCTCACATTATTTACAGCCTTTGACAAAATCAAATATTTTATGATCAGATTCAAATGATTTACTATTTTATTTTTAATTTCTTCTGCATATTTGTTCATCAAATGAAAAGTAATTTAATAGCAGGTGCTATAATCAGGAGGAGTGACCTGGTGTCATCAGTGATATCAGATGCATTCAGTGTCCCAGTGGAAATTACTGACGAGTCCAAACTGAATGTCGGTGAATGTTTGCTAGAATTATAAAATCAGAAGACGAATAATGGACCATTGCTGTTGTTGTTTTTGCTGTGATTACATCAGCTTTGTTTACGTTGCTAACGGCTGACACGTCTTGATTCTCAGCCGGGAACCTGGAGGCATATTCTGGTAACTTGCTCACCGTGTCCATCTTGCCTGATATCGACAGTTCTCAGATAGCTGCTTGCTTTGTACTGTCTTGATGCAGTATTCCTTTATTTTACCTTGATATAGTCATGGAGGTTCTGCAACTCTGATCTCTCCCTAGTTGTCAAAACACTTTGATTATATACACAAAAAACACAGTCTTATTCTTATGTAGATCACCCTTGATTCTGGGTTAGAATTGGTGCCATTAAACGGTGACCAAACTGATTAGATGGTCAGACTAGGTGACTTGGTTTATGTTATTGTATGTTAAGACGTGGATAGGTGCTCACTAGGTCAATCACAGGAGGGTCTGACCTGGATTATTTACATGCTGCTGTCATACAGATGGATCATTGTTACGGAAGAGCATTGTTAGTAAATACCAACCAAACGAAATCATATTTTACCTGACTGAACAAAATTGGACTAATGTGCAGTTTGGACTCTCATTTACTATTCTGTCTGTTTAGCTGAAGAGAAAATTGTGGATGTTGGGTTTAATGTTTATGAAAGAAAGCTATCTAGGATGTCCCTATGAGGAGATTTGATATGACCACACCTAGAGTTTAATTTAGGTCAATTTAATTCTTCGCTTTTAGTCTACCCTTGGAACCTTAGTAATCTTGACAGCCAGAAAGGACGACACAGTTTTCAGTGTCACGACTCATTTAGAATTTAAATTAGAATGAATTAAATTTAAATTGAAACAACATTCACTTTGTCTGTATTGTTGTCTCTTCACTGTGTATGGCTACAGGATATATACTCTTGTAGTCAGACCCTGTGAGCAGGCCACCCCACTAGTGTTGGGAATTGGTTGAAATCTCACAATTGATGATGGATTCATTACCAACGAACAATCATCGAAAAAAATTGGTTAGCGTCATTTTTCAGATTTTCCTATCCAGGTTGTTATTGCAGATATGAATAACATGATGCAACTTGCTACTTTAAAGTGAAGACTAATATATCATGAACATAAACTTCCCGGAGTCTTTAGGAAATATTGTGAAGCCCATTTCTGGTGTCCCCCGCCGTGATATTGCTGAAATATTGCTAAAAGCGGCTTAAAACCAAACTCAGTCAGTCAGTTAGGAAATATTCAGTCATGGCTTTTCAGTTAGTGAAGTGAGTTTTCTAAGAATTAAACACGTTTTCAGGACCTGACACTTCAACGATATGTTCCATTGTCAATTATTTTAAAGACTAAAACAGTAGTTCCAAAATCGTTCATGTTTCGATTATGAGAAAATGTGATCGATTGCTTGGTCCTTTGGTCACTGCGACCAATCTTCGACTATTTCAATTAATCGGAACACCACTACACCCCACAGATGGCTACTGACTAGATCACTCCCAGGTATGTAGCCTGACATAACTCTGTATCCCGAGTCATTTGTCTGAAATCTGTTAATAATTGGTGGAAACAGTACTTGATTGACAGGGTGTCTCATATATATGTCATGAGTGTGTGGGCAAACCGAAGAGAGATCAGAGTTGGAATGTCCATGGCTATGCATGATGTGTTGGACTATATCATTAGACCATGTTATGTAGATCCAGTATGTTTGTCATATCTTGGTGTATCTTTCATGTTCTGTTTATCTGTGAGACATACGCTAGCCTTGTCTACTTATATCTCTCTGACACTTGAGCTGGCTGTGTCCATGTACATCTTCTCTGGTGATGTCTTTGTTTTTCAGATCTGACACTAATAATTCTGAATCAATAATTTTGCTTCGTCTGCACAGTATTTCTTGCACACATATCAACTTTATGAGGTTGTAAGAGTCCCAAAATAGTTCAATATGTTTACTCGTGTTTTATTTTTACTGTTTTGTCTCAAATTGTCATTTAGTTCGGACCTCATGGAAATTTTCTTACCAGAAACTTGTTGTCAAATCTTGCCAGTATTAGGTTGGGCCATCATCTTACAAATTTGGAATTATATGGACAATTATAAGACAAAATAGAATGGGTGTCAACTTCTTCTTTATTCACCTGACCAAGGGGCAGGGAAAAGCCCAGACATGTTGTGTACAGAATAAAGAAGAAGTTGACATCCATTATATTTTGTCTTATACTTGAATACCAACTTCTATGTGCCTCTCAAGAACCTTTTATGGATAATCTTGTATATAATAGTGATATAGTGATATGAGCTTTGTGAAACTGAACTCCTTTTGCAGTAAGGCATTTATTGACTCAGAATTGTTCTGTTAGTGCAGACATCCTCCGTACACTAACTGTTCTTGTCCATCAGAGGTCTGACTATGCATACTGCCTGCCGTGAGGACTTTCCGTCAAGTCTCAACCTGCACTGTGTCAACAACAGCTTGAGAAGCTGGTCCTTGACGTTATGTTATTGTAGAGTGTAGGAGTTACCTCCCCTTATTTCCTTTCCTTTTGCCTTTTCCCAACCTTGCAACAATACAAAGTTTGTGCATGTAAAGAGATACAGTACACATATAGTGGTTGACAAGCAAGAGTCCAGTGACATTCAGCCTTAGGAATTCATATTTTTCAGTCTAGTTCAGATGATTAGTGAAAACCTTGTTTCAGAAGGTTGTAATAGTCCATATAATAATATTGAAAATGGTTTTAAAGGCCAAGTTTGGTTCAGTAGATTCAGAAGTTTATTGGCCCAGATCTCATGTAATGTTCTTATGTTACAGGCCAAGTGTTGAACTGTACCTTTCCTTATGCTTTTAATTTCGCCAATGCTGGCAGCTGAATTGTCATGTAGCTGGAAGAGTTTCATTTGTGTTCTATGTTTCAAACACATCTAAAGTTTTGTGAAGTTTACCAAGGCAGAGGTTTGCGAAAATCAGGGGAGGTAACTCTGTTTATTTCTGGATAATAGATGGTTGTTCATTACATGATCTTGTCCATATTTTTGTGTAATTACTAACACCATTTATGTCTTGAAGCCCTTAATCATCATCATAATCATCATTTCCATCAAAAGAAGTTTCCTGTTTGCAGCCAGTGATATCCCTTGTTTCTGTTTTCACTTGACAATGTGTTGTGTATTGATGTGTGACAATCTCCCACTTTACAGAGAGGGAAAAAAAAGGCAAGGATGAGGTATTTCTTTACTAACTGTAGCTGAGCAGGATGCAGGTGGTTGTCGAGCTTCACCAGCCATGGGGCATATAGGCTATCCAGACTAGTAGATATCTGGCCGACTTGGTGTCCATAACATGTACACACTTAACACAGCTTACTAAACTTACATTCCTATTTAGTCCTTGTTTACATGATCACATTCACCATGGTGAAAGTTTAATGATTTCATAGATTTCTCTTTATTTATTAATATGATGTAATATGACAAAAGTTTTAGAACTAGTATCAGCAGATTGGATTTTAGTTTCTCCATAACCAATGCTTCACATACAAAGCAACTATTTGGCTGGTCAGACTTACTGATTTGGTTGATGCATGTCATTTTCTCCCAGTTTCTGAGATTGATGGTAATTATGTCAATCACTGCATTGTCTTATAGCAGGAAGATTGTTTAGTGGGACAGTAGTCAACAAACAGACAGACAAAGAAACAAACATGCTGCTGTACATGGCTGACACCAGTGTTCATGTTCTTGCCCTATGCTGGTCCTAAGAGGTGACCAATCAGATCAGTTTGTGTGACGTGGCGAACCCTGGCTGAATGAATCAGTGTTCACAATATCGGTCACTGGAGTTTCCAGTACAGACTTGATTACTTATATGCCTTAGTCACATAGCTGGAATGTTGCTGAGCTGAACACTTTCCTGGAAACAGTTCATCACATGGAGAAACACTGACTGCTTCTCACATAGTCGATCTTCCTACTCGTAGTTTAGAACAGATTTTCCACAAAACTTACATCTCACTGACAGGGAAGTGGTACTTTGTTAAATCTGAAAAGGACATATTCTACCTGCTGGCTTCATTAAAATTTACTTGCCATTTACCGACCTGTGACGGTCTGGGTAAGAATATTGATCTTCAGTAACCCATGCTTGTCGTTATAGGCAACTATTCGGATCGGGTGGTCAGGCTCGCTGACTTGGTTGACACATGTCATCGGTTCCCAATTGCGCAGATCGATGCTCATGCTGTTGATCACTGGATTGTCTGGTCCAGACTCGGATTATTTACAGACCGCTGCCATATGGCTGGAATATTGCTGAGTGCGGCGTAAAACTAAACTCACTCACTCACTAACTTTCCCTTTACCACCTGACATTGACACTCTGCAACACATGTTGATCCTGTGGGCACTGTAACATGCCATGCAATTAAAGCTTTAACTAATCCAGGACAGGCGAAGGGAATAGAATCATGTGTCTGAGAAGGTTCCAGAATTGGTGATTGGTTGGCCACATGATAACATGTATTTATGAAGAGTAGGTTGAAGCTTCACAAATCAGTTGTGTTGACCAGATGGCATGCTGTCACTTTCTGAAGATTGATGACATGTTTGGCTGACAACATTCTGGCACTGTCAGCCATTGATCTGAGAGAGTTTAAGGGCTGGTTGTGGGATTTAGACTAGGGAAATGGTCATCATTGAATCATTATCATGTACTAATGGTATGCATGTTATGAATGCAGAATCCTCTGTGGTGCCACTAACCTGCATGATGGCAGCTACCAAGTAGCTTTCTCTCAGTGCTGTAGCTGGGGCTTCGTTAGTCTGTACTGTTGGACTAACCAGGGTGGGGTGTAGGGATGGAGGGGGATTTAGGGGGCACCTCACAAGTTACAGTCAGTTTAGAGAATATGTTAAAATGTAATATTTGGTTTTGAGGAAAAGTTGATAAAGATGACAAAATGTTTAAAATACGCTTGTCTGAGTAAATTTCTTCTAAAAATATGGCCTGACTTCTTTTCAAGTCTTTGGTGGGTGTAGTGTAATGTGTAGTCTTGAATATAGCATAACTTTTGAATATTACATTCGTCATTTATTTATGTTTTGTTTGGCAAGTTATTGACATTAGTATTAGTTGAAGTGACAGAGACAGAGATGTAGCGAGAAGGCACCCCACCCCTCCTCACCCTCACAGCGCTACAAACTTACTCTTATTTTACATCTTAATCGACTCTTTGCTTAAATTCAGTTTTATCTTTAATCATAGCTGCACCTTTTCTTCAACATTTGTTTTCTTGTTAGCATAACTGTGCCATCAGTGATCATAACGTTTCACAGAGTATGTGTTAAAGACGGACATTGTGTCTATATATCACCCAAGGGTATAATGTCTCTGTATGTCTTTTCATCACAAGAAGTGCTGGGTAAAATCTACAGTCTTGTGACTTATTACCACATAAGACTTGATTTTAGTTGTTGTTAGCAAGACAAGAATCTACAGAAGATGGAGTATGAGTATGTTGAGGACAAAGAGGAGAGTGTCTGTTCAGGACATTGTGCAAATGATAATATTCACCAAATAGTGTGTTAGTGTCATGATAATGCCTCGACATCCACCAGATAATGTGCTAGTGTCATCATATTTGCTGATATTTACTGGATGATCTGCTAGTATCATGATATGGTCTGATATTTACCAGAGGATGTGCTGGTGTCTGTTTATGACTTGGCTTGATGTTCACTAAATGATGTACTAATGACCATGCACAATCTGTCCAGATGCTGAGGGTCTCATGCCCAAGAAGCTGGAGGAGCTGGCATACCAGGCCACAGACCGGGTCTACGGCAAGGAAGACAATGGACCCTATGAGTGTCTGAGGTCAGTCGAGGGTACTAGGGTAGTCCAGCAGTTAAAGCAGCAGACTGTCACACCATGGGTTTGATTTCATTGTAGTAGACTGGGAAAGCTAATTGTTAGTGTTCTCTGCTAGGATATTTCAGGAATACTGTGAAAGTGGTATGAAAGGACATGAAACCATGGCTTGTCTATTTACAAGCAGCTGTGATATAACTGAATTAGCGTACACTGCAACATGGAATAACATATTGTATCATCTGGAAATGTATGTACTGGCTTCAAGGATAGTCGGGGCTGTGGGGTAAAAGCGCTATTCGCCGTCCGGAAGGCCTAGGTTTGATTCCCCACATGGGTACCATGTGTGAAACCCATTTCTGGTGCCCCTGCCCTGATATTGCTGGACTATTGCTAAAAGCGGAGTAAAACCATACTCACTTGAAGGATAGTGACTGTGTCTGTATCCTCTTGATGTAATTAGTGGCAGAGTGTGATATGTGTTCTATGTTTCAAACACATCTAAAGTTTTGTGAAGTTTACCAAGGCAGAGGTTTGCGAAAATCAGGGGAGGTAACTCTGTTTATTTCTGGATAATAGATGGTTGTTCATTACATGATCTTGTCCATATTTTTGTGTAATTACTAACACCATTTATGTCTTGAAGCCCTTAATCATCATCATAATCATCATTTCCATCAAAAAAGTTTCCTGTTTGCAGCCAGTGATATCCCTTGTTTCTGTTTTCACTTGACAATGTGTTGTGTATTGATGTGTGACAATCTCCCACTTTACAGAGAGGGAAAAAAAAGGCAAGGATGAGGTATTTCTTTACTAACTGTAGCTGAGCAGGATGCAGGTGGTTGTCGAGCTTCACCAGCCATGGGGCATATAGGCTATCCAGACTAGTAGATATCTGGCCCGACTTGGTGTCCATAACATGTACACACTTAACACAGCTTACTAAACTTACATTCCTATTTAGTCCTTGTTTACATGATCACATTCACCATGGTGAAAGTTTAATGATTTCATAGATTTCTCTTTATTTATTAATATGATGTAATATGACAAAAGTTTTAGAACTAGTATCAGCAGATTGGATTTTAGTTTCTCCATAACCAATGCTTCACATACAAAGCAACTATTTGGCTGGTCAGACTTACTGATTTGGTTGATGCATGTCATTTTCTCCCAGTTTCTGAGATTGATGGTAATTATGTCAATCACTGCATTGTCTGGTCTGGTTTTGGGTCTTATAGCAGGAAGATTGTTTAGTGGGACAGTAGTCAACAAACAGACAGACAAAGAAACAAACATGCTGCTGTACATGGCTGACACCAGTGTTCATGTTCTTGCCCTATGCTGGTCCTAAGAGGTGACCAATCAGATCAGTTTGTGTGACGTGGCGAACCCTGGCTGAATGAATCAGTGTTCACAATATTGGTCACTGGAGTTTCCAGTACAGACTTGATTACTTATATGCCTTAGTCACATAGCTGGAATGTTGCTGAGCTGAACACTTTCCTGGAAACAGTTCATCACATGGAGAAACACTGACTGCTTCTCACATAGTCGATCTTCCTACTCGTAGTTTAGAACAGATTTTCCACAAAACTTACATCTCACTGACAGGGAAGTGGTACTTTGTTAAATCTGAAAAGGACATATTCTACCTGCTGGCTTCATTAAAATTTACTTGCCATTTACCGACCTGTGACGGTCTGGGTAAGAATATTGATCTTCAGTAACCCATGCTTGTCGTTATAGGCAACTATTAGGATCGGGTGGTCAGGCTTCGCTGACTTGGTTGACACATGTCATCGGTTCCCAATTAGCAGAATCGATGCTCATGCTGTTGATCACTGGATTGTCTGGTCCAGACTCGGATTATTTACAGACGCTGCCATATGGCTGGAATATTGCTGAGTCGTGTAAAACTAAACTCACTCACTCACTAACTTTCCCTTTACCACCTGACATTGACACTCTGCACACATGTTGATCCTGTGGGCACTGTAACATGCCATGCAATTAAAGCTTTAACTAATCCAGGACAGGCGAAGGGAATAGAATCATAATGTCTGAGAAGGTTCCAGAATTGGTGATTGGTTGGCCACATGATAACATGTATTTATGAAGAGTAGGTTGAAGCTTCACAAATCAGTTGTGTTGACCAGATGGCATGCTGTCACTTTCTGAAGATTGATGACATGTTTGGCTGACAACATTCTGGCACTGTCAGCCATTGATCTGAGAGAGTTTAAGGGCTGGTTGTGGGATTTAGACTAGGGAAATGGTCATCATTGAATCATTATCATGTACTAATGGTATGCATGTTATGAATGCAGAATCCTCTGTGGTGCCACTAACCTGCATGATGGCAGCTACCAAGTAGCTTTCTCTCAGTGCTGTAGCTGGGGCTTCGTTAGTCTGTACTGTTGGACTAACCAGGGGTGGGGTGTAGGGATGGAGGGGGATTTAGGGGGCACCTCACAAGTTACAGTCAGTTTAGAGAATATGTTAAAATGTAATATTTGGTTTTGAGGAAAAGTTGATAAAGATGACAAAATGTTTAAAATCCGCTTGTCTGAGTAAATTTCTTCTAAAAATATGGCCTGACTTCTTTTCAAGTCTTTGGTGGGTGTAGTGTAATGTGTAGTCTTGAATATAGCATAACTTTTGAATATTACATTCGTCATTTATTTATGTTTTGTTTGGCAAGTTATTGACATTAGTATTAGTTGAAGTGACAGAGACAGAGATGTAGCGAGAAGGCACCCCACCCCTCCTCACCCTCACAGCGCTACAAACTTACTCTTATTTTACATCTTAATCGACTCTTTGCTTAAATTCAGTTTTATCTTTAATCATAGCTGCACCTTTTCTTCAACATTTGTTTTCTTGTTAGCATAACTGTGCCATCAGTGATCATAACGTTTCACAGAGTATGTGTTAAAGACGGACATTGTGTCTATATATCACCCAAGGGTATAATGTCTCTGTATGTCTTTTCATCACAAGAAGTGCTGGGTAAAATCTACAGTCTTGTGACTTATTACCACATAAGACTTGATTTTAGTTGTTGTTAGCAAGACAAGAATCTACAGAAGATGGAGTATGAGTATGTTGAGGACAAGAGTGAGAGTGTCTGTTCAGGACATTGTGCAAATGATAATATTCACCAAATAGTGTGTTAGTGTCATGATACGGCTCGATATCCACCAGATAATGTGCTAGTGTCATCATATTTGCTGATATTTACTGGATGATCTGCTAGTATCATGATATGGTCTGATATTTACCAGAGGATGTGCTGGTGTCTGTTTATGACTTGGCTTGATGTTCACTAAATGATGTACTAATGACCATGCACAATCTGTCCAGATGCTGAGGGTCTCATGCCCAAGAAGCTGGAGGAGCTGGCATACCAGGCCACAGACCGGGTCTACGGCAAGGAAGACAATGGACCCTATGAGTGTCTGAGGTCAGTCGAGGGTACTAGGGTAGTCCAGCAGTTAAAGCAGCAGACTGTCACACCATGGGTTTGATTTCATTGTGGTAGACTGGGAAAGCTAATTGTTAGTGTTCTCTGCTAGGATATTTCAGGAATACTGTGAAAGTGGTATGAAAGGACATGAAACCATGGCTTGTCTATTTACAAGCAGCTGTGATATAACTGAATTAGCGTACACTGCAACATGGAATAACATATTGTATCATCTGGAAATGTATGTACTGGCTTCAAGGATAGTCGGGGCTGTGGGGTTAAAGCGTTGGCTCGTCACGCCGAAGGCCTGGGTTTGATTCCCCACATGGGTACCATGTGTGAAACCCATTTCTGGTGCCCCCTGCCCTGATATTGCTGGACTATTGCTAAAAGTGGAGTAAAACCATACTCACTTGAAGGATAGTGACTGTGTCTGTATCCTCTTGATGTAATTAGTGGCAGAGTGTGATATGTGTTCTATGGTTGTAGGCACTCATTTGGTATTGTGGTTGGGACGATGAACAAGCTGGCCAATGCCATGGAGAATGGAGAGTACGACTTTGATGGCACCAGGGACATGACGGTATGTATGGTTTTGTCTGTTGTCTGTTCAGTTGGTTGTCCACTGTGTATTGACTTCCCAGCAGCCGAACAAACATTGCAGGACATTTACAGAGGTGAAGGCTTCTAAAGGAATTCCAAAGTCATATAACTTAGAGACATGAACTTGTACTTCACACTTTGGTGTTGTGACATTGTATGTCGCAGTCGGGGAGTCCTGTTTGAGCTCTGCATTGCATGACATGTACTGTCATTGTAATCCAATTATTTACTTATTGTTAGTCTTATTGTTATTGAGTGAAACACAAACAGAAAAATATATAATAGTTTGGAATGTTGTGAAAATATATTCAACAGTCTAGCAGTGTTTGAAATAAAGTCAAGGGATACTTGTCTAATGATATTGTTCTTAGTGAAAAACACTGGGGAATAAATTACCATATCAGCAAATCTCATTGGACCAAAGTACCCCCTTAATTTCGAACACTGACTGGGAGAGAGCTGTTTGTGGACCGTTAATACCATTCTTAGTTGACAAGATGGAAATATAAGTTCTTTAAGTTTAATTCCAACATGCCTGCACTTAAGGGTTGGCAGTTGTTAAGGTATGTGGTATAAAGACCTGGGTCCCGTTCCACAAAGCAATCGTAGTGCTAAGATGATTGTAACTCCCATACTTTAACATAGACTTACGACAATCGTAGTGCTAAGATGATCGTAACTCCCATACTTTAACATAGACTTACGACAATCGTAGTGCTAAGATGATCGTAACTCCCATACTTTAACATAGACTTACGACAATCATAGTGCTAAGATGATCGTAACTCCCATACTTTAACATAGGCTTACGACAGTCGTAGTGCTAAGATGATTGTAACTCCCATACTTTAACATAGACTTACGACAATCATAGTGCTAAGATGATCGTAACTCCCATACTTTAACATAGACTTACGACAGTCGTAGTGCTAAGATGATTGTAACTCCCATACTTTAACATAGACTTACGACAATCATAGTGCTAAGATGATTGTAACTCCCATACTTTAACATAGACTTACGACAGTCGTAGTGCTAAGATGATTGTAACTCCCATACTTTAACATAGACTTACGACAGTCGTAGTGCTAAGATGATTGTAACTCCCATACTTTAACATAGACTTACGACAGTCATAGTCATAGTGCTAAGATGATTGTAACTCCCATACTTTAACATAGACTTCACGACAGTCGTAGTGCTAAGATGATTGTAACTCCCATACTTTAACATAGACTTACGACGACGATAGTCGTAGTGCTAAGATGATTGTAACTCCCATACTTTAACATAGACTTACTACGACAGTCGTAGTGCTAAGATGATTGTAACTCCCATACTTTAACATAGATTTACTTGACAGTCGAAGTGCTAAGATGATTGTAACTCCCATACTTTAACATAGACTTACGACTTACTAAGATGATTGTAACTCCCATACTTTAACAGACGCGCACTTACAATCGTAGTGCTAAGATGATTGTAACTCCCATACTTTAACATAGACTTACGACAGTCATAGTGCTAAGATGATTGTAACTCCCATATACTTTAACATAGACTTTACGACAGTCGTAGTGCTAAGATGATTGTAACTCCCATACTTTAACATAGACTTACGACAATCATAGTGCTAAGATGATTGTAACTCCCATACTTTAACATAGACTTACGACAGTCGTAGTGCTAATATGATTGTAACTCCCATACTTTAACATAGACTTACGACAGTCGTAGTGCTAAGATGATTGTAACTCCCATACTTTAACATAGACTTACGACAAGTCGTAGTGCTAAGATGATTGTAACTCCCATACTTTAACATAGACTTACGACAGTCGTAGTGCTAAGATGATTGTAACTCCCATACTTTAGCATAGACTTACGACTATCATAGTGCTAAGATGATTGTAACTCCCATACTTTAACATAGATTTACTACAGTCGTAGTGCTAAGATGATTGTAACTCCCATACTTTAACATAGACTTACGACAGACATAATCAGTTTGTGGAACGGGGCCCTGACCTTCAATAATCCATGTCCCTCACATGCATGGTAGTGTTAGACTATCAGGAGTACACAAGTCTAAAACATCAGTCAGATGGCCTTGACTTTTTCTGATGTGAGAGCATTTCCTGTTAGGCATTAGGTCCAGGTACAGTTGCCCACACTGGGTCAAATATATTTTAGACCAATAATTCAACGTGATGGTTTTGAGAAGTCATTTTTGTAACCCTACCAATATTGCCATTGTTTTCCAGCCATCAGGATTTATAACTTCATCCAAAACAGTGGTAACATTCACATGTGTATTGTAATTTGGATAAATATCTTTACGTTTGTACGCCAAAAGACAAGAAATAATTATCAACTATTGCATGTAAAGTTTCTCATGCAATGACAATATGAAAAGTGTTAATTTCATTTTGATTGTCTTCTTGGACTTGTTTAATTGCTTCTGTTCAAGTTTCCTGGTGTGAAACATTTGGTTCATCTTGCATGATGCTTATAAGTGTACTATGTTGATTACAACAGTGTCATGCCAGCTTGAATTTATCTTTGTTTCCATGACAACAGTGTGCTATCAGCTTGTAATCAACACTGTATCCATGACTACAGTGTAATGTCAGTCCATATTCAGCATTGTTTCCATGACAACAGTGATATCAGCTTCTTGTCAGCATCAATGACTACAATGTAATGTCAGTCTCTATTTGGCATTGTTTCCATGACAACAATGGAGGTGGACAAGTTGATTGTCAGATGTGTGTTTGCATGCAGCTTTAATTGTCAGATGGTCAGATGGTGATTGCAATGGTTGTCTGAAAGTAGGGCTCGAAATGGCATGGATATAATCACCGATAGTATCATCATTTGTTACTCCCAACTCTTAGATAGTATGTTAAATAATAATTGAATAACAGACATGAGAAATTAATGACTATTACAAACTGGATGATGAAATGTATGATTTTGTTCCAGCCTTATTGTGAATAGAATTTCTGACATTAATTTACAGCATTATGTTCTTTCATTCTTTAATAGCAGGCCTTCAGACTACATTAGATGAACTCATTCCACTGGATTATCCTTGATTAAAGTACTAGATTCACTTACTCTTGCATGAGAACGGACTCAGATTACGTTACCTTCACTCACTCACTCACTCACTCACTCACTCTTGGATGAGAAACCTTCAGATTAATTTAGATTCACTCTTGTGTAAAAACTCTCCAGATTACATTTAACACTCACTCACTCACTCAAAGCCCCAACATTACAGTATTAGATACCCTCATCAACTACTAGCTTGTTTCAGGCTTACGGTAACTGCCATATTTCTTCAGACCCTACATTAGCTTTTAGTGTATGTAATGAGTTATCTTTCTTGGCTGTTCCAACATTGTCTGTGATTTCTCTCACCAGGTGGTGCCACCAGTCAAGCAGCGTGCTAACACAGTCAGATCCCAGATTGCCGACATTGAGGTCATGAAGTTCAAGATGGATGCCAAAGACGATGACATGAAGGAGCTGAAGAAACAGCTGCGACTCAAGGTAAGATGCAGGCCATGCCTAATGAAACAGCTGCGAAGGTAAGATGCAGGCCATGCCTAATGAAATAGCAAGGTAAGATGCAGGCCATGCCTAAAGAAACAGCTGCGACTCAAGGTAAGATGCAGGCCATGCCTAATGAAACAGCTGCGACTCAAGGTAAGATGCAGGCCATGCCTAATGAAACAGCTGCGACTCAAGGTAAGATGCAGGCCATGCCTAATGAAACAGCTGCGACTCAAGGTAAGATGCAGGCCATGCCTAATGAGAACAGCCATGCAGGCCATGCCTGAAACAGCTGTAAGACTGTAAGATGCAGGCCATGCCTAATGAGAGCAGCTGGAGCTCAAGGTAAGATGCAGGCCATGCCTAATGAAACAGCTGCGACTCAAGGTATGATGCAGGCCATGCCTAATGAAACAGCTGCGACTCAAGGTAAGATGCAGGCCATGCCTAATGAAACAGCTGCGACTCAAGGTAAGATGCAGGCCATGCCTAATGAAACAGCTGCGACTCAAGGTAAGATGCAGGCCATGCCTAATGAAACAGATATGTCTAGTTCCTAACAGGAGTTACCTCTTGTCCCTGTAACAGAGGTCTGTCTGTATTTCACATGATTTACATCGTTTTATGTTTGGGGCGGTGGTTAAAGCGTTCGCTCGTCATGCCGAAGACCCGGGTTTGATTCCCCATATGGGTTCTATGTGTGAAACCCATTTCTGGTGTCCCCCGTCGAGATATTGCTGGAATATTCCTAAAAGCAGTGTAAAACCAAACTCACTCACCTTTTATGTCCCTAAAAGTAAGATCTCGCGTGTTTCCGCCACTATTTACCTACTTCTGTATCCTGATGAGAGAGAGCTGTGAGTATGTTCTTGTATGTCCCTTAGAAGAGTTGCCTGTGTATGTGTCTCTCTCCCTGTATGTTCCCAGCAAGAAGAGCTCAGTGAGCAGCAGGTCCGAGTGGAGCTGGTAGAGAAGAAGTTGGAGAATGCCTCCAAGGACGGTGACAGTCGCGTGGACAAGATACAGAGGAAACTAGATGAGCTGAACATCAGCATGAAGAAGAAAGAGAAGTAAGTGGTGTCTGACGGAGAAGTGACTTGTGTTTGAAGGAGAAGCAAGTGGTGTCTGACGGAGAAATGACTTGTGTTTGAAAAGGAGAAGTAAGTGGTGTCTGATGGAGAAGTGACTTGTGTTTGAAGGAGAAGTAAGTGGTGTCTGAAGATGGAAACTTAGAAATTTGGTAAATTATCTCATGCCACAGATGCAGAAAGCCACGGAGATTAGATGATGATTTGGTATTACTTGGGGAATCTTCCAATCAGACAACATTTGACTTCTGAGTCATGTCATACCTGGACAACGAAAGTTTACCCTCACACAGTCAAGTCTTTGCTTCCTTTCTCCATGCCTTAAACCAAAGATGGCATTGTTGTAGTTAATCGCTTGCTCACTCACTCTGACAGAACCTCCAAGAATAAAGCGCAGGTGTTGTAGAGGACACAGGTCCCTGTTGATAGTGATGATGTGACATGGCTTGTCAGCATATGCTGCACACATCAATTGTTAGTCATGCCATCAGCCATTGTTTTCACTGACCCAGACTGTTTACAGACTGTATTGATATCACTGTGATGTTGCTGACTGTGTTAAACTTGTTGGGGTGGTCTTCACAGTCCTCACTCACTGGTTGTTTGGTTCTCCAGTGATGCAGTCACTTACCTGATGTTGACATTGCAGGGAGTTTGAGGAGACGATGGACACGCTGCAGAGTGACATTGACACACTGGAGCAGGAGAAGCTGGAGCTGAAAGACAGGTTGAAGGTGTTGTCCAAGAAGACGCTCCTGGAGGGACTGACCAGACAGTCCTCGGGCCAGACAGGTGGGTGATGGGATGGTCAGACAGGTGGGTGATGGGATGGTCAGACAGGTGGGTGATGGGATGGTCAGGCAGGTGGGTGGCAAGGGGTTGGGTAGGTGAGTGATGGGATGGTCAGACAAGTGGGTGGCAAGGGGTTGGGTAGGTGAGTGATGGGATGGTCAGACAGGCGGGTGGCAAGGGGTTGGGTAGGTGGGTGATGGCCAGACAAGTGGGTGGCAAGGGGTTGGGTAGGTGGGTGATGGGATGGTCAGACAGGTGGATGGCAAGGGGTTGGGTAGGTGAGTGATGGGATGGTCAGACAAGTGGGTGGCAAGGGGTTGGGTAGGTGGGTGATGGGATGGTCAGACAGGCGGGTGGCAAGGGGTTGGGTAGGTGGGTGATGGTCAGACAAGTGGGTGGCAAGGGGTTGGGTAGGTGGGTGATGGGATGGTCAGACAAGTGGGTGGCAAGGGGCAAGGGTTAGGTAGGTGAGTGATGGGATGGTCAGACAGGTGGGTGGCAAGGGGTTGGGTAGGTGGGGATGGGATGGTCAGACAGACAAGTGGGTGGCAGGTGGGTGATGGGTGGGTGACAGGTGGGTGATGGGATGTTCAGACAGGTGGATGGCAAAAGGTTGGGTAGGTGAGTGATGGGATGGTCAGACAAGTGGGTGGCAAGGGGTTGGGTAGGTGGGTGATGGGATGGTCAGACAGGCGGGTGGCAAGGGGTTGGGTAGGTGGGTGATGGTCAGACAAGTGGGTGGCAAGGGGTTGGGTAGGTGGGTGATGGTCAGACAAAGTGGGTGGCAAGGGGTTGGGTAGATGGTGATGGTCAGACAGGTGGGTGGCAAGGGGTTGGGTAGGTGGGTGATGAGTCAGACAAGTGGGTGGCAAGGGGTTGGGTAGGTGGGTGATGGTCAGACAAGTGGGTGGCAAGGGGTTGGGTAGGTGGGTGATGGTCAGACAAGTGGGTGGCAAGTGGTTGGGTAGGTGGGTGATGGTCAGACAAGTGGGTGGCAAGGGGTTGGGTAGGTGGGTGATGGTCAGACAGGTGGGTGGCAAGGGGTTGGGTAGGTGGGTGATGGGATGGTCCAGACAGGTGGGTGGTAGTAGGGGTTGGGTAGGTGGGTGATGGGATGGTTTGACAGATGGGTAGTAAGGGGTTGGGTAGGTGGGTGATGGGATGGTCAGACAGGTGGGTGGGGAAGGGTTGGGTAGGTAGGTGATGGGATGGTCAGACAGGTGGGTGGCAAAGGGTTGGGTAGGTGGGTGATGGGATGGTCAGACAGGTGAGTGGAGGTGTTGGGTAGGTGGGTGATGGGATGGTCAGACAGGTGGGTGGCAAGGTTGGGTAGGTGAGTGATGGGATGGTCAGACAGGTGGGTGGAAAAGGGTTGGGTAGGTGAGTGATGGGATGGTCAGACAGGTGGGTGGGAAAGGGGTTTGGTAGGTGGGTGATGGGATGGTCAGACAGGTGGGTAGCAAGGGGTTGGGTAGGTGAGTGATGGGATGGTCAGACAGGTGGGTGGCAAAGGGGTTGGGTAGGTGGGTGATGGGATGGTCCAGACAGGTGGGTGGGAAGGGGTTGGGTAGGTGGGTGATGGGATGGTCAGACAGGTTGGTGGCAAGGGGTTTAGGTAGGTGGGTGATGGGATGAGTCAGACAGGTGGGTGGTGAAGGGGTTGGGTAGGTGGGTGATGGTCAGACAAGTGGGTGGTAAGGGTTGGAGCAGGTGGGTGATGTGATGGTCAGACAGGTGGGTGGCAAGGGGTTGGGTAGGTGGGTGATAGGATCATCAGACAGGTGGGTGATGGGATCATCAGACAGGTGGGTGATAGGATGGTTTGACAGGTGGGTGGTAGGGGTTGGAGTAGGTGGGTGATGGGATGGTCAGACAGGTTGGTGGCAAGGGGTTGGGTAGGTAGGTGATAGGATGGTCAGACAGGTGGGTGGTAAGGGGTTGGGTAGGTGGGTGATGGGATGGTCAGACAGGTGGGTAGCAAGGGGTTGGGTAGGTGGGTAATGGGATCATTGGACAGGTGGGTGATGGGATGGGACAGGTGGGTGGCAAGGGGTTGGGTAGGTGGGTGATAGGATGGTCAGACAGGTTGGGTGGCAAGGGGTTGGGTAGGTGGGTGATGGTCAGACAGGTGGGTGGTAAGGGGTTGGGTAGGTGGGTGATGGGATGGTCAGACAGGTGGGTGGCAAGGGGTTGGGTAGGTGAGTGATGGGATGGTCAGACAGGTGGGTGGCAAGAGTTGGGTAGGTGGGTGATGGTCAGACAGGTGGGTGGTAGGGGTTGGAGTAGGTGGGTGATAGGATGGTTTGACAGGTGGGTGGCAAGGGGGTTGGGTAGGTGGGTGATGGGATGGTCAGACAGGTGGGTGATGAGGATAGGATGGTCAGACAGGTGGGTGGCCAGGGGTTGGGTAGGTGAGTGATGGGATGGTCAGACAGGTGGGTGGCAAGGGGTTGGGTAGGTGGTGATGGGATGGTCAGACAGGTGGGTGGCAAGGGGTTGGGTAGGTGGGTGATAGGGATGGTCAGACAGGTGGGTGGCAAGGGGTTGGGTAGGTGAGTGATGGGATGGTCAGACAGGTGGGTGGCAAGGGGTTGGGTAGGTGGGTGATGGTCAGACAGGTGGGTGGTAAGGGGTTGGGTAGGTGAGTGATGAGGTGGTGTATGTCTCTTTTGTATATAATGTTATGTTCTTCCCCATTGTTTGCATGGACTCCCTGCTATGAAGAAGTCAGGGAAGACTAGACTCCCAATACTGATGTGCGTGTTCTGTGTTGCAGGTGCTGCCTCCCCAGGGGGTGGGGTGGAGGCACCCATCCAGGACTCTCCGATCCTGCTACAACAGGTGAGATTTGCCTGGGGTGTCTCAGGATGTGGACAACCAGCAGGGAGCAGTCTTTATTTGCTGAATAAATTGCAGAATATGAAACTGATGTGAATTGTGAAGATCATTAACTTCGAAATATTTTCTTGATGGTTAATAATTAAATAGCTTTTGTCACTGGTTGTTGTGTTAATGATGAATAAGATTGGATGATTGAAGAGTGCATGATTCAACAAGATACTTGAATCCATTTCGTCTACAGGAGACATGTAGGAAATTTGTTTGTGTGAATGTTACATTGTTTAATGCTTCAGAACAACTGTCTGCGAGAAGCGCTGCGCTTTGTGAAGGGTGAAAACCTTCGTCTGAGAGCCTCCAAAATGAGGGTGAGTTAAGATCTCTAGAACTGTCATCTGATATACTTTAAAACCACTGTCCACGAATTTGTTCTAAGACAATAGGAACTGTCCACGAATGTGTTCTAAGACAATAGGAACTGTCCATGAATGTGTTCTAAGACAATAGGAAGTGTCCATGAATGTGTTCTAAGACAATAGGAACTGTCCACGAATGTGTTCTAAGACAATAGGAACTGTCCACGAATGTGTTCTAAGACCGTCATGACTGTTTGCTATTGTATTCTAGACCCTGAAACTGTCCATGAACGTGTTCCAAAATCCCCCAAACAGTCTACTGACCAGATCTATGACCACTAGACCTGTCTACTGATTTGTTCTAAGACCCCCCAGAATGGTCGAGTGATGTGTTCTAAGATGCCCCAGAACTGTCTAGTGATGTGTTCTAAGAACTGTCTAGTGATGTGTTCTAAGACCCCCCAGAACTGTCTAGTGATGTGTTCTAAGACCCCCTAGAACTGTCTAGTGATGTGTTCTAAGATGCCCCAGAACTGTCTAGTGATGTGTTCTAAGATGCCCCAGAACTGTCTAGTGATGTGTTCTAAGACCCCCCAGAACTGTCTAGTGATGTGTTCTAAGATGCCCCAGAACTGTCTAGTGATGTGTTCTAAGACCCCCCGGAACTGTCTAGTGATGTGTTCTAAGACCCCCCAGAACTGTCTAGTGATGTGTTCTAAGACCCCCTAGAACTGTCTAGTGATGTGTTCTAAGATGCCCCAGAACTGTCTAGTGATGTGTTCTAAGATGCCCCAGAACTGTCTAGTGATGTGTTCTAAGACCCCCCAGAACTGTCTAGTGATGTGTTCTAAGACCCCCTAGAACTGTCTAGTGATGTGTTCTAAGACCCCCAGAACTGTCTAGTGATGTGTTCTAAGATGCCCCAGAACTGTCTAGTGATGTGTTCTAAGATGCCCCCAGAACTGTCTAGTGATGTGTTCTAAGACCCCCCAGAACTGTCTAGTGATGTGTTCTAAGACCCCCTAGAACTGTCTAGTGATGTGTTCTAAGATGCCCCAGAACTGTCTAGTGATGTGTTCTAAGACCCCCCAGAACTGTCTAGTGATGTGTTCTAAGACCCCCTAGAACAGTCTGCTTATGTGTTCTCTGTCCGTTAACGTATTGTAAGATCCACAGACATGTCACTGATCTATCGACTTCTATTTAAACAGAACCAGCTGGCCAGCTTGCCCCCACTTCGGATCCCCAGTAAACCAATGGGAATGGCAAACAAGACTGGTCAGGTTGATATTGGTGATCTCCCTGAAAATGTTCCTGGCAAAACAGAGCTGTCAAAACTAGCCAGGAAGACAGCTTCCCTGCTCGCAGTACGTTCAGTCCATGAAATCACTTCTTGGCACATTAATGAATATGTAGTTATTTTGATATATCCATTGCACAGCCAGTATGTTTTTCTCACGAGGACAATTAGATCAGATGTAAATGTAAGGAAAATGTTGATATTCTAACAATATTTCATTCTTTTTAATGACATGTCTGGCTGCAATGTTTATTTGGCAGCAAACTCTATAGGCATGTCTCCTTCTGATGACATGAACGTGTAAACAGACTCAACTTTAGTGATAAGTGACATGCATGTCTTGGTTTGTATGAGATGATGACTGACCAATCAGTTGGGTGTATTTCATGTTGAGGGTTGATGTTTGTAGGAAGCCAACAAGTTGAGCTGCTGTCCGACTGTAGTGGATATCACGAAGAGGAAGCCAGGTGGGTGGCGACAATATGGCAGAGGTCAACAATGGCTTCCTAAGTTTGCTAGTGAACTGTAAAATGTTTGCTGATTCTGACTTTTGTGTCAAGTCTCTTGTTCTTGCATGGCTGTCACCTACATTGGTAGAACATCCTCACATTCTGACTATAGGAGCAGATGTTTCCACAGATTTTGTCGGTTTCGATGTTACAGCATTAAGAAATCGTTTGTTTCATGATAAATAAACTTTACTGTGAAAAAACATGGGAAGTTATAGATTCTCACCAAGAGTTTTTTTCATGTACAGGATCACAGCCTGTGACTGAGAGCAGCAACCCTACCCGACAACTTGTGGAGCAGACGGCCTCCCTCACTTCCATGGAGAGACAGATACAGGAGGTAGTGTAGCATTGAGTCTGTCAGTACACTGGTGGATCCAGAGGGGGGGGTTCAGGGGTTTGAACCCCCCCTTTTGAAAATGACTTAAGATCACATTGAAGATTTTGTTTCGTTAAGCCGGATCCAATGGAGAGTTCAGGGGTTTGAACCCCTGAACCCCCTCCTTTCAAACTTCCTGGATCCGCCCATGCAGTATACACGCCCATATAAAACATCTTCATAAAGGTAGAAGTCTCATGACGAATGTGTCCATACTGCACCTTCTCCTTCTGCTTCTCAGGTTCAAGTCCAGGTGACAACTCTGCTGGCATCATACAGGACGGGCGGCCAGGTCCGTACAGACTTCTCCACGTTCCCAACGCCGCAGTTTGCTCGGGTATGTACAGAAATTTGTCATTGTTTCTTTATACCATTCAAATCAGCTTCCAGCAGCTATATCAGACAAAAAGAAATGGCTGTAACCCTAAACTCAAATAATATAACCAGTGAGCTGGTCTTTATGTACTTCAGCTGTGGGAACCAGTCGTTACATTGACATGTACTACTTTCATCTTAACTGCTGTTGCTACATCGACATGTACTACTTCCCCTCTCAACTGCTATTGTTACACTGGCATGTAGTACTTCCCACACAACTGCTGTTGTTACATCTTCATGTACTTCTTCCCTCTCAACTGCTGTTACATTGGCATGTAGTACTTCCCTCTCAACTACTGTTGCTCTGTGTGCAGGTGCTACATGAGAAGAGTGGCGACTCCCTGAAGCTAGGAGTGATTACAGTACCAGTCAAAGGTGGTAATGGGGAGACAATCCCCATCAACGTGTCCCCTGATCAACTGCGGAGGATTCACGGGAAATTCATCAGCTAGAACAAAGCTTCCACTCAGGCCACAACAAAGCATCAGTACAGAATAAAAATTGATGAAAAAGAAAAGTGCATTTGATTTGAAAAAAAAGAACCCCAGATGTCTTATCTCCACACTGCTGTTCTTTTATGTACAAACATGAACTTGAAAGTGACAGGTCCTTGACTTGTTCAACTGAGACCTGATCTTGGATTATTTGGCTTTGCAAGTAGGACTCCTGTTGGTATATACATCTGTTGGTTTGTTGTGGCCTCATTGTGCAATATTGAATATTTCTAAATATTTATTGTCTTTTAATGTGCTATGGGTGGTAATTGCTGGTGTCTTTGGTGATCTTTAAGAGCATTATAAGTTATGTATGTTTGACATAATCATGATAACCATTGTTACTTCTCTGTTATTTCTCAACAACAAGGATGCTTATCCCAAAATCCTCAACAACAAGGATGCTTATCCCAAAATCAGTCAGTAAGGTCTATATCCCATTTCACAAAGCGATTGTAGAGCCATGACTGTTACCTCACAATACCATAAGATAGACATTTGTCAGTCATAGACCTGCAATGTTTCACAAAGCTATTGCAGCACAACTAACTGAACTCCTGTACTGTAACATAGGATGAAGTGAGTCATAGTGACATGATAAGTTGAAATGAGGCCTTGGATCCAGGACCTTGTTTCAGTCATGGTAACTTCTAAAATTTAATACAAGAACAGTCAGAAAGCTGCTTTTGCTTTGTGGGTCCGTGATCTAACATTGTCCTTCAGATGCAGACTATGCCATTGGTCACCTTCATGCATGATACATGCTCCTAAAAACTATGTCACCTTGGGCTGAAAAAACTTCCAAATAATGACCACTGTTTTGGTGCTTGATAGCAACCCATCTGTGTGGTTCTAAGATATTCAGGATTAATAATGGCATTGAATAAGGTCCCCAAGACTTTCGAGGAGAATGATCATCCCATTTTTGACAGGTGATCAATGGTTTTCGACAAGATTTAGACTGAGTAACGTAGAAATCTTCTAAATTCTACTTAATCTGTCTGTAGCTGAATCTACAACTCTGACATCTGTATCATTATCCATGCATCCTCTGGCATATGTCATTCTGCATGTGTTGCAGCAGAGGGGGGTTGTCTTCCCATTTCATGACATGGTGATGGGTTTATCTTTAGTGGCATTAAAAACCTGTAGTATCAGTATGTAAAGGCAGCGTTAACTTTTGGATTTCAGCTTATTGTTTCAGGTTTACATATCAGTACAGGTTCTAATCTTTATTTTGCAAACGATGTGTCTACCTTGTGTCTACCATCTTCAATATATGTATATGAAAACGTTCAGATGCCATTCAAAGATTGTGTTTACACTGTGCTAGAGCTGTAACACCTTCCTGTACCTCTGCTGCCATGTTGTAGATTATTGTCATTGTGCTTTATGACTGCCAGTAAAGCTCTTGCCTTCTAACTGTCTTTGTTGTTGAAGATGAACACTGTGGGAGCGAGTCTTTTGCAGGAATATTACAACCTGCTAAAATGGTTTGTTAATGATGGATATTTTTGTTGTTTAGTACTTCATTCATCAATGTCACAGTTGCGACCAACATCATCAGACTACAAGGGATTTAGGGAGGATGAGGTTGTTGAGTGGAAATGGTGGCACAGTGGTCACAGAGCTATGTCAGGGGTTGCACATCATGGGTTTGAATCCATGTCGACCCTGATTATGACCCTCAGTCAGCTTGCAGAGCGGAGCTCGCAGGTTTCTATGACCTGCATCACTTTTGACTATTGTCCATGCCAGCACATTGTTACATAATAGATATACAAAAACAGCCCTTATACCAAGCTCATTCATTTGAGTAGCAGTTGGAGTAGCTGGTCTGAAGCCACAGCGAAGGCTCAGATTGTTGGTTGTTAACAACTGCATTCTGCAGGATTTTGTCTATATGGTGATGGCCTGTGAAAAGGGAGTGAGTGAGTTTAGTTTTACGCCGCTTTTAGCAATATTCCAGCAATATCAGGGCGGGGGACACCAGATATGGGCTTCAAACATTGTACCCATGTGGGGAATCAAACCCAGGTCTTCGGCGTGAACGAGCAAATGCTTAAACCACTAGTCTACCCAACGTACCACCTGTGAATAATGAATTCGGTCAAGTGATTGATCTTGTGAACCACCACCCATACCCTTGGGAGGGACACAGTGACACACAGTCAGTCAGTGAACCTGACCCTCACATATACCCTTGGGAGGGATACAGTGACACACTACAGTCATGTCGGTGAACCATATACCCTCACATATACCACAGTCAGTTGAACCTGACCCTCACATATACCCTTGAGGTGATACAGTGACACACGTGACACACAGTCAGTCAGTGAACCTGACCCTCACATATACCCTTGGGAGGGATACAGTGAAACACTGTCATGTCGGTGAACCTTACCCTCACATATACCCTTGGGAGGCACACAGTGGCACACAGTCATGTGAGTGAACCTGACCCTCACATATGCCCTTGGGAGGGACACAGTCAGTCAGTCAGTCAGTAAACCTGACACTCACATCAACTTGCAGGTCACCTGGTAAGTTCAGCATATGTTGCTAGGGCTTACTCTACCCACAATCCTTCGGGAGCAAGGATTCTGACAATGAATCTCACTGAACCCAAGGTGGGAATACCAACAGAGTTTCAGTGAGACAAGTAAGTGCTTCAACTACTGCTACCCTTAGAGACTACTGTATATTTTGGAAGATGTCCGTAGCATAGGTGAATTTCCAACTTAGTATGATTATTGCTCATTGGTCACTTCTTAGGGGGATACCTGTGAAGGTCCGGGTTAGAATGAGCCTTCAGTAACCCATGCTTGTCGTATGAGGCGACTAACGGGATTGGGTGGTAAGGCTCGCTGGCTTGGTTGACACTTGTCATCGGTTCTAAATTGCACAGATCAATGCTCATGCGGTTGATCACTGGATTGTCTGGTCCAGACTCGATTATTTACAGACCGCCGCCAAATAGCTGGAATATTGCTGAGTGCAGCGTAAAACTAAACTCACTCACTCACTTGGGGGGCTGCTACTCTGTATTGTCTCGCAGACAAGATGGTGGATATCTCCTTGTCTGCACGGATACCATCTCCATTCTGTGGCCCCACACAGATATGACATCACATGGTGCCAGTTACACAGCAGATCGGTGAATCATGAGTTTCCACACGATATGAGGGGGTGGTGGGTTAGCCTAGTGGTTAAAGTGTTTGCTCATCATGTAGAGGACCCGGATTCGATTCCCCACATTGGTACAATGTATGAAGCCCATTTCTGGTGCCCCCTGTCATGATATTGCTGGAATATTGATAAAATCAGCGTAAAACTAAACTCACTCACTCATACGATATGATACACAATATTTTTCTTCTTAACTGATACAAAATGATACACAAATTAATTTACTCCTAATTTAATGACCTTACAATGTCAAATATTGAAAAATATGCTGTAGTCAGCATTGAGTTCATTGCTAACAATAGTTGCCTTCAACATGTTTCTGGAACTAGCTTTTCCTTTTGAACCTTCTCAGAAATAGTTCCAGTGAAGTAATAACATGATATTATGCATGTCTTGATATGTGTACAGAGAGATATATCATATCACATGATACCCAGCTGTTGCACCCCATTGCTCGGTGTCCAAATCAAGTACTACAATATCCATTGTCTGCAACTGATGTATTCCCTGGACCAATCAGAATACAGAAGCAAAGATTGTTTTGTGGAAGCATATTTATTTGAATAAATCAAACCAATCATGAATGGGGTCACATGACTGATAAACTGTTGAGTACAGTAATACTTCAAATGAAATTTGCTAAACGTCCACTAACAAAATGAAAAATGCAAGTCCTTTGAAGTTTCCACCACCCGGGACCCGCTGTTCCTACCACATCGTGGTGTTGTACATATCAATGCTGAAGGTCATGTATTTAAGCATGTAATTCAGGACATGAGGTATAGAATGAATTATAGACATTGTCGTCAGTTGATAACAGTAACAACTAGATCTCATTACTTGACATCAACCCTGATCACGGATTAATAATGGCATTGGTCTCTACGTGTCTGACACGTATATGAAAGCGTTGATTGTATGATATAATGAGTTCTGTTTAAAATATAAAAACACATGTAAGAGACTGTCTGTCAGACTAGTATCTGTAAAACTAACATCTTGTCATGTGGCATTAACCACTGAGGATCTGTGGATTTAAATGGCTGAAATTTTGACACTATGTAGAGTACATGCTTCCAACAGCCACATCATCCTAAGCCACCTACCACATCCAAACGAGGTTTTATTGCCATTCTGAACCATATTCCAGTTATGTCATGACATGTCCATTTGATATCGGAGCAAGGACAGGGAGGGTTGCATGTCTTAGACATTTACCACAAAACACATAAGCAGATGAATGGTGCTGACAAACCTGAAAAACATTGGGTAGAAGTGGGGTTTGAACCCATGATCATAAGCATATTTGTCTCGCCCATTGGATGCGGATCTGCAGAAACGTTTGGAACCAGGGGTCGACTGGACCACTGGTGTTCTCACGTCCAAAAGATATTAACAGATCCTAAAGACACCAACAAGATTCATCCTAAATTAAAGCCCTCTTGTAGGTTACCATCAACTTAGGAAAGAATAATGTCTCTCATATAGGGCAGAATTTAACATCAGGAATTAAACTGGCCATTCGCCCTCAAACAAATTGATTCTCAAGCAATGAGATTAAAACATTAAGTCACAAATCAGTACAAATCTTGCCATGATACGAGTTACTCTTGTGCCATTATGATAAGAAACAGAAATGATCAGATTAGCAGCACTTTTTTGCAGATGACACGCAGCACGCAGAAGCAGGTAACTCTCCTTTGGAATCCAACTGTGCCATGTACACAAATGGGTCAATTTTCTGGAAAACAAAATGAAAGTATATACATTGTCTCGCTTGCATAACAAATAACTCGTAGCACAAACTCCAGTATTCAGCCTTAGTGGTATGCTGGAACACGGCAGTTTGCTCCAGAATTTGGTTCTGGGTGCTTATTGGTATGAGGTGTTCAGTATATTACTTACGACTTGCACTGCTGGGGCACTGCCGGAACTTCCAGATGCTGCTGGCTGGAAGTCAAACTCTTCCTTGAACCGCGACACAGACAAGATGGTGGACATCTCCTCTCCTACACTGACTGCATCTCCATTCTGTGACACACAGACAGGCAACATGATGTTTACATGATGTGTCCTATCTAGGTTTCGCAATGTCCATGGAAATTTAGCTAATCCTGTAGAGGTTTCCAATTTTTTTAAAGAGAATCTTCCTTTGGGTACATATATGCATTTTCTGCGACTCAAAATGTCATGTGACAGTTGTAACAATGTTTTAATAAAAGATTGTACAATAAATAAAAAAGCCTTTTTATTTACTATACGGCCCCCCACCATGTGGAGTTACTTCCCTTACCATGCATGCGTGGCCAACCAGGCAAGCACTCTAGCCCAAATCAACATTCCTTCTGTTGACAAACCGTCAGTGAACAGAATTGCGGGGAGGTGGGCGGCCCTACCCCAAGGAAGATTCTCTTCAAAGAATTGGAAACCTCTACAGGTTTAGCTAATTCTTTTTCATAAAGATCTTCCTTGAGTACATATATGCATAAACACAGACACCCAAAGACCGAAGGCTAGGGAGGTGGGAATTCTGGTAAGTACAATAGAATTAGCGATATCGTAAACGAAGCATGTTACTTACACTAAAACACTCACCTGGTCATGTGACCCGCCGTTCGAAGAGAGGCATGATGGGGGGTGACACAAAGGGAGCAATGTACACAGTTCTGATCATAACAGTGAAATGCACTAGATCACAAGTAGTGATAATAAAACGCCCTGCCCACATAGTGAAAAATTAGCATTGAGCACCGAAAGGGCATACACATAACAATATGGTCCGACAGGAGATAAATTGTAATGAGTAAAATCGAGCCTTCAGTGGATAGTCGATCAGCGCATTCGAATGCAGAACCAAACCAATGATCTGAGACTCACTCGGTCAGACTCACCGACCAAACCGAGCACGATCTCTAGAGTGCGTATCGAGCTGGTAATGTCGGATAAAAGTGCTCGGCCGGCTCCAAATAGCGGCGGATCAAATCTCTTCAATGGGCAGTGCGGCTGCAAAAGCTTTTGAAGTAGCCACTGCCCTAACCGAGTGAGCCTTCAACCCCTCAGGGGAAAGCATACCCTTAGCCTGATAAGCTGCACAAATGACAGAAACAAGCCAGTGAGAGATAGTTTGTTTACTGGCAGGAACCCCTGCCTTCCCGCCACCGTAACAGCAGAACAGCTCGGTACCCGTATGGATACCCTGCGTTCGTTTGAGATAGACCCTAAGGGTCTTACGGACATCCAACGGGTGAGCACGTGTAGGAGTGGTCCCCGATGTAGATGGCTGGGTAACAGTAGGAAGATCAATAGGAGCTGACACGTGGAAATCGTGATCGATCTTCGGACGGTAACTATCCGGGAGGCAAATACTGACAGATGACATCACGTGAATATCACCGACCCTTCTACCGGATGTCACCGCCACAAGAAAGGCTGTTTTCCACGTTAACAACTGAAGGGAAATAGCCGATAGATGTGAGAAAACAGGACCGGACAGCCAATCTAGCACGATTGACAAATCCCAAGGTGGGCTGGTTCGCCTGAGGGCAGGTCGAACCCAATCCACGCCAGCTAAACAGCGCTGTACAAGTGGGTGCTGCCCCAGAAGAGCACAATAGACAGGGGTGTGAAAAGTGGAAATAAAAGTGCAGTAGCAATGAATGGTCGAGGCCGCCAAACGCTCTTCCAAACGAGACTGAAGGAACTCCAGAACTCAGACTAAATCTGCAGAAAAGGGATCTGCTATCCCTCTATCTGAACACCAGGGTGCATAGCGGGATCACCTATCCTCATATTGAACGTTTGTCGAATCCTGCCTCGAAGCCAGAATTGTGTCTGCAACTGCTGCAGAGGCCATGCCACCCATTGGATCCGGGTCCGGCACTCCGTTCTGATTGAGAATGTCCAGCCGTAAAGGTAATGGAACAGGAGGCTGAGCAAGAAGCCTGAGAATTACCAGAAACCAGCTCTGCGACGGCCAAAGAGGTGCCAGTAGCAGAAGTAGCTGAGCTGGCAGGGTGGATAGCTGGGAGAGGACCCTGGGCATCAACGGTAGAGGTGGGAATGCCCACAGTACCCTGGTATCTGATTTGTGCCACCGGACGGGAACAGATCCACCTGGAACGACCCGTACAACTGGGAGATAACTCCGAATACCCGCTGATTGAGCATCCACTCATGCGGGGTCAGGATCTGGCAAGAGAGCGCGTCTGCTCGCACGTTCTCCAGCCCCGGGAGATATACTGGAATTACCTGGCAGTTGTATTGGTCGCACCATACCTACCCCTGCCTAGCGGCCGTAGCCAGCAAGCAGACTTGGGCGTAGGCTGCGCTTCGGAGGAGGAAGTCGCGACGGGAGAATGGGAGCAAGAAACCCGCAGCTGCTCCAACAAGGCCTTAGATTCCTTGAAGGAGGTAGCTGCAGCGGCAGCCTCCCGAATGACATGTTGTGCCCCCCGAAACAATATCGCGCCCAGCCTAAATGGAAGTGCCAGCAAGGTCTGCTGTGTCGCCGCAGAGTACCCGGGTCAGGTGGGCCTGAACTTCAGTGAGCTGCCGGAGCAACACAGCAATCGACGAACGTCGCCAGTGTGCGCATCCGTTTCCAGGACGGATATCTGTAAAGAGGATAGATACGCCCCATGAACCACCACCCGAATCTGTTGACTGGCATTACGGAATACCTCCTCGTAGCTCCTGTAAGCCGCACGCAGAGGGGCCCCCAACTGGGGAAAAGGCGGAACCAACCGTCCCTGTTTAGCCGCTGGAGCAGCAAGCGAGGAAGCTGAGCCTCCCCCAAGGGTCACTGAAATAAACACACACTCGTCCACTACCGGTACGCGGAAGAGAGTCGTCCCCTAATTGGTATCTCTTGACAAGCTCAGGCAGATCAAAGCGGAGCCGAGATCAAATGAGTAAGGGGTCAACCACATCCTGCACCAATGATGGGAGCACGCGGAGCCGAGTCTGAGAAGGCTGCAGAGGGGCGAAAGCCACCCTGGAAGGCGGAACTCTGCCCTGTTGCTCCGATGGGATTGCAGCCTGAGGGAGGACCAGTGCTATGCGCTGGCGCACCTCCCGTAAGGCCGATGAAAAACGGAAAGTTCCCTTGGGTTCCTCTGCATCCCCGACCTCCATCGACTCAGCCTCCGAACCCGAGCCAGAGTCGCAATCCTCCCGGAGAGAAGACCCAACTGCCGACCTGGTCGAAGACCGACCCAACGACGCCAGGGGAAAGAGAGAACCAGATAAACTCTCCGTCCTGGTCGCCACACACGGAACAGGACCCCGGTCCCGAGACTCAGGGAGGTCGACCGGCGGAACAGTTGCCTCAGCTCGCAAGGGTGACGCTCAAGTGGTCGGAGCCTTCGGCACTCCTGGGATACTCAGCGAACCACGAGCCAGGATGGATAAAGGGACAAGGCGTGCACCCTCCCGATCTGTCGGAGCTGAGACAGCCGGACCCAAAGCCAGAGACAAAGGATCGATGGCAAGCTCAAGGCTCGGGGATCTAGCCAGGCCTGGTGATCCTGCACCAGAGCTCTCTGCCCTACCCCCCGAGCCAGCGAGGAACTCCTGGCAGAGCCAATCAACCGAGCGTGGAGCAGCGACTTCATCGAGTCCATGTGCTGTTGAAAAGATTGATAATGGACATATCAAAAGAAGGCGTAGAACTGGCAGGAGGGGTAGAAACAGAGGCAGGTTTGTCCTGAGTACTTTTTTTACCTATGCTTAGTTTTTTAGCTTTGGCTGGAGGGACCTCCGTGAGGGTCACCTCCCGCCTCGCAGTTCTTTGAAGATATGGAATTCGCCACACCGCTTTTCTTAGCCTTAGGTGTGAAGCCATGCAGAGCTTGTAGACGTCCGATTATGACCGGATTCTCCAAGGCAGCATAAGCATTTTTTCGTGCCCATCTTGGCGTGGGATATTTACCCACAGCACGCCGTGAAAGCCTTCGAAAGCAAACATGCAAAGCATGACGCTAACAGTGTGAAAACAACCATAACACGCGTGACAAAAATTACATGAAAAGAACGCATGAAACAATTGTTTTAATGAAGCAAGTCTCAAACACGTATGCTAAAAGTCCCATCATGGAATAGCAAAATTTACGTAAACCACGGGGGTAAAAGAGCGTAAATTACAACTATAGTCACATAAGATAAGACAGGAACAACTGCAAAGTCAATAAAACGTTCCCAGGAACGAATAAGGACAATATACATACAGTATTCGAAGTCTCAGACATTGTCTCTTAGTAACTTTTTGTCCGCACATGTTACACGTTGCGTGACAGCAGAAGGAATGATGATTTGGGCTAGGGTGCTTACCTGGTTGGCCACGCGTGCGTGGTGAGGAAGTTAACACCACATGGTGGGGGGCCGTATAGTAAATAAAAAGGCTTTTTTATTTATTGTACAATCTTTTATTAAAACATTGTTACAACTGTCTCATGACATTTTGAGTCGCAGAAAATGCATATATGTACCCAAAGGAAGATCTCTATGAAAAAGAATAATGCAGCATAAAATTCTTTTACTATCAACACAATTCTGCTGAGAATGGTGGAAACATTGTGACAATGCTAACATGTGGCATAGATGATAATGATTTATAATGCTGATAATGTAAAACAATACTGACAATGGTATAACAATACTGACAATGCTTGCATTGCTTACAGTGACAATAGAAACAATGCTAAAATCATGATGGTGATGGTGACAATGTAGGACAATTTTGGACAACCTCAACAATATGCTCATCTTGCCAACAAAGACAATTTTCTAATGAAACATTAAAACTGGTTGGTGCAGCAACTCATTAACGTGTGACAAAATCAGCGCTTTTGTCAGAAGCCACATTACAGATGTGTCCACAATATCCTTCTTTATGAGCTGCTGTACCTAGTTTTATATTGAGTTTGAACATGTGGTCAATGTTCACCACAGATTACCCACACCTACCTTGAATGTTTGCTGGTAGTCGAACTTGAGTTCCCCCTCGTAGCCAGTGATCTCCCCATTGTAGATGACCTGCCTAGCAGGCTGCATGGCCGACGGTAACTTGAACAGTCGGTACGTCACCGACACAAACCGGGCATCACCTGATGAAAACGCGATAGTTAGTATGTAATCCACAGTCACACATGGCTGTATGGTGCCCAGTGGTCATCAAGTCACGCCGGAGGCCATATGTTGGTTAGAGTGAGTGAGTGAGTAGGATGGGTTAATGCCACTCTGAACAGTATTCCTGATTTTTCAGAGTGTCTGTTAAAGATGGAAGGAAATCCAAAGTGAAGCAGGTTTCAGACTTTTAATGCTAGAAATATAATCTGGGTTAACTGGGATTCAAACCCACAATCATTGGTTTCTGGCGTGTCTAAGGGACACAACTCTACACTGCAAATTGTGGCATCTTAGGGACTGGCCAAACAAGCCCTTTGATAGGGGGTACTTATTTACTAATTCCCGATAGGAGAACAGCCATATATTTAATGATACCGTTAACCATTTTCAAAAACATTTGCTGGCAAACTATTCTTCTCTAAAGATTGAATACATTCTGCTCACCTAGCACTTGTTTGAAATCCTCTCTCTCCACAGGAACTGGTGTAGCTGTCACTAAGCCTGGGCTGGCTGAACCCCACCTCCTTGGCCAGTGTGTACAAGTCCTCCCACCACCAGGGGCACCACTGATACACTTTCGCCTGTAATAAGATCAGGAATGTTCACCAAGTGGTTCTATCGGCCCCTAGACTGATGATACATATTCTACCTACCCCAGAGTACAAGGTATCTGGTCATCCTCCAGCAGAATACCACACACCATTCCCCAGATCATCTGGTAACTTGACTCTACCAATCTCACAAGAAAGGTACCTGATTCGACCTACTCCAGAGTACCTGCTGTCTGGTCTTCCAGTGTCTGACACTACTTTCCCCAGAGCATCTGGTAACTGCCATGACACATATAAACTGATTCCCTAAGCTTGATCCAGAGCCCCAGGTGTTGGACTCTAGCTGTAGTGTGACACCCTGCACACACCACCCAGTGTCTGATTTTATCCCAACTCTAACTACTCCAGAGCCACTGGTCCCCGACTGTCAGCACCCTGCCACCTGGTTTCCATGGCAACACCTGATGCCTCACTCCTCCAACTCTAGAGTGCCCATGTTATGACTCTTACTTACCCCATGACTCCAGGTTCCTATCAACCCCAGAGAACCGGTGTCTTGCCTGTGAACACCTGGTGTCTGACTACCTGCCCCAGAGAACCTGGTGACCTGACTAGAACACCTGGTATCTGACTACCTACCCTAGAACACCTGGTGTCTGACTACCTGCCCCAGAGAACCTGGTGACCTGACTAGAACACCTGGTGTCTGACTACCTGCCCCAGAGAACCTGGTGACCTGACTAGAACACCTGGTATCTGACTACCTACCCTAGAACACCTGGTGTCTGACTACTTCAGGCGTTAAAATGTTCAATTCAAAGGGCGAGAAATTCGTTTTTCTCACCCCTTCCCTTTGATTTCAAGTCCTCCATTGTATGCGGCGGGTTGTCGTCTGTTTACACAAAGGGACGTAACTTCGCAATCCATGTTCTTTTCAAGTCTTCTCAGCAAAAGAGTTCGCAATCACGATAGCTAAAGTTAACGAAGTTTTTCGTGAATAACGAGTACTAAGATACTTTCGTGAAACGCCTCTTTAGCGCGTGGTATCAAGTAAGATATATCGTAGGAGTTCACGAGATCTTAGGCCTCACGAGCTTCGTGGAACGGGCCCCTGAACACCAGGAGCATAGCGGGATCACCTATCCTCATATTGAACGCTTGTTGAATCCTGCCTCGAAGCCAGAATTGTGTGTCTGCAACTGCCGCGGGAATTCTGCGTGCTTTTCGAGGCTGGACCTGACAGAGGCCATGCCACCCATTGGATCCGGTCGGCACTCCGTTCTGATTGAGAATGTCCAGCCGTGAAGGTAATAGAACAGGAGGCTGAGCAAGAAGCCTGAGAATTACGGAAACCAGCTCTGCGACGGCCAAAGAGGTGCCAGTAGCAGAAGTAGCTGAGCTGGCAGGATGGATGGCTGGGAGAGGACCCTGGGGATCAGCGGTAGAGGTGGGAATGCCCACAGTACCCTGTCCGTCCAATCAAGCAAGAAGGCATTGGAGGCCAACGCCTTCTAGTCCGGTATTCGAGCAGAACACTGGTATCTGATTCGTCCCACCGGACGCAAACAGATCTACCTGGAACGACCCGTACAACTGGGAGATAACTCCGAATATCCGCCGATTGAGCATCCACTCATGCGGGGCCAGGATCTGGCGAGAGAGTGCCTCTTCTCGCACGTTCTCCAGCCCCGGGAGATATACTGGAATTACCTGGCAGTTGTATTGGTCGCAACATACCTACCCCTGCCTAGCGGCCGAAGCCAGCAAGCAGACTCGGGCGTAGGCTGCGCCCCGGAGGAGGAAGTCGCGACGGGAAAATGGGAGCAAGAAACCCGCGGCTGCTCCAACAAGGCCTTAGATTCCTTGAAGGAGGTAGCTGCAGCGCTGGCACACCTCCCGTAAGGCCGATGAAAAACGGAAAGTTCCCTCGGGTTCCTCTGCATCCCCGACCTCCATCGACTCAGCCTCCCAACCTGAGCCAGAGTCGCGATCCTCCCAGAGAGAAGACCCAACTGCCGACCTGGTCGAAGACCGACCCAAGGACGCCAGGGGAAAGAGAGAACCAGATAAACTCTCTGTCCTGGTCGCCACACACAGAACAGGACCCCGGTCCCGAGACTCAGGGAGGTCCACCGGTGGAACAGTGGCCTCAGCTCGCAAGGGTGACACTCGAGTGGTCGGAGCCGAGACAGACGGACCCAAAGCCAGAGACAAATTATCGATGGCAAGCTCAAGGCTCAGGGTTCTAGCCAGGCCTGGTGATCCTGCACCAGAGCTCTCTGCCCTACCCACTGAGCCAGCGAGGAACTCCTTGCAGAGCCAATCAACCGAATCGTGGAGCAGTGACTTCATCGAGTCCATGTGCTGTTGAAAAGATTGATAATGGACATATCAAAAGAAGGCGTAGAACTGGCAGGAGGGGTAGAAACAGAGGCAGGTTTGTCCTGAGTACTTTTTGACCTATGCTTAGTTTTTTAGCTTTGGCTGGAGGCACCTCTGTAGGGTCACCCCCCGCCTCTCGCAGTTCTTTGAAGATATGGAATTCCGCCACTCGCCTTTTCTTAGCCTTAGGTGTGAAGCCCATGCAGAGCTCGCAGACGTCTGGATTATGACCGGATTTCTCAAGGCAGCATAAGCATTTTTCGTGCCCATCTTGCGGTGGGATATTTTGCCCACGGCACGCCGAAAACGCCTGAAAGCAAACATGCAAAGCATGTCGCTAACAGCGGAAAACACCATAACACGTACAAAACATAGAAAATTACATGAAAAGAACGCAGTGTGAAACAATTGTTTTAATAAGCAAGTCTCAAACACGTACCATGCTAAAAGTCCCACCATGGAATAGCAACATTTACGTAAACCATGGGGGGAAAAGAGCCTAAATTACAACTATAGTCACATAAGATAAGACAGGAACAACTGCAAAGTCAATAAAACGTTCCCAGGAACGAATAAGGACAATATACATACAGTATTCTAAGTCTCAGACATTGTCTCTCAGCAACTTTTTGTCCGCACATGTTACACGTTGCGTGACAGCAGAAGGAATGATGATTTGGGCTAGGGTGCTTACCTGGTTGGCCACGCATGCGTGGTGAGGAAGTTAACACCGTGGTGGTGGGGGCCGTATAGTAAATAAAAGGCTTTTTTATTTATTGTACAATCTTTTATTAAAACATTGTTACAACTGTCTCATGACATTTTGAGTCGCAGAAAATGCATATATGTACCCAAAGGAAGATCTCTATGAAAAAGAATAATGCAGCATAAAATTCTTTTACTATCAACACAATTCTGCTGAGAATGGTGGAATCATTGTGACAATGCTAACATGTGGCATAGATGATAATGATTTATAATGCTGATAATGTAAAACAATACTGACAATGGTATAACAATACTGACAATGCTTGCATTGCCAGTGACAATAGAAACAATGCTAAAATCATGCTGGTGATGGTGACAATGTAGGACAATTTGGGACAATGTTAACAATATGCTCATCTTGCCAACAAAGACAATTTTCTAATAAAACATTAAAACTGGTTGGTGCAGCAACTCATTAGCGTGTGACAAAATCAGCACTTTGTCAGAAGCCACATTACATATTGTTTTAAAATTTACAGATGTCCACAATATCCTTCTTTACAGTGAAGTAAGAATTTGATTTTGAGCTACTGTACCTAGTTTTATTTTGAGTTAGAACATGTGGTCAGTGTTCACCACAGATTACCCACACCTACCTTGAATGTTTGCTGGTAGTCAAACTTGAGTTCCCCCTCATAGCCAGTGATCTCCCCATTGTAGATGACCTGCCTAGCAGGCTGCATGGCTGACGGTAACTTGAACAGTCGGTACGTCACCGACACAAACCGGGCATCACCTGATGAAGACGCGATAGTTAGTATGTAATCCACAGTCACACATGGCTGTATGGTGCCCAGTGGTCATCAAGTCACGCCGGAGGCCATATGTTGGTTAGAGTGAGTGAGTGAGTAGGATGGGTTAATGCCACTCTGAACAGTATTCCTGATTTTTCAGAGTGTCTGTTAAAGATGGAAGGAAATCCAAAGTGAAGCAGGTTTCAGACTTTTAATGCTAGAAATATAATCTGGGTTAACTGGGATTCAAACCCACAATCATTGGTTTCTGGCGTGTCCAAGGGACACAACTCTACACTGCAAATTGTGGCATCTTAGGGGACTGGGCCAAACAAGCCCTTTGATAGGGGGGTACTTATTTACCCCGATAGGAGAACAGCCATATATTTAACGATACCGTTAACCATTTTCAAAAAACATTTGCTGGCAAACTATTCTTCTCTAAAGATTGAATACATTCTGCTCACCTAGCACTTGTTTGAAATCCTCTCTCTCCACAGGAACTGGTGTAGCTGTCACAAGCCTGGGCTGGCTGAACCCCACCTCCTTGGCCAGTGTGTACAAGTCCTCCCACCAGAGGGCACCACTGATACACTCGCCTGTAATAAGATCAGGAATGTTCACAAAGTGGTTCTATCAGCCCTAGACTGATGATACATATTCTACCTACCCCAGAGTACAAGGTATCTGGTCATCCTCCAGCAGAATACCACACACCATTCCCCAGATCATCTGGTAACTTGACTCTACCAATCTCACAAGAAAGGTACCTGATTCGACCTACTCCAGAGTACCTGCTGTCTGGTCTTCCAGTGTCTGACACTACTTTCCCCAGAGCATCTGGTAACTGCCATGACACATATAAACTGATTCTAAGCGATCCAGAGCCCCAGGTGTTGGACTCTAGCTGTAGTGTGACACCCTGCACACACCACCCAGTGTCTGATTTTATCCCAACTCTAACTACTCCAGAGCCACTGGTCCCCGACTGTCAGCACCCTGCCACCTGGTTTCCATGGCAACACCTGATGCCTCACTCCTCCAACTCTAGAGTGCCCATGTTATGACTCTTACTTACCCCATGACTCCAGGTTCCTATCAACCCCAGAGAACCGGTGTCTTGCCTAGAACACCTGGTGTCTGACTACCTGCCCCAGAGAACCTGGTGACCTGACTAGAACACCTGGTATCTGACTACCTACCCTAGAACACCTGGTGTCTGACTACCTGCCCCAGAGAACCTGGTGACCTGACTAGAACACCTGGTGTCTGACTACCTGCCCCAGAGAACCTGGTGACCTGACTAGAACACCTGGTATCTGACTACCTACCCTAGAACACCTGGTGTCTGACTACCTGCCCCAGAGAACCTGGTGACCTGACTAGAACACCTGGTATCTGACTACCTACCCCAGAGAACCTGGTGACCTGACTAGAACACCTGGTATCTGACTACCTACCCCAGAGAACCTGGTGACCTGACTAGGACACCTGGTTCCTGACTACCTACCCTAGAACACCTGGTGCTTGACTACCTACCCCAGAGCACTTTATGCTTCCTGGCTGAATCTGGCAGATCCCGGTCACAGTAGACGTCACTGAAGTACAGCTCCCCGCCCTCCTACCAATCAAATAGTTTGGAAGCAATGAACCACAGTCAAATACATCACAAGTATTTCACTGCACACAAATCAGTTTAAATCTGCTGCTTGAAGTACGCTGACACAGTACAGTACACATTGGCAGAGTACATTAACAGACCCAAGTAGTATATCTCTAACATACTGCATAGATTCTGCTCATTCTCTGGTATCGCTCCTTTCTTCTTCTCAGTTAACTGTGGTTATGATGTCATATACTGATGTACACTATTAGATGAGCCACGACCTGACAAATGACCCCAATTTGCACATATGGGAACGCCCTCCAGAACATTCCATTTGAAAAATGAGGGAAACTGGTTGTTGTCTAAAACTTGAAAAGTTCAATTTCCTCGTGTGAATCGTGTTTTGGTTGTTATATCATACTAACTATGTGTACAATTTGCCCATGCTTCCCTAACTTGGGTATTATAAATTAAATAAAATCTGCAAACATTCAAAAATTGACTCTTGTCGAGATGGTGTCTTACTGAACTAAATCGCTCTACGAGACACGTGTTAAACAGAAGCGATATTGAGTTCACGCCACGGTCAGCATGTATTGCACGTGCTTCATCGCCAATCTACCTGTAGCAACCAAGTGTATTCGTCTAGATTCCCTGCCCCGCCTACTTGTCACTAACGCTTGTACTGCGCAGGCTCATCAAATACAAGTCAAGCAGTAATGCTGAGCATGTAATAAAGGAGGATTGACATTACCGGTACCCTCAGGTATTACACAAGATTTCAGATAAAGTGCCTCTGGCAAGCAAAGCGAGAACAAATAATCATTTAGCTAAAAATGGTTCATGTAATCCAAGTAACTTCCACATAAAACAGACTGAATCTATTAACATGTATGTTTATGAACAATTCTTAATTCAATTAGGCAAAAGAAAAAAAACATGTCCATTTCCGGTAACCCGACCGACCCTATCCTAACTCCCCAACCCTAAATTTGTTTTTAACCAAGTCAAAATCATGACTGGAGTGCATTTCAACTCATCATTTTCATGCAAATCGAGTATGATATTTTCATGTTTTTCAGTGTATGTAGGGCTAAAATGGATTGCATTGAATTGTCATAATGGGCTCTCACTGAAAAAACCTGCAAATAAATAACATAAATAATGATTTGATATAGAAATCTTTCAATGTTTCATCACAAGGCATTGTCACTACATGACATGGTATCCTTGAAGACCTTCTCAGGTGCCCACCTGGTGCTACTAAAAAAAAAAAAAAGAAGTAAAAAAAAACAAGAAAAAACCGACCCACCTACCCTATTTCTAAAAAGCATGTAATAGGAAACGGACATATATTTTTCTTTTGCCTTAGGAATTTTTGCAGACATTTGCTACAAATTTGGGGGCAAATACTGGCCTCTGATCAAATATAGATAAATCCCTGACCATATTTGGTCAAAGAGGTATAGTAGTGACAACACACAGCAAGGCAAAGCGATTGGGATAAGGATGTATGCTAAAAGCCTTCAGCTCTCATCAGCATAAAGCAGCACCCTAATGGTGGCGAGACCTACCTTGAGAACCTTGTACGCCTCCCTCAGTACTCCCTTCTTGTCAGGTGACAGGTTGATCACACAGTTGGAGCTGTGAGGAAGATGTCACTGGAGGGTCAGTACCACCCATCACACATACACAGTGCCATCAACACTATATATGTCAAAGCTGCATGCATACACAGTGATATCTACCCTAGTTGTGTCAAGGCTCAACGCATACATAGAGAATACTACACGAGGTCTCTTTACATACGAATTATACGAAACGAGTGTCCTTCCTATGGTATCTGACCGATCGAAACGAGGTCAGAAACCACAGGAAGGTCACGAAGTTTCGTATAATTCGTATGTAATGAGACCGAGTGTGGTATTTTATTTATTACCCACGTCTTACATGCATTAAATTGACAAAATAGCGATTTTTGTTATGTTTTGGTTTCAAACCGAAACCAGTTTCATAAAGAGGTTGCGGAAGAGTTTGTACTGTAGTACAATATTTGCATGACGCCATACTCTAGTGACGCGTCACTGCCTTGGTAACCGACGCCACGATGCATGTCAGTTGTCATCGCCCGCACAGCCTCCTACAGTAAACTACTCAGAGCACCTCGCTTCTGGGTTTCCAGTTGCTTCATTCGCTAACATCACTGGTGGAAACATTGCGTTTATGTTTTTCGACGCATATAATGTCTCAGTTCGACTCACAATTAAACAGCGACACGGCAACGTTCGCAATGTTTACATTCCCACAATGCATTTAAGTTGGAGAATGAATGAATTCGCGTGTTTGTTATGAATGAAAAAATAGTTACGTCACAACGTGACCTAACTGAGAGGTCATCGGTTATCCAATCAAATCGTTAGAATCTCAGGTCAAGTCGTTACGACACAGGTCAACGCGATACGACACTCGTGTGACGTACGAGATTAGTATGCAACTACCCATACGTTGACCACCTGGGTAATAAACAGTGATATCAACACTATTGATGTCAAGGCTCAACACTATTGATGTCAAAAGGCTCTATGCATAGACAGTGATATCTACACTATTTGTGTCAAGGCTCTATACTTGCATGATGATATCAACACTATTGATGTCAAGGCTCTACACTATTGATGTCAAAAGGCTCTATGCATACACAGTGATATCTACACTATTTGTGTCAAGGCTCTATACATACATGATGATATCTACACTATTGATGTCAAGGCTCTATGCATACATGATGATATCAACACTACTTATGTCAAGGCTCTATACATACATGATGACATCGATACTGTTTTCTTTGATCCCAGCTTCAGTGATTTTCTCAATGTAGCCCTTGACAAATTCCACATTGGGTTTGGAATAGCCAAACTTCTGGGTGTGGTAGTCAACATACTTCCATGCTACTTCCAGCTGAGAGACAGGAGAGACACAATGATACTACATGCATATATATGGCAAAACATACCTCCTTTAGTGCAGTCTGTTGGGTATATACACACCAATGAGTATATATGGGTATATATAATCCAATGAGTATATATGGGTATATATACACCAATGAGTATATATGGGTATATATACACCAATGAGTATATATGGGTATATATACACCAATGAGTATAAGGGTATATATACACCAATGAGTAGATGGGTATATATACACCAATGAGTAGATGGGTATATATACACCAATGAGTAGATGGGTATATATACACCAATGAGTATATGGGTATATATACACCAATGAGTATATATAGGTATATATAAACCAATGAGTATATGGGTATATACACACCAATGAGTAGATGGGTACATATACACCAATGAGTGAGTAAGTTTTACGCCACATACAGCAATGAGTATATATGGGTATAAATACACCAATGAGTACATGGTAATATATACACCAATGAGTATATGGGTATATATACACCAATGAGTATATGGGTTTATATACACCAATGAGTATATATAGGTATATATACACCAATGAGTATATATAGGTATATATAAACTAATGAATATATGGGTATATATACATCAATCAGTATAAGGGTATATATACACCAATGAGTAGATGGGTATATATACACCAATGAGTACATATGGGTATATATACACCAATGAGTATATATGGGTATATGTACACCAATGAGTATAAGGGTATATATACACCAATGAGTAGATGGGTATATATACACCAATGAGTAGATGGGTATATGTACACCAGTGAGTATATGGGTATATTTTCACCAATGAGTACATATGGGTATATATACTGACTGACTGACTGAGTTTGGTTTTACGACGCTTTTAGCAATATTCCAGCAACATCACGGCGGGGGACACCAGAAATGGGCTTCACACATTGTACCCATGTGGGGATTCGAACCCGGGTCTTCGGCGTGACGAGCAAACGCTTTAACCATTAGGCTACCCCACCGCCTCGGGTATATATACACCAGTGAGTATATGGGTATATATACACCAATGAGTATAATTATACACCAATGAGTATATATAGGTATATATAAACTAATGAGTAGACATTTAACAAAATAATTCTACTTAAATTGATGGTGACATTTTATCAGTATCTGTTTTTGCTCTGTCTCAAATGTGTAACATTCCACATTAAACAACAACATATACATGTTTAGTTACTGACAAGGAAGGCACGGCATATGTTAGCTTCTTTAATACATAGTTCACAAATGTGTGATTTATGTATTCAATCAGACAAAAAATATCAGTAAAGTAACATGCAAGTTCAATAGGATGCACTGGGTAATTATTCAGAGTGCTGTAAAACTATTGGTTTTATGAATTTTGCACTATATTTTTATACATGCAATTCAAAATTAATCATTAATGGTAATATATTGTGTGTATTTCTAGTAAATTTGCAGCTTATCTTGCCATTTGGTCATCGTTGCCTTATCTTACAAACAGAAGAATTACATATGGACATCTTACCTGTTCATCTGTCATGTCGAGGCCAACTACTGACCCCTCCTCTCCCACCAGCTTACTGAGCGCATAGCAGTCTCTCCCACTTCCACTACCAAGGTCAAGGACACGCATTCCTTCCACCTTCTCTGGTATGACCAACCCACAGCCATAGTATCTGTGTACAGAAGAAAAGTGTACAGTGGTTCATACTACAGTGTACAGCTGACACAGATGATCCATACTACCCTTAAAACATTCAGGGATAGAAATACTTTTTTTTCTAAGTGTGCCTTAAGGCACCAGACAAATATTTTAGGTGTGCCTTTCTGAAATCGAGTATGCCCACATGTTTTTAGAATAAATGACAATGATGATGATCATTTGAAATTTATTGTTAAATAAAGAAATGGGTTTATGAGCATTCAGATATGTATGGTATTATTCAATTTGGAAAAAAATAATTGTTTGGGGGATTAAATGACTAAATGTGAGTTATGTCTCTTAAAAAATTAGGCATGTCAAAAGGGCACAAGAACATTTTTTAGCCGTGCCATTTCTGTATTTACCGTGCCATGGCACACTAATATATGGGGTATTTCGAACCCTGACATTACAGTACGGTTTCATATGCATTGGCTATTGACCAATCAAACGTCTTCTAATTTATCTAAAGGGAAATAATATATTACCTGCCCTTGGATATCCATATATTTCATTATCTGCCCTTAGATATCCACATAACTTCTTTACCGTATCATTTTCTCATATCATGAGAGAACTGTTTGCCTACTCATTGCATCCACTTGCTCATTAATTTTAGAATATACATGGGAAGAGTATTGGAGCAAGAATTAGAGAAATAAAAATAGACGTTGTTCAATGATTCCGACATTCAACACAATTTATAATTGCTTCTGTCAAGTGTGATGCCATGACTGACACAAACTCACAACGGTAAAAATAATACTTCTCATTTCTGGCTATTTCCCCTAGTTACAATCAAAACAATACACAGATTGTCAGAATGTTTCAGGTTACTTATATGTTAAATTTATGCATATAAGATCACTGAATCAACGAAAGTCTCCTTCCTATCTCACATATCCGTGTGAGTGAACACGCCATCTTGTGAAAGTTGCTTATCGATAGTGATGTCATATGTATGTCAACATTGTAATACAAATTTAGTACTTTCACTTAGCTGAGGCATGTGAACGAAAATACACATGATAATTCTATCCTGCTGCTTACAATTTCAACTGTAAGGCATCTTTTCTACTTATATCATGTGATTAATTTCATCTTCAGCTACATCTAGACTTACTTCAAGAGGACTTCATCATGCACTGTAGAGTCCTCACCTTCATATAGACTTACCTTGAGAGGACTTCATCATGCACTGCAGTCTTCACCCTACATATAGACTAACCTCGAGAGGACTTCATCATGCACTGTACAGTCTTCACCTACATCTGGACTTACCTTGAGTGGACTTCATCATGCACGGCACTGAGCGCCGCCTTCATGGGTTTTGTCATCTGCTTGGACGGGGTCATACAGGCTCCAGTCTTAAGGTCATTGGTGTTTTGCAGAGTCTTCCCATAGTACTCCTTGACAGACTCGATGATATTTGTGCTGTCACCCATGATGAGACTAAAGAGAAACATATACAGTCATTGTTGAAGATCATTGTCAGATCAAAGGTAGTTGATACTATTGTACTGTTGGAAATAGAAAAAAATGTATTTTCTCATTTATCTCTACAATTTATGTAGTTGATATGTGAAAGTGTGAAATATCTGTTAAAGTAAGTTCGGCCTAACTACAGTCTCAGTGGTAGAGAGATAGGAAACGGAGAAAAAGGACTTAACTGAGGGGAAATTAGTGCAGAAATGAGCAATGCGTTTTTTTCCCAAAAAAACTTATTTGGAACAGACCAGACTAACTGGGGAGGTAAAAGGCACGTCATAACAATTTACAAATAATATCCAGTCCTGTCGATCTTCGGGTGGTCATGCCACCTATACTACGATGCGTTTCTATGGTTTTCGGGTATCATACTCTCTTCCATATCTCAACATAAACTTTATGAAAGAAAGACACGTAAGATGTTAATCAGTAGATGAGACATAGTCAACACACATGAAAAAGCACAAAATATCTTTGAGATGACCCCTTGTGCCTGTAGGCAGCACGTGCATTTCATGCCAGGTGAGTCGACGGTCCGTCGTCATACCTGGCTGAGCGACCTAATTACCATCTATAGTCTGATCTATTGTTTTCAGCAGCTATTCGTATTTTTTCTAAGTTTTGCCCGATTTTACGAGTAAACATGCTTTTCTGGATATCGTATTACACATCCCACTGAACGCCCAGTTAGGCCGAAGTGGGTTATTTCGACATATGCTATTTGCAATTGTGTCAATTTTAGGGATACAGAGTAACAGCCTAAAAAGTTTTTTTCTATTTCCGACAGTACTATAGTGTTGGGAATTGGTTAAAATCTCATAATTGATGATTGGTTCATTGGTTCAAGGTTAATGATCATCGATAATGATTGGTTAGCGTCATTTATGAAATTTGTTAATGCACAAAAAAAATAGGAAAAAAACGAAGTCTTTGGGGTTTTTTTTTTTGGCAAAATTTCACAACGTTAAAGGATGACTAGTATGTTAGGAACATAAATTTCTTGGAGTCTTTTAGATAAATTCAGTTATGACTTGGAATGAGCTTGTAGTGCTTATGAAATGTAACAGACAAAACCAACCTTGTGAAAAATACTGTTAATGAAAACAAGTGTTCCAGAATTGTTTGTGTTCGATTATGAGAAAACATGATCGAATGCTGGTCATTTAGTCACTGCGACCAATCTTCGATTATTTCAATTAATCGGACCACCACTAGTCGATACACATGATGCTGCAATATACCATTTTAGTTTCATCCCCAAACGACTCACTTCTAAAAAGCCCCACCTCACATTAATTTATTGTTCTTATGTATGCACAGATGATAGTAATTACTATGTTAGTTAAAACTATTCTTCTTTTGATGAAATCATATGCAGCTGAAACCTGTTGAAAGTCAGATGTTTCGACTTCACAATCTGTTTCTAGCAAACTCTAAATATATGTACCACCTTTTGAACCCAGATGTGTTGTACTAGAATTGCAGCTTTCCTATTCACCTCAAATTTGAGTAGAATCTGTATCAAGTACAGGGATTTACCTTGAGTCCTTTATCCTGGGACTCATACTCTTAATTCTCAGGGGTCCTTGACATAAAAATGGGGGTCCCAGACACTTAAATATTATTATTAATACTGTTATTGTATTGTGTATCATGATCCTCACATTAATTGTTACAGTAATTAAATTGCAAATGATACCATAACCCAGCTAGTAGCAAACTAAGTGATAACTTATTGTTACATGATTGGCATTTTTACAAAAAGTATTTGGAGTTTTTCTGCGTCCCTGTGGATGCGCCAATAAAGTTCGTTGCGTCCATTGTAAATTTTTATACATATAGGACGCAGGAATTTGCGTTCTGTAAATCCCTGCAAGTATAATGGCTAATACATGATACAGCTTGAAACCTCAAATGAAGAAACTGTTGATCGTACTGAGTAAAGGCTGCCATGATTAGTGACTTGACTTTTACTCAAAGTCGAACAATGTCAATCAGAGAAGCAGTGACCATATTACTTTCTGTTCCGCCAAGCCTTTTCTGTGAATCAAAAGCCATAAATGAAGCAAGTCTAAATTTACATCAGAATCACCTATCTCACTGTAGTTTCAATTCAAATGTAGTAATTTGTTTCCGTTCAAATTACACATTTTCAGGCCGAAGCATAAGTATATAGTGATGAGTGTGAAGACATTTACTCTTTCTCATTCATAAAGGATTTACAGTCACCTCTAACAAACAGTCTCCTTCCTTGGGAGTTGGAGGCAACATGGTTCAAGACTGTATGGACAATACCATCAAACACACATGCATCATGGTGATAAGTCACATCTGTTATTGGAATAAATATCACATTTTCGGTTTCTGGAAGTGATCCAATATTTTGATGCAACCCACTCCACGTTTGGTATTCAACCACCAAGATGGAAGAGTAAAAGGGCATAGTTTTACAAACTTTGTCTTGTTTATGAAATGTGTCACACATAACTATACCATGCTCATTAGACTAAGGCTTAGTCTCTGAATATATATAATTTTGATAGTAACAAACAAGTCCATTTATATTGAAAAGGAGCCCTAGGGAGACCAGAGATTCAGACTTGCTTTATTTAGGGCTTTAGCACTGCAGAGAGGGCTTGGCAGTAGGGAAATTAATGTGGTTCAGGGACTGTGACACAGACTACATGCTCATGTGCCCACTAGCAAAGTTTATAAAACATATATATAGTGTATAACATCTCACGTCTGGATGAAAATCTAATAATTAGCCCATTGTTTCACTACCTGGCCTTTCATCTATTCATGTGTTCTCACCACCTCAATGCGTAATAAATAAAAGTCAACGGATATTACCTGTAATAATCTAATGGTAACAGGGGATGAGATGTTTGTGAGAGACAATATACTTCTAAAGTCTCTTGTCTGTAAAAGAAGGAGGAAGTAATCAAATTGGTTTAAGTTTAATGTGAAATATTTCTCAAATTTCAACCCTAATTAAATTTCTTATTTACATGTCCCATGTGAAAATCAAATCTCCGAGTTCATATTCATCTTGAAATTATTTAACTAACCTTGTTTCAGCTGTCTGTCTTCTAAACTCTGTTTATGGTGGAATAGCTCTTGCTCAGTCAAATCTATTCTTCCCTGGTATACTTTATAGTATACGGAGTTATCTCCCTCTACCCCACCCCGACCAATCCCCAACACCTTCCAGAATGTGCATCGCGCAAATTCCACTGATGCCATCTTTGGGATTTTATTGACGTTTCTGTAATCCTGCTGGTTCAAAAAATGTTTCACACTACACTACAACCGAGACGGGGCAGCTCACCAGCCAGTGTACCTTTCACCAGTATCGTTGTAACTGATACTTACATATGCACTGCTTCCACCCGTATCCAAACTTGTCAAGATGACAACGCAGAATCAGTCGTGTGTCACTACCGCCCTCAAACTCCTCGCAGAATAAGTTAGCTCCCCTTTCACATGAAGATAGTAACTCCGCATGTAGCAAGCGCTGATGTGGAGTTTCTTAGTACATCGCCACTCTGCCCGATTTGGGTCGTGTTCGTCTGAGGGTTCAGGTTAGCGTGACCTGGGTCACCAGCATTATCTTTTATCTTGTACATGTGACAGGCAGTGTGCAAAAATGACAATGCATTCAGGAATGTTCCAGCAATATGACGGCTGTCTGCAAATCATCGCACCAGGGACAGACAATCCAGTGATTGACATCATGAGCATCGATCTAATCGCTGTAAAATGACTGAAAACGTATACGTTGTCCATGGATATTGCGTCACAAATGAATTCCAGACATAAATGAATGAATGAACGAATGGGACACGGGAGACACCAGCTAGATAACTTAAATCAGTCAGGGATTTTGTTCCTATAATGTCAACTATCAATGGAATAGCAATAATGAAGCTCTGTACAAAAAGTGCCAACCAAGACTTCTTTTTTTTACGAGGAAATTATGATCTTTTGATGTTGATGTGAAATTGGTGAAACGTTTCTACACATCCTTTGTATAAAGCGTCTTGTCTTTGGGCATACAATGTTAGTACGGTTCTCTTAGTCTTCAAAACAAAAAACAAGATTGTTAATATAAGTTTACAAATTACCGGTACACTTTAAGACCATCTTGTGTTCATAAATGATGACAAAATTTTATTACATACTCGGAATATCATTTCAGATTCATCACATGTGTTAAAGTCTGAATATTCACTTTTGCCACCGGGAAGACGTTTCAATGTGCCTTAAAAATTGTCATAAGTCAAACAGAACAAGGAAATCTTTTATCCCATGTAGCATTACAATTCTAAACAAAACCTTTAGAAAATAATACTTGAAATGTTTTTAAATATATACTGTCATGGGCGCTGATGGGATTTATAGGAATACAGAAAAGTGTACATATATGACCTGTATAATTATGTGTGTTGGTGTGGTATTATGCGTGCGAATAGGTGTATTAATTTTATATTTGTCCATATTTAATCATCTATTATCGTAATTAACATACATATTTTATTGTATCATGCCAGGCTCTGTTTGATGTAAAAAGAATTCCCTTTTGGGTAATACAGTGTTTTCTTATCCTATCTTAACTAAAGATAGGGCTAACAGGACTAGAGTTCTGGTCCTGTCGTAGGTGTTGCTCCATTTCATCCCGGGAGATGTTCTACGGGGGCAGAGGTCTAGGCAAATAGCCGCCAGTACAGCAATATTATATGCTGGTCAGAAAGTCTGTTCCAACATGTGCAACGCGTGCATGGGCGTTATCCTGCAACCTGGCGGTGTACCCAGCAGAATCTATATCGAAACGTCACACTTACGAAATAAAAGAAGTTGTTATCAATAAAGTTTGTTCGATATTGTAGGTCCCAACTTTTAAAATGCGACCCAAAGAAGCCATAACATATACATTTACACTTCCATCCCCAAGCTGTCGGCACTGAGTTACACAAGCTACATGGTGTAGCCAGTGTAACATGGATGCTCTTCTTGTCTGCTGGCGGTCTCGGCTGAGGGAATCTGTGTTCCGTTTGAAACCCGTGAAGGTCCGGGTTATCTAGAATGAGCCTTCAGTAACCCATGCTTGTCGTAAGAGGCGACGAACGGGATCGGGCGGTCAGGCTCGCTTACTTGGTTGACACATGTCATCGGTTCCCTATTGCGCAGATCGATGCTCATGCTGTTGATCACTGGATTGTCTGGTTCAGACTCGATTATTTACAGACCGCCGCCATATAGCTGGAATATTGCTGAGTGCGGCGAAGAAATCAACTCACACACTCACTCCATCCCCAAACTGTCGACACTGAGTATCACCAGCTACATAGTGTAGTATGCAGCATGGATGCTCTTCTTGTGTCTGCTGGCGGTCTCGGCTGAGGGAATCTGTGTTCCGTTTGACCTGTTACCTCTGAACCGTGATGTGACCACCGAGCCCAACCCAGCACAGTGTTGGATTGTTTGTGTGTTGTTTAAGGCGCACTCAGCAATGTTGTAGGTTCACACTACACTCTCATTTCACCTACACCCCAGTTCACCTGCACTTAATCAGTGCATGTTTTCTCAGTACACCTACACTTTGTTTTGGTTCCACTCTACTCACTAGCGGACTCACCCAATTAACTAACGGGCTTGACTCATTTCTGAAGAAACTTGGGGCTTTGATTTCTGATTTGAGTATGTATGTTGTAATTCAGGCATTTCAGCATTTTCACGTTTTATATAATAAGCATTTGTATTACTGAGCTATTGCTATAACTTTTCATATGATTTTGAAATTTTGTATTTTAAGCAATATTAACAATCCATTTTAATATTTACATACAGTTTTATAGATTTTGTTATGATGAGAAAAATATATTCAGTGTAAATGACAAGAAATACCTTTTAACAGATGCGATTTATTTATAAAATTCTTTTGTCCAGGAATAAACTTAGTTAAAATGTATTGCTTGCTTTACATACAGAAGATTGTCAGAGTCCATTTTACATGAGAGGGTGTACATCATCTACAGTGTTTAAGATACCCAATTACCCCTTCACCTTTTGACCCCCAATTGTGTAGGTGAATTGAGAGTGTAGGGGTAATTGGGGGACACCATGTTGTACATATTGAAATACCGTACGGGGTGTGTCGCGCATATTCGGTCCCACTTTAACACTTACGCTGAATAAAATGTACTGTCTGAATAACAAAGAAACGATACCAAATCCCGTCTAGTGAACCGACCACTTCTCAATATACACTATATAATGCAGTGTATATCTCTATTAATATATCAATTCTATAATGCATATTTGTAATATTGAGTGAGTAAATGTTGCTTTTAACCGCATCAACAATTTTGCAGCTATTCGCAGCCAGAAAACAAATATTTTCTTATGGAAAAGAATATACAGGCAATAAAAGGGGTGACAATGAAAACTTCATATCAGAGTAATTAGTAAAAACTGACATTCAGAATAATAAATCCACATCTTATCATTTATTTTAATTTCCTTCAAATAGGCTAAAATAAAATAATGCGAAAAGTTCAGACATAGTTGGAACAGTAAAGTGAACAGGGGAAAGTCCACACATTCCAACAACAGGTGCGTGACAGTTGAAGGACTCTGACACGGAATACATTAAGGGGAACATCTCCATTCAATAAAAAATGAATGAGTATAATGAGAGTGTCCAATACGTGACCTTCGGATCACCACTCCATCGATTTAGACCAGTAAAGGCAGCATATTTTATCAAAGGTTGTGTGTCATAAAGGTTTTTCGCTATTTGCTTGTTCCGTCTTTGCTGCCACATGTTTTTGACATATTGCCAAATAGCCAGTTTTAGGTCAGTAGAGGACGATGAACAATCGGACATGGTGATTATTGCCACTTTGTGAGTGAGTGAGCTAGTAAGTTTGGTTTTACGCCGCTTTTAGCAATATTCCTGGTATATTCCAGCACCAGAAATGGCCTTCACACATTGTACCCATGCTGGGGGTCTTCGGCGTTACGGGGTGGTGGGGCAGCCTAATGGTTAAAGCGTTGGCTCGTCACGCCGAAGACCCGGGTTCGAATCCCCACATGGGTACAATGTGTGAAGCCCACTTCTGGTGTCCCCCCGCCGTGATATTGCTGGAATATTGCTAAAAGCGGCGTAAAACCAAACTCAGTCAGTCAGTCTTCGGCGTGACGAGATAAGGCTTTAACCACTATAGGTTACCGCCCCGCCACTTTGTGATGCCTTTGTATCATTGGTCAAAGTCAGGTGGTAATGAGGAAAAAGTTACTTCACTTGTCTGAAGCAGGATTTCCGACGTGATTGACCGCTGAGAGGTCTTTATATATGATGCAGGCTTGATAGACAATCGAGGGATGTGTATGAAGCGCACAGAGGAGATACATCATTTAGAAGAGTGCATACATGCGTATAATATATTTCTCATGGATAGCGTGTCTGTTCCGTAAGATCGGTGACTAGAAATGAAGCATTCATAAAATACTCAACTGACATTAATCTGAAGTGTTCATAACCGCGCTCAGACATGCGATGTTAAAAGCTATGGATATTAAATTACCTTGTGTGATGGCGGTGTTGTGTCTTAAGTTACGTATTTCTTGAATTACTGCTTCCAGCTAGCCCCTAAGGAGCAGTGTCCGACCCTGTAGCCAGATGATCAAGTCGAAAGAATTTTTAAAGTCTGTAGAGTGAGTGAGTTTGGTTTTACGCCGCTTTTAGTAATATTCCAGCAACATCACGGCAGGGGACACCAGAAATGGGCTTCACACATTTTGCCCATGTGGGGATTCGAACCCGGGTCTTTGGCGTGACGAGCCAGCGCTTTAACCATTAGCTACCCCACCGCCCCTAAAGTCTAATGAGGCCAAATTGAGTGGGTGTAACCGCGCGCTTATCACTGTACTGGAAGGCTTGGTATTGGGCATTTACTACTTTGGTGAAATCAGTTGTAATCTTTTCGTTATATAAGGCCCATGTTTAAGCTCTGTGTTACTGGTTGTAATAATACTACGTGCTTTAAACGGTATTTCAATGATATCTACATCAGCTTAATTCAGGTCTCAGGAGTTACCACTTTGGCGAAATCTACGACCACGGGAATGGTGCTAACAACCTAACAACAATCCGGGTGACAATGGTTCCGGGCTTGCCAAAGGGACGCAACTCTGTACAGTAGACTGATCATTTGTAGTACATTACATGCGACATTGTGTGGATCCCAGCACATGTTGGAATACTGCGGAATGAGATTGCAGATAATTTGGCCAAATACGGGTTACAGTTTCCTGAAGTTGATTTATTTAAAGTTCAACCAATCCCTAAAGATTTTGAAAATGTTTTATCGAAATCTGTTACAAGGAGTTGGCAACAGTTGTGGGATACAGGTTCTACCGGCCGACATATGTACAAACTTAGACCATAACTAAAATCTGGCCATAAAATTCGTCGTCGTAAAAGGCGTGATGAGGTTATTCTTTCACGTCTCAGACTTGAACACT